CCTTTAAAGCTTTAGTGAATGTTTGTAATAATTGATAACCTAGTCTTCTTTCCCAACGTGTAAGAGATTTTCTTTTGAGCTAATGAGCACATAAATATGGCATAAATTTCCATCTCCATGGTCCAAATATTGGTATAACCTAATAAATTGTAATAGTTATGGTATAAGGACCAAAGAGTTGAAAATTTGAACCAAATCTTTTGTCATAGAAGTAAATGGATTCTTGGATTCTTGTGACCTTCTTATTTTGGTGTTATATAGTAAATGTGGGTTTTTTTTTGTTGTAGATTGAATGATAGATTTAATACATAACAGAACAAGGTCATCTCTAAATGATAAAAACAAGAAACTTGCCTGGATTTTGGAAATCAAATTTATATGGCAAATTGCATTAAATGGCAGTTCTGTAATTTGATTTCGCCTCTTGTCTGATTTTTCTACTCACTTAAGGTTTCTTATTTACTGATCATATTCTGATATTCAATGGAATTACCTATTTACTCAAGTCAGATGTGTAAAATTGCTTGTCCCATATAACTGGAAATTGTGCCTTGTATGATCTTTCAACATCTCAAGGAATTAACAAAATGACAGATATGTTTATAGGTTTATATCTTGTCAGTTTTTCTCTATAAACTGGCCAGTGTGATGGATTCAAATCTCTGGATGACATTGTTTTAACAGCACATCACAAATAGCCTGATGGTGTGGCCAGAGACAACCTTGAAAATGGATAAGATCAATTCTACAGTGGATTTCATTAATCTTATCCTTAGGGCACTGTGATGCTGTAAAATTAGGATTCAAGGCTATAGACATAATGTTAGACACACAGTTCATTGATCCTACATCCTGAGGAGATTGCATGTCTGATTTGTAAAGTATATGTAGGTTATTGCAACAGATGACTTCTGTTTAGTTTACTACTCTTACTGGCTTTAATGGTAATTATCATATGGAAATTCAGAGTCTGGCTTTGTAAAACAACTTGGTGTTGAGATTGGTAACTGTCTTTTTCATAATTTGGATGACTTTTGTGTTGAATTAGACATTCCAGTGGAGAGTTTGCCCCATAACCTGGTCCTATCATTGCCTAACTAGTGATACTTTATAGGCTAGTCACCTAACTGGTGACATTGAAAGGTCAAGGCTGGATTAAATGACTTTATATAGACCTATCATTGCCGAATTTCTAATAGCCTTGGCTAGTCATGTCATCTAATCATTTAATTTTAAGGTTATATTCACATCTTTTCCTATCTTGGGATATTTTGTTGTCACTCCTTAGAATATCCTTGTGACATTTGTACCTGACCTCAATTACCTTAGATATTCCTATCATTGCTTAAACTTAATAGTAACATCCTTCACTTGTCATCTTTTTTAATTGTACCCAACTCCTTGTCATGTCTTTGCCCAACTTGTGACATGCAAGCTTGATTTGGTTATTTGAAAACTTGGTAACAAATAACATGAGAGCTGCTATAACAACAAACAAAGGTAAAGCTGATAAATGATTAAACATTTTAACAAATATATCAGCCATGAAATAAGTTCATTGCTAAAAACAGAAAGTAATATACCCTTCAAAATTAGTAGGGAGAATAACATTTATATTTCCATGAAGAGATTCGATGGACTATTTATTATGCTCTAATATGAGGTTCCAACATGATCGATCTCAACAAGGAGAAGTGCACAAGAGCCATCCCTCTTTTTTGCATCATTTAGGATTTATTACCCTTTGTTATTTTCCATCCTTTCATCCAGAGCATTACAATAAAACTTTACAAGGTATCAACATAAAAAATTCATAGGTAGGTAGATCTCAACGAGAAGGAGAGCAGTGCACAAGAATCATAACTCTCTTATTGCCCTTTGTTATTTTTCATATTAAATTTTGTCCTTTACGGGGAGCATAACCCATCTGTGACGGCCCTTGTTAAAGTTGTTATGAACTTACTTGGACATGATTAATGAGTTATCTGCCCTTTGATGGAAATACTAATATCTTAATATATCTAATGGGTCTTCAGACTGCTGTAACGGGCTTTCTGCATACCAGAAAAGTTATGTATTGTAATATCTTTTCCACAAAAAGACAGGCAATGTATTAAAATGAAATGTAGGTAATATAAGTACATGGTTATTTGAATACAAATATTGGCAAAAAGTTTATTATTATTCACAATATTTGGAGGATGTTAACAGTTACACACCTGTACAAGTACTTTGCTTAAGAGCGTCAGTATTCATCTACATACATATATACATTATGTGTATAAGTATGTGACTATGCATGTCTTCTTCAAGTGCAGACATTCACAGATAAAATGATAGTTAACACAGCTTAAAGACCTACTAGGTTATAATCTACCACATAATTGACTTTCACTAGCAGTGTAGTGTACATCACATTGGTGGTAGATATATATGGGTGATTGATGTGTTGGCCTGAGGCCTGTACCCAGATTTACCTGAGAGTTACCTGATGTGCACCTTAATGCTGGTACTATAGGTAATATATATCAATCACTAGCTGCTGTCTGACACTGGAATGTCTGCTGAAGTCCTACAGTAACAGCTGCCTTTATCAATAGTAAGTGTTTTTGTATTAGTCCCATGTAAACCTATAAGTGAATTTTACACAATTACTTACCTCTCACATATTTTTGAATGCACAACTAAATTTAATATTCAATACACAAATACTTATTAGGTACAGGGTCCCTACATTTCAACAAATACAATGTACAGCAACATCTGGTATTTCTGTTGTAAAGAGATTATAGACTTTTCTCCATGATAACTGTAACAAATGGTGATATCTGTACATTATATTGTGTAAGATACTATAGTAACACAAAAGATTATGGACTAGTAGAATATTGCAAAAGGTATATCTATCAGCAACATGCTGTTCAATATATATTTTGATTAAAGTATTGAAGAATGACAAAGAAATTGACAAAAGACAAGTTAACTCCAAAGAGAATAACATTGTAGACTCTCCCATGCTTTTTTACACAATACCTATGATATGTATTAGAGCTACACAATTATACCACACATTATCTTGTGATAATTAAAGAATTGAAAATATATGCTAGTATACAACGTACCTGTGACTATCAACTAATTCATCATTATAAAGTGTCAATAGATGCATTCTTATCAGCTTCAACTCTGCCATATGTTGCATACATTCAAGTTAGTCATCAGTTCTTTAAACTTTCATACAAATTTTTAAAGAAAAAAAATTGTCATCAAATCTCTTGATTTTGCCAGGTGTCATGTGATAATGACCTTGTCATGACCTGCTTGAATTCAGAAAAACACAGCTATATTCTCCAGATTCATCACTGTGTTTCAAAATAAGAAAATCAAAGTCAGTATTCGGAAGCCAAAGAGATATCTATATCAAACATGCAGTATCCACTAAATATGCATTATCATATAAACAAGATGTCATCTAAATATAGACAATATCTTCATATTAACACAATATCTTCTAAGTATAGACAATATCTTCATATAAACACATAATTATCTGAATATAGACAATATCTTCATATAAAAACAATACCATCTAAGTATAGACAACATCTTCATATAAACACAATATCATCTAAATATAGACAATATCTTCATATAAACACAATATCTTCTAAATATAGACAATATCTTGACATGAAAACAATATCATTGAGATAAAGACAATATCAACAAAATTACATAACAACATCATTCTAATCTGAATGATAAAGGACAATATATAAAATATTTAATCATTGGAAATGGACAACACTTCTAAAATACTGAAATTTATTAATATACATTTCATTGTTATTAAACTCTGAACGAAAATACCTGGTAGGTTAAATCTGGTAGTGTACAGAAATTAACATTTACTTGTACTGCGAGTGTGGGTTCTAAGAATCCTGACATCATATGCTGGAATTTACAAAAGCCTATCTGTATTTTCCTCCATCGTCTAATGTATACAGTTCACTTTACTTTACATTTCAACAGATAAATAAGAACCGCCACAAGAATGGTTGAAGTTGTGCAAATTATCAGATGCCTGTAAATCCTATGAAATTGAATCTTTATGCATTAGAGATAAGAGGAAGCATATTTAAAAAGCCAGTCAATTATTCTAAAGATCTTTGTCCAAAACATGTTTTTCTTGGTAAATTAGATTTTCAGGGAGCTTTTGTATGTGTTTCTATGGCAACAAGTGACATTGATGTCTGTATTTTAGAATGCTTGTCAGGAAATAGGCTTCATATACAATAATCACTCAGTTGTGATCAAGTTTTTAAGATAAAAGACCAAAACCAAAGTAAGGAAAACATAATTTGGGAAGAATGTTTTGGGTGGCTAGTTCATATTGATAACACAAAATATGTCATTCAGTGAATGGTTACAATATCCAGACTCATTACTGGTTATCTGACTGAGGTTTATATGTTTTTTTATCTGAGATTGAGGAGTTAGGTTTCATATTGATAAATAAAAATGGAAATGGAGAGGCTTAGATATCAGAGTGGTGCTTAAACTAATAACCATTTTGTCAGTAAACTAATCACAAACCTCATTTAATAGTTTTTTCCTACCTTTCTTACAATTACCTAAAACATGTTTATTCCTCAGAGAAAGGGTACTGTTTATTGTTAATAATTGGGTCTGAAAAAGGTAAAATTTTAACATCTCTTGCTTCGCTAAAAGATTGTTCAATGGTGAGTTATCTGAGGTATAATTAATATTAGAATATTAGAACTGGATCTCTATCACAATGCAAGTCTGTTGTTAAACTTACAATTGGTTTCAGTCAAAAATAATGTGTTTATAATTGAGTTTTCATTCAAATTGAGGTGGTGGTGAGATGAATTGTTATAACCCTCTCCATGGATCATGTGTAATGTTGAAAGAGTTATTCCCCTTGTTTTTACTGAAAAAGTTGTTCTGACTGGAGATGTAATTGTTGTGTGTTTCAGACTCATTGACACTGACACAGCTATAGGCAAAAATGGGAAACAAAAGCGGTAAGCAAAAGAAAAAGGACAAAGAAGCTAAGAACAAGGAGGAGGCAGAACAAAAGGTAAATGGCACTGCTGAGGAAAAACCTGCTGAGGCAGCCACAGATACGCCCGCAGAGAACACAGAAGCAGCTAGTAATGAAAATGAAGGTGAGAAAGGCGGTGGGGGTGATGGTGGTGGGGAGGCATGTCAGGAGGATAAGGCTGGGGACCAGGCACCCGAAAAAACTATTACTAATACTAGTGAAACAAAGGCTGACAATGACAGTAGTACACCAGCCCCTGTCAGTTCAGGGGACAGTGAGCCAGTACAAAGTGTAGATAATAGTAATTCTGATACCAAGGAGGAAGTCAGTCCCTCCAGTCAGACAGAGTCTGTGGTAAAAAGTAGTGAATCTGAGAAAGCGGTAGAGGCGGCAAAAGATGAAACAGTTAGTGAAACGCAAGCACCGGTGGAGCAAACTGTAGCTAAACAGGAAACAACCGTTGAAGTGCAGCCTCCCACACCAGTGGAAGAGGTATCAGCACCTCCTGCACCTGTGGAGGAGTCACCAGCACCACCTGCACCAGTGGAAGAGCCAGTGGCACCACCTGCACCAGTGGAAGAGCCAGTGGCACCACCTGCACAAGTGGAAGAGCCACCGGCACCACCTGCACCAGTGGAAGAGCCACCGGCACCTCCTGCACCTGTGGAAGAGCCACCAGCACCACCTGCACCAGTGGAAGAGCCACCTGCTCCAGTGGAAGAGCCACCAGCACCTGTGGAAGAGCCGCCAGCACCTGTGGAAGAGCCACCAGCACCATCTGCACCAGCGGAAGAGCCACCGGCACCACCCGCACCAGTGGAAGAGCCACCTGCTCCAGTGGAAGAGCCGCCAGCACCTGTGGAAGAGCCACCAGCACAATCTGCAGAAAGCCTGGAGTCACAAACAAAAGGTCTGGTACATTATCACATTATTTTATCAAATTCCCCATTTTGGCAATCTTCTTAATTCTGCATTTCTTGAAAACTTTCTTTCTGCTGAATGAATCTGCTTTGTCTAGATCTGTTAATGGCTTTGTCTAGATCTGTTAATGTTTTGTGAGTTTTGTCTGAATTTTTCTTTTTTTTTCATTCTTTTAATGCTGCTATCTTTTATTCTGTCTTGCTTTTGTTATTGTTTTTCATAATACAGTTGTACCACTTTTCAATAGTAATCAGAAGTTGTTGTAAAGATAAAACTTTTATTTCATCTGTTTCATTTCAATTATAAAGTCATAACTCATAACATATATCAGCTACTGCTGGCTTGAAAATGTAAAAAAAAGGAGATGAAAAATAGAAAAAGGAGAAATTAAAATGAATGACCACTGAATCAAACTATGAGTTTGACCTTACATTGAGATTACACTTGTGGACAGACAAGTTCCTCAGAACTGGGACCAGAGTCATGACCTTATAAGGTCTGTGTATCTCATCAAGGATCAGAAGAGCTGATGGTGGGACCCTTTTCATTCCAGATAATAGTTATTATTGAGATAAAATGGTGGATGGGATATTATCCCACTGCTGAAATGCAGTTATAAACAAATTCTTATCTATATTGTAGAGTAGACATGGCATGTGGCAAGGGTTACCTTAGTGGTGATATTAGACAGGTCATGCATGGAAATGTGACATTGGCATGTTTCATGTATCACATTTAGGGGTACATCTACAACAACAACAACTTGGTATATGAAAATCTATTCAAATACAATATATATACATATACCAATCCTTATTAAAAGGAAGGGTGTGGTCTGATGGAGATTGAAGAAGGGTATGGACCTCAGCAGTCTAAGGGGCATGTTTAAAAAGGACCACAGGAGGCTGAGGGTTCTTACATATTGTAACGAAAGATGTTACATGGAAGGTGGTAGTATCTTGATAAAGGAAGGTTTAAAGCCAATGTGTTTAAAATAAGGGGCACACTTAAAATGGATGAGGTAGTCAATCCCCAGGAGGCTAAGGAAGGTGTGGCATCCAGTACACACTGAACAATTGGGACTCTTTTTAAAGAAAGGATTCACCCTCCCCACCATGGCTCCTAAATGGCTATGATGCGCATTCAAAGGCCGATTGATAGTATTCCTTTAAAAAAGAAGAGATGACCCCTATATTGTGAAATGTTGGGCTTGCTGAATAACTGCAGTCCCAAACTACGAGGTGACATAGGTAGGGATCTAACTTTAAAGCAAGGGTGCAGCCCAAGGAGACAGGGGGAGAATGCTTCCCTAAAAACCTTAAGTATTGTGTTCCCCTATAAATGTTAAGATATTGGACTTGTCCAATAAAGGCTCCAAAAGAGTTACTGGGCTTGTCTGGAAGGGAGGCTATGCTAAGAGGGGAGTGGGGGTGGGGTTTTTCAGTTGACTGTGGACATTAAGATTCTATGTTCATGATTGGAAACACAAGAAATCTAAGATTTCTGATAAGTAGTTTTTTCCCATTTTTTACATGGCATGTATGAAGAAATATTTCTTATCCTTACAGTCTGGAGACCCTTGTAGATTTTTTAAATGAAATTTTACACTTGTTACGTTGAATTAAGTAGTGTGTACGGTAAAATGGAACATTACCAATACATCTATACATAGTAGATTTGGTTTAGGGTTCAGAATCACTTTTTCTTGTGATGTTTTTGTATAGATGGCTTTGTAGATGCTCTTTACTAACCCTGTTTTTCTGTTGTGTCTACTAACCCTGTTTTTCTGTTGTGTCTACTAACCCTGTTTTTCTCTTGTGTCTCTCATTACATTTTAGTCATTTGTCTTAATTGATCAGTGTGTGTTTTACCATTTGATGGTCCTAATGACCTTTTATGTGTTGACGGGCCGTTAGGAATGTAATAATGATAATAATGATAATGTGTCTAAATTAATCTGTATCAATAATTTTCACATGTTATGCTTCTTCATTTAATTAATTTAATATTTGAATCATCAGTAATTGTGTTCAACTGGCTGATCAATTATTAAAAAATCATGAAAACTATAGTTTATACTACTGCAATAATAAACCATTACACAAAACATGTTGCTGACAAGCTACACAAATACATAAATTGTATCCTTTGTGACCTACACAGGCGATGCACCCCCTCTGCCTGACAATCCTCCCCCGAGCAAGGTAAGAAAAGTAGATACAATGTACCATGGTATGGGAGAAATAATATTGATACAGTTAATATAACTTTAGTAAAATATCCTAAAATTATGATTCAAATTGTCCCACATTTATGAATAACACATGAACAAGTACTTGATTGAATGTTTGAAAAAGTGTTTTGTTGTTGAAATAATAGAGCACAGAAAAGGATGACTCAGTTATTGTACTAAAAGTTAAAATAAATGGAAATATGTTTGAATTTCTGGAAAAACCCTGAGCTATGCTTCACGGTGTTTTTGTAAAGTTTACATTGAACCTATGTTCTAATAATTTACTCACACTTATTTATGTCTTTATTCCTGCCGTTAATAGACAATAGCCACACAGTTTATGTGGGATAATGATGGTAACACCGTGCTAGTCAGTGGCTCCTTCAATGACTGGAAGGAGAAGGTTCCTCTTGAGAAACAGTAAGTAGTTCCTTTAATGACTTGAAGGAGAAGGTTTTCCCCTTTGAGAAACAGTTGATCACAGCTGATATAATAAATTATGTCCTATACATTGGAGTTTCCCTTGGGATATACATGTAATACCAGGTACTTCTAGGAGTACAATATTTTGTTGTTTGTATGGAAGTTAAAAAAAGATAATTTGGTACTTGATCATTTTACACAATTGTGATGTTGTTGTAATCACACTAAATGCAACAACGAAAAATCTGTCAAGAAAAAGCTAGGTGAACAAGATGATGTATTACATGTACAAAGAATTTACTTCACAGATCAGATGATAATGGTTTGATAAAATATTTACAGATTTATCCTGGCTTTTCGTGATGCAGAGCTATGAGCAGATATTTATTGTTGCATCATTTATCTATGAGAATAACATCACAAGAAAAACGAAATAATTTTCTCATGCAAACTAATGATGTAACAATCAACACCTGCTCAGGTAACTCTACATTATGAAAAGACAGAGGTTACCATGAAGATGTCAACTTTCATTACCTGAAACATGCTCATTTACATAATGTTAAATATGTTTTCATTTTATTTTTTTAAGAACATCTTTTATTTTTGATTTGTATGTTATAAAGTTACAGAAATATATATGTATACTGTAGAAGATGTACCTACTGATAATTGTATTGGTGTTACAGAGAGGCAGTTTTCTCCGTGACTGTAGATTTACCAGAGGGAGAATATGTGTATAAATTCCTGGTTGATGATGAATGGCTGATCAACAAAAACCAAGTAAGGAAAATAAAATATTGTAGATTTGGTAACCTCCTTTTTTATGTTTAACAAAATGTTTTGTATTCTCCTAAGTTTGGTAATCTTCTATAGGATACAGAAAAAATCTTCTCAGTTTAATAATCTCCTGATTACACAAAAAAATATATATTCAACCAAATGTTCCCCTTTTCTACTGGGTTTTATTATTTCCTACCTAACTTGAAAATATTGCAAAATGTTTCCCATTTTCTCCTGGGTTTAATTATTTCTTGTCTGTTTTTGATAATCTCTCATCCGATACAGAAAATATTTGCATGTATGAAAATGTTCTCCCATTCTTCTAGGTTTGCTTACCTTTTCTGATTTAGAAAATAAGCAATTAGCAAAATTAATTTGAAGCAAATATGATGTTTATATGATTAGTCTGAGGCTGTTTACAGGTTGTTGTGAAAGAATAAAATATTTTCTACTATTTTGCAGCCAATTAAGGCCGACAATGGTATCGAGAACAATGTTATAACTGTGAGACCAGTGGGTTGAGTGTTTGTCTGAATGTAACTACCTGCTCCACCTCTTCAGTTGCCTCCCTTCTAAACAACAGTTGATTCCCTTAGAGTGATGGCCCAACTGACCAACTCATCATCCAGAGGCATCATGGGATTACAACTAAAGGCAGCTATGCTATAACATCAGTGGATCAACGATTTTCAAAACTAACAAGTTCACAAGGATGAAATTTTTTGTCAAAGAAATTAATGTTTTGTTTATTAGATTGGGAAATTGTTTATAAGGAAATTTTTTATTAGGATTGGGAAAAAAATTGATTCCAAAATTTTAGCTGTTGACATTCTATTTTATGGTAGTAATAATGGGACCTTAACCTTTTTTTGTAGACCTTTTCTTACTTGTTATAATTTTGTATCCTATTTGTTACATTTTATAATGTTGATTTACCTATGTTACATGGTTTTCCTTTCAAATTGTTCAAATTCATCACAGGCCAGTGATCATAATCATTTCAACTTAAAAAAATTTTATTGACAAATCGACCAAGGCTCGGAACAAAATCTTCATTAAAAATATTTCACTTTAGAAGTGCTATTTGAAGTGCTTTTTATTTATTTGTATTATTTGCGATCAATATTTCTATATAAGTTTTTTTCTTGTTTTACTAGTATGTTAAAATAAAAAATATTGAGAAAGGGAGACAACCCTTGAATATGGTGGAGTCCAGAACTGATCATTGTTAAAAGTAATCATCACCTTTGTGTACAATAACATTATATTTTCCTCTACATCAATTTAAAGACAATCTTTTAATTTCTAGGGTAATATTTCTATATCATAGTAATTTGGGTCATATTTCTCAATGAGAATATTTTATACAAAACATTCATTGATTTTGTATTGTAGGAATGTAAGTAAGTATAAGTTCTACATTTGTAATTAAAGTATTATAATTTTTACTATTTGTGTACTTTTTCACACTAGATGATTTCATTCTTTTCATTTGTATATGTGTATATATATATCTTCATTCTCTCAGATGATAATATATTGTCTTGCAGTCAAATTTTTAATGCAAACAAATTAAAAATTTCATTTAATGTATATTCAAATTGCAGAAATGATATTGAATGCAAGCGGTTACTGTCTTTCTTCTTAACCCTTTCTGTCCTTATTAATCATGATAAGTTATCCTGGTTTTGTACCAAGAACTGCCCACATTGGTTAGTAGGGGTGGGAAGATGGTTTGAAGTATGATTGATAGTGGTGGGTATATGAAGCAGGTGAGGGCTAAATAATGTATCTAGACATTAGACTACAGTTGTTTCTGTATCTAGACATTAAACAACAGTTGTCACGATATCTAGAAATTAGACTACAGGTGTCTCTGTATCTAGACATTAGACTACAGTTGTCCCTGTATCTAGACATTAGACTACAGGTGTCCCTGTATCTTGACATTAGAAAAGTTGTCCCTGTATCTAGACATTAGACTACAGTTGTCCCTGTATCTAGATATTAGAAATAGTTGTCTCTGTATCTAGACAACAGTTTTCCCTGTATCTGGACAGTAGACAACATTTGACCCTATATCTAAACATTATACAGCAGTTGCTCATGTATCTAGACAGTTTTCCCTGTATCTGGACATTAGAAACAGTTGTCCCTGTGTCTAGACATTAGACAACAGTTGTCCATGTATCTAGATATTGGACTTCACTACAGTTGCCCCCTGTATCTAAACATTAGACAACAATTTTCCCTGTATCTAGACATTAGACAACAATTTTCCCTGTATCTAGACATTAGACAACAATTTTCCCTGTATCTAGACATTAGACAACAGTTTTCCCTGTATCTGGACATTAGACTTTTCCCTGTATCTAGACAGACTACTGTCGCCCCTACATATAGACATTAGGCACTTGTGTAAGTGACTTTTGTTCCTGTGTATATACATCAGACTGTCAAGTATGTGACAGTTGTCCCTTTATCGAGACATTAGACTACAGTTGTCCCAATATTGAGACATTAGACTACAGTTGTCCCTGTATCTAGACATCAGACTACAGTTGTCCCTGTATCTAGATATTATTCTTAAGTTGTCCATATATCTAGATAAAGAGATGGTGGACTAGACATTCCTGAACACCACCAATAGGACTGGACAGGTACATATTCCCTCGCCTGTTAAGTGTCCATATAAACTACATGTAGGTGGGATAAGGTTTACATATATTTTTCCAGTATCAGTCTCCATGTAAAACTTTGTATAACATCATAAAGTGATATGAATTGGGGTAAAATTGTTAGCGATGAAGTTTTCATATCAAAGTATGTAATGGGTGTATGGTACAGTGATTACCTAGATGTACTTACTGATTAGTGTCTGATACATCATGCTGTGGTGGACGTTTACTGGGAAAAACACTTTGGTAACTCTGGTGTCAGTAAGTGGCATATTGTAGCTATTATTGTAGATCAATATATCATCTCATTTCTCATTCAAGGTCAATAAAACATTACAATCTGTTGTCTATTGTTTTCTTTTCATTTAAGCAGTAACAAAAATAAATTTGAGCAGTATAATAATGATTAAGGGGAGAGCAATGTTGTAAAGTGAGATATTTTCATGTTTTTTCTGATTAACAATTAAGATATTCTGGAGAAAACAGGATGTTACCATGTATGTCATCATAAAAACAGTACCGGATGGTTAAGGTCCATTGTATGTCATCATAAAAACAGTACCGGATGGTTAAGGTCCATCGTTTGTCATCATAAAAACAGTACAGGATGGTAAAGGTCCATCGTATGTCATCATAAAAACAGTACCGGATGGTTAAGGTCCATCGTATGTCATCATAAAAACAGTACAGGATGGTAAAGGTCCATCATATGTCGTCATAAAAATAGTACAGGATGGTTAAGGTCCATCGTATGTCATCATAAAAACAATACAGGATGGTAAAGGTCCATCATATGTCGTCATAAAAATAGTACAGGATGGGTAAGGTCCATCATATTTCATCATAAAAACAGTACAGGATGGTAAAGGTCCATCATATGTCGTCATAAAAATAGTACAGGATGGTAAAGGTCCATCGTATGTCATCATAAAAACAGTACAGGATGGTAAAGGTCCATCGTATGTCATCATAAAAACAGTACCGGATGGTTAAGGTCCATCGTATGTCATCATAAAAACAGTACCGGATGGTTAAGGTCCATCGTATGTCATCATAAAAACAGTACAGGATGGTAAAGGTCCATCATATGTCGTCATAAAAATAGTACAGGATGGTTAAGGTCCATCGTATGTCATCATACAAACAGTACAGGATGGTAAAGGTCCATCGTATGTCATCATAAAAACAATACAGGATGGTAAAGGTCCATCGTATGTCATCATAAAAACAATACAGGATGGTAAAGGTCCATCGTATGTCATCATAAAAACAGTACAGGATGGTAAAGGTCCATCGTATGTCATAAAAACAATACAGGATGGTAAAGGTCCATCGTATGTCATCATAAAAACAATACAGGATGGTAAAGGTCCATCGTTTGTCATCATGAAAACAGTACAGGATGGTTAAGGTCCATCGTATGTCATCATAAAAACAATACAGGATGGTTAAGGTCCATCGTATGTCATCATAAAAACAATACAGGATGGTAAAGGTCCATCGTATGTCATCATAAAAACAATACAGGATGGTAAAGGTCCATCGTATGTCATCATAAAAACAACACAGGATGGTAAAGGTCCATCGTTTGTCATCATGAAAACAGTACAGGATGGTTAAAGTCCGTCGTATGTCATCATAAAAACTACAGGATGGTAAAGGTCCATCGTATGTCATCATAAAAACAATACAGGATGGTTAAGGTCCATCGTATGTCATCATAAAAACAACACAGGATGGTAAAGGTCCATCGTTTGTCATCATGAAAACAGTACAGGATGGTTAAAGTCCGTCATATGTCATCATAAAAACTACAGGATGGCAAAGGTCCATCGTATGTCATCAAAAAAAATACAGGATGGGTAAGGTCCATCGTATGTCATCATAAAACAACACAGGATGGTAAAGGTCCATCGTTTGTCATCATGAAAACAGTACAGGATGGTTAAAGTCCGTCGTATGTCATCATAAAAACTACAGGATGGTAAAGGTCCATCGTATGTCATCATAAAAACAATACAGGATGGTAAAGGTCCATCGTATGTCAACATAAAAACAATACAAATGGTTAAGGTCCATCGTATGTCGTCATAAAAACAGTACAGGATGGTAAAGGTCCATCATATGTCATCATAAGAACAGTACAGTATGGTTAAGGTCCATCGTATGTCATCATCAAAACAGTACAGGATGGTTAAGGTCCACCGTTTGTCATCATGAAAACACTACAGGATGGTTAAGGTCCACCGTTTGTCATCATGAAAACAGTACAGGATGGGTAAGGTCCATCATATGTCGTCATAAAAACAGTACAGGATGGTAAAGGTCCATCATATGTCATGAAAACAATACAGGATGGTTAAGGTCCATCGTATGTCATAAACACAGGACAGGATGGTAAAGGTCCATCGTATGTCATAAAAACAATACAGGATGGTTACGGTCCATCGTATGTCATCATAAAAACAGTACAGGGTGGTTAAGGTCCATCGTATGTCATAAAAACAATACAGGATGGTTACGGTCCATCGTATGTCATCATAAAAACAGTACAGGGTGGTTAAGGTCCATCGTATGTCATAAAAACAATACAGGATGGTTAAGGTCTATCGTATGTCATAAACACAGGACAGGATGGTAAAGGTCCATCGTATGTCATAAAAACAGTACATGATGGTTAAGGTCCATCGTATGTCAACATAAAAACAATACAAATGGTTAAGGTCCATCGTATGTCGTCATAAAAACAGTACAGGATGGTAAAGGTCCATCATATGTCATCATAAGAACAGTACAGTATGGTTAAGGTCCATCGTATGTCATCATCAAAACAGTACAGGATGGTTAAGGTCCACCGTTTGTCATCATGAAAACACTACAGGATGGTTAAGGTCCACCGTTTGTCATCATGAAAACAGTACAGGATGGGTAAGGTCCATCATATGTCGTCATAAAAACAGTACAGGATGGTAAAGGTCCATCATATGTCATGAAAACAATACAGGATGGTTAAGGTCCATCGTATGTCATAAACACAGGACAGGATGGTAAAGGTCCATCGTATGTCATAAAAACAATACAGGATGGTTACGGTCCATCGTATGTCATCATAAAAACAGTACAGGGTGGTTAAGGTCCATCGTATGTCATAAAAACAATACAGGATGGTTACGGTCCATCGTATGTCATCATAAAAACAGTACAGGGTGGTTAAGGTCCATCGTATGTCATAAAACAATACAGGATGGTTAAGGTCTATCGTATGTCATAAACACAGGACAGGATGGTAAAGGTCCATCGTATGTCATAAAAACAGTACATGATGGTTAAGGTCCATTGTATGTCATCATAAAACAATACAGGATGGTTAAGATCCATCGTATGTCATCATAAAAACAGTACAGGATGGTTAAGGTCCATTGTATGTCATCATAAAACAGTACAGGATGGTAAAGGTCCATTGTATGTCATCATAAAACAATACAGGATGGTTAAGGTCCATCGTATGTCATGAAAACAATACAGGATGGTTAAGGTCCATCGTATGTCATCATAAAAACAGTACAGGGTGGTTAAGGTCCATCGTATGTCATAAACACAGGACAGGATGGTAAAGGTCCATCGTATGTCATAAAAACAGTGCATGATGGTTAAGGTCCATTGTATGTCATCATAAAACAATACAGGATGGTTACGGTCCATCGTATGTCATCATAAAAACAGTACAGGTTGGTTAAGGTCCATTCGTATGTCATAAAAACAATACAGGATGGTTAAGGTCTATCGTATGTCATAAACACAGGACAGGATGGTAAAGGTCCATCGTATGTCATCATAAAAACAGTACAGGATGGTAAAGGTCCATCGTATGTCATCATGAAAACAGTACAGGATGGTTAAGGTCCATCGTATGTCATCATGAAAACAGTACAGGATGGTAAAGGTCCATCGTATGTCATCATGAAAACAGTACAGGATGGTAAAGGTCCATCGTATGTCATCATGAAAACAGTACAGGATGGTTAAGGTCCATCGTATGTCATCATGAAAACAGTACAGGATGGTAAAGGTCCATCGTATGTCAACATAAAAACAATACAAATGGTTAAGGTCCATCGTATGTCATCATAAAAACAGTACAGGATGGTAAAGGTCCATCATATTTCATCATAAAAATAGTACAGGATGGTTAAGGTCCATTGTATGTCATCATAAAAACAGTACAGGATGGTAAAGGTCCATCGTATGTCAACATAAAAACAATACAAATGGTTAAGGTCCATCGTATGTCATCATGAAAACAGTACAGGATGGTTAAGGTCCATCGTATGTCATCATGAAAACAGTACAGGATGGTAAAGGTCCATCGTATGTCAACATAAAAACAATACAAATGGTTAAGGTCCATCGTATGTCATCATAAAAACAGTACAGGATGGTAAAGGTCCATCATATTTCATCATAAAAATAGTACAGGATGGTTAAGGTCCATTGTATGTCATCATAAAAACAGTACAGGATGGTAAAGGTCCATTGTATGTCATCATAAAACAATACAGGATGGTAAAGGTCCATCGTATGTCATCATAAAAACAGTACAGGATGGTTAAGGTCCATTGTATGTCATCATAAAACAATACAGGATGGTAAAGGTCCATCGTATGTCATCATAAAAACAGTACAGGATGGTTAAGGTCCATCATATGTCATCATCAAAACAGTACAGGATGGTTAAGGTCCATCGTTTGTCATCATAAAAACAGTACAGGATGGTAAAGGTCCATTGTATGTCATCATAAAACAATACAGGATGGTAAAGGTCCATCGTATGTCATCATAAAAACAGTACAGGATGGTTAAGGTCCATTGTATGTCATCATAAAACAGTACAGGATGGTTAAGGTCCATTGTATGTCATCATAAAACAATACAGGATGGTTAAGGTCCATCTTATGTCATCATAAAAACGATGGCTTATTCATGACATTTCATTTTATGGTATATGTACAACCACAAAACGTTTTATATTATATGGTTTGCTTTAATTCTTGACGATGTACTTACCATTATTGATGATACTGACAATATATTACCTTCCTGACAATATATATCCATTCTTGACGATATATGGCATGAACTTAATACACAAGAGAAAAGGCTAACACATTTTTAACAGAATAACTTTTAATGCATACTACAACACTGATAAAACATGCCCTGCATTGTTTACCTTCCCTATAACTTACAAATATTGCTGATATTTTGATATCTTACAAAATCGTGAGACGTTAACGTTAACTTTTTAATTGTAAAATATTTGGAACTGTGTTTAGAATAAGAGACACAAATATCGATGAAACATAAATCGATATCCGTGTGGCTGATTTATCATTATAATGACAAAAATCAACCTTAAAGTTTGTCCGTTTTTTACTTTAGAGTAACTTAAGATATTTTGACGGAAATGAAGCCAAATTTGTTTTTTGTCCAACAAGCTTAAATGTCTTTAGTTAAATAGTTCTAACGTAACAATTATAACCATGTAACAATCTCTCCGTTAATATCACAACCCAAGTTTTCATGACACCGATTTCTTAAGATAAGCTCCATAAGACGGAAGTGAGCACAGGATTACAGTGAGGCGGTTCCAGAAAGTTGATTGAGGTAAAGAAGATCCTTGAATTTTTCGTGTTTATGTTGGAAATGGTTTTTAAGAACAAACCTGAGTAGATGTAGTTCCGGTGTACTTAGAAACTTTCACTTTGAAACTGGACCAATTACAGAGTATAGAACATTATGTAGTATCTACCACAAAACAAAATCAGACAGACTATAACATGCTCCACAATCGAAGATGGTAGTTTTCTAGAATCAGGCCGAAATGTCGACAGGATATCGTTACAACATCAAATGACGAAACAAAATGAAACCGCTTGTCCCTTATACCCTTGTTTATCTTATTATCGAATCAACTGTTTAAATATCAATATTTCCTTGACTGCCTAATACATTGTAATGTGATAATGAATGTGTCATTAATGCAATACTGAATACAGTTTACTGTAAATTAATTTTGTAACAAAAATATTTCAACTTCGGTAATTAGTTTTTGCTAAAATTCATGTAATGCTTTTAGTTATAAATTTGATCTTAATAAATAACTTTGTTCTCCTTTTTTGTACATCGTTATCCCATTCCCAATGTTGTAGCGGCCTAGTATTCCTCCAGGAGGTCCTGAAATATCTGCTGTTTCTGGTAGTCTCCGGTACTTTTCTTGGCCAGCCTGGCGGGTCCTTCGAATCGGGCGGCACCCGTGAATTCCTCTGGAGTCTGTAAAGAATTCAAAATTATTTCATTAAAAATCATATATAGCGCAAACTACACTGACATTCAACCACGTATATTAAGTCTCTTTTACAGGGTAATTGTTTGGTTCAAAATGAATATAGTGGAACTAACGAATACTATATATGAAAAGTGGAAAACGTTACGAAAAGATCAGTCACGTGTCTAGAATCTAAGGCATCAATTTCTACTACGTCGAAGAAGATACGTTGAAGATAGTATACAGGCCGTGAAGGAGCAAAGATTTACCAGACGCTGGAGCTGTCCAAGGCAAAAAGTACAGCCAGAATAATCAAACATAAGTGGCTATTCTGCATGTTTATCCAGATTATCATCTGGGTATATGTTCTCGAGATCTAGGGCAAACTGGTGACGGCCAAGTTTAGGGAATTGGACTTGAGAGGTAAGTTTTGATTAACAGAACGATAGTCTTACAATATCAGAAACTTGAGTCGTCGAAACAACTGCAACGTTTCAGGCTAGAAATTTGTATAGATGTTATTTCATTTTTAAAACGCCTACATGTATTTACAGGAATGAAGCCTTGATCCGTGATTGATCCAGAGACAGTTGCGACAAGTCTACGTCCAGTTTCAGTCCTTTACCCAAGATAAGCTGATCAACAACCAGTTGTTAAATATAAGCCGGTTAACTATCGATGATACTAATCGGCATATTCTAAATATGGACGATGGCAGCGGTCTGGCGAGAATTACGTCACGCATTTCCGTTACAGTACGTGTAAAATACGCAATAACGTGAAAAAGCCATGTAACACTGGTAAAATACTAGCCGCAATATACCACTCAAGAGAGAACTTCTCTTTAGCTCGATTGGTTCAGCGTCAGACTAGTAAGCCAGGGGTTTCTGGTTCGATTCTTAGCGGAGGCATTGAAAGAAATAATGACCTCTGTTACAGCTAGGATTATCCAAATAATCCTTTAAACACTTCGCTACTCCATTTCCATTGCCTTCCTTGAGTTTATCTCAGACTGTTATACCATGTTCTTCAATTAACTGAACTACCTGAGATATAGGTATACCAATATCTAACTACCACATTGCCTAACCCAAGTCGTACTGTACTGATACCAAAAGAAATCCTTGCCCACGTGTATGTCACATGTTACCGTACCCTTTTCTTAATCATGTGTGGACTCTTCTTAGCGACTCGGGAAATCCTGTCCTCTGTGGATCCAAAGTAGGGGTTGTCGTCCTACAAAGACAGCAGACTGGTATTAGAACAGTCTATACTACATTGTAGCTCGAATGTCACTTAATTTTCCTATAACTTTACGTATTTTCACTGTCCTTTTTTTTAAACTTAAACCAGACAAATAAACCAAATTAGGGACAGCAAAGCGTCAACATTAGACATGTTATTACCACAGAGTTGGTGAGGTCGATGCCTTGCAGCATGTTGCTGATATCGTCTGTGCTCTGTGCCTGTGTGTTGATACGACCCTTGTCGTTAGGACAGCTCAGCATATGTTCGGAGTCGCATGGGCAGTCCTGTTCCTTCATCAAGTTCCTGTTGTTCTCGGGGGTATTAGCAAACGTCTCCACACAGTTATCGTCAGCTGGAACACAACAACTTATATTTCTTAGAGTTCGGTTGCTGATATCAGTATTCTATGAAATGATTCAGCTTGCCACCAAAGGAAGTTAGTGTTAGAGTCCGCTAAGTAGGTTACATTAATATAAACATGGAAATTTACTATTTCGGAGATCAGAATATGTACGTTTAGAGTAGGCTGGTCTCGAGCTCCTTAGCTATTGTAAAGAATTTCTCTTCTAAATTTTACGTTGGTTTACCTCCCCCTAGTTTGAAACCTACACTAGAATCAGAAATACCCTATGGACCAAAATTATAAAGCTAATTTTTATTTATAATTTTAATATTCTAGAGACAGGAGCCAATCTACTTATTGAGATATATAATGTTTAGTGTTGTTATGTTCAATTGTCGTTTTTGTCCAGTATGGAACCCTCCTGCTGTCAATTATAATTACATGACTTTCATGTTCGTTCGCGGACAGTTTAAGCAACCTACCTGTATAACCAATGGGGCAAGGGTTAGGGGGATTGCAGTATGCTGGCAGGACCTTGTCGGTCTTCACTTCCTTTGGATTTTCTTTGCCACCTCCAGTTCCACCTTATACCAAAAGCATGACAAGTACAATATCTGTAAACGTTCCATAAAGTGTGCGCATTCAAACTCCTTACAGATTTTACAAGGGCGCAATGTCATATTCACAATATTTACTATTATTTACTTATTGGGCAATGTATAGTACCTACAAAGCCATAAAAAATTTTAAAAAGCCAATATTATCATCAACATGTAGGACAGCAATATTTTTCAAATATGTTTTCCCATAATGCGGTTTTGAAATGGTCAAGTTTCATAATCCCTTCAGGTCTTTATGTATGGCTCTGTCACACTATATATGCCACATAGCTACGGTCTATGACCCTTTCGTATGACCTCGTGCCCTTACCTGACATTGACTGGTATCCCCATAGAGGGCTCTGTTCCAAATACTCCTGATCCCTCAGGGCAGCCTCTCCTAGTAGCTCGGGGTCGTTAAGTGTAGCATCCCTGTAGGAAAGACCCCAGTCTCCAGGGGAACTCCTGCTTACCAAGTTGTCGTCGTAGTAACCGGGGTCAAGGTCATAAAGACCGTTCAGCTCAGAGAGAATATCCGAGTACGAAGCACCATTCACCAAACCGAGAACGGCGATAAGTAACAAAGGGACCATTTCCTGTACAAAGTAAGGACAAAGGAGTGTCAGATATTAGACTTAGTTACCTTAGTAACAAGTGTTTTCTCTTATACAGTTACTTTTGTGGTATTTTCTTGATAGCCTCTCGTTCAGGTTTCACCGAATAAAACAATTGCCGAATTTGTTCCGCGATACCGATTTTAAGTTAATGAATTTAGTTGTATATTTTTAAAGAAACGAGTACAGGGAATATGTGATATTTTCTACGATAAACTTTGTAAGCTTTGTCTCTACAAAGACAAGAATCAATGGTAATGAGAATTTACAAAGAAGAAAAAGAAGTGTATTTTTTCTTCCTACCATCACAGTTACAACCAATTACTCACATTAACAGAACTGGTGTTGCTGTTGCGATTGAAAATAACGCACAAAGATGTGACATTTTACAGTGAAATTGGTAAACATAGTTGTGGGTGTAACATGCGCCATGCAGACCTATCATTGTTATGTGACGTCAGTTCTGGACGATGTCCGACATGTTAAGATAGGAGTGCAGTCCTCTACCGAAGGATTTAATTTATTGAATTTTAGGAGGCTACTAAAGATTTATGGCTGATGTCTACAGGTTCTATTGCCGTACGATCTGGAACATCCTGATGCCATGTAACATTACACCACAGTGAAGCCTCCCACGCCATTTTCCATTCTGTCTTCCTGTTGTGTCCTTGTCCCGAGTTATTGATTCTGTCTTATTACAACACCGACTGGCCTGTACTACAATTGACTAATCATCAATACTTAACGGAAGGCTAAACATACACTATAGATAGCGTTTATTCCTGGAAAATTTGTGTCGAGAACAGGGACAAAACAGAGGAAAGAAAGCAGGATGTGTTTATGAAACACTATGCTCTCGGTTGCAACAAATTTCTGAAAACTGAAAGCTATGTCCTCATTGTGGTAATGATTTGACAGTTTTGGTTCAATAGTTATGGCAGATGTTTAAAATTTTCAAATGTAGGTCAAAGGTCACGGTCAAGGTCACATGGACAAAAAATGTATGTTTTGTCACAAGAAACACACATGCCAGATATGAAAGCCCTGCCTCTTGCAGTGCAATAGTTATGGGCAAGGTTGAAGTTAACAATCGACAAACAAACAGACGGACAGTGCAAAACCAATATGCTCCTAATCCTACGATCCGGGAACATAACAATCCCTCTACAGCGCCAACACCCTTATACTGCAATGAAGCTGGAAGTGCATTTGCCCGAATTGGCGATTCAGCAGCTATTTGAACAGATAATCATAGTCAGACATAATTCAAGACCTAGCTTATGACAAGAAATATATGTATATATTTCAAAATGGCAGCAGATATACCTTCTCTCGTGATTAATGACTATAAGGATATAAGCATCAAAGACACCTTAAATCGTATCGTACGTGTTTTCTGAAGTGAGATAGTAATGTGCCATGTTAAAGCACTATAGCTATCCAGACCTACAGAATATTCAACTTGACAAGCTATCTCCAGTCAGTTTGTTTGCTTTTTTTCTATAACGAAACCAACATGGACAGCTTTCCACCAAGCTGTATGATAATTTAAATTTCCATATTCTAAATTTTCTATTTCTGAGTAGTAACACTTTTGCATTCCCAACCTATGGTGTTTACATGTAGTAGTTGATTCCATATTCAACTGCTTCTTCCCCTTATCACGATTCTCGTGCAAGGAGTGGTTAACTGACGGACAAACTCCTAACACAGGGTTTCAAAAGATGCAGGTTGATGAATGTTTACTGCCTTCATAGTGATCTCATTGAGAAATATTCAATGTCTTTGTGTAATGTGAAGCTGGACGTGTTTAATGCTCATTTGTTTGCCTGTTGGTTCCGTTGTTGTATACCTTGATCTCATTTGAGAGAATGTGACATTACTTACTTGGAATTCCCTAGGTTTACATAGCGAGTGTCGTCGATGAGACAGAAGATGTATTCTCTTTGTACTTTTTCAGGAGTCTCCATGTAACTCTTTCTCGTGTTCGTATTTTGGCCTAGTTTTATTGAATTTGAGTTTGAATTATGATTATGTTGACATGTTGGTATTTTCTTGTTGTTTTTAATCGTCTCATTAGCAGCAAGGGCTGAGACTCCCTGTTGATGCCCCCCCAACCCCACCATTTTAAGGACCTGTTTGGCCTAATTAGTTATACCATGTTAATAAACATTTTGATTAGATAAAAATATTCTTTTTTTTTTCACTAACACGTTTCTTAAATATTCTGTAACACTAGTGACGTCATTTATTTTCTTGACTTCATTGGAAGACGTGTACGTGATAAAAAAGTCGGGTGGTAAATCCTTGGTTTTGCATCCATGAATGGTAAATGGTAAAAACTTTAGGGTTGGCTTACTGAAAGGTTGTACAAAATTAAAAGTGATGAGAAATGTTAGATTTTTTTAATGTGAGATTTTTGACGAATGCAGAGACGAAGAACATTCAATAGAACTGACATTACAGCATCTCAATCGTACTGAGAATGACGTATTCCAAGTGTATTCAGAGAATAGTGGATAATTAGGCGTCTAGGGTTTGGTCGTAGTTTATCGTTTCAATAAATATATTCTATAGCCCCTAAATCAGACTAAGATCATTTTGACAAACGGGTAGTAAGCCTTAAAAATACTTCGTGTCTCTACCGTACCAGCTGGCTCTGTACAAGACCATTCCTGTCATCATTTCAGAAATTTAACAATCACCGAGTCTGTTATAACGGTTGTATACAGACGATATACTTCCTACTTACCTTCTCGGCAAATTCTGTTTGTCTGTCTTCGTGTTTTCTGCCTGCTTCTGTTTGCGGTTCCAATGTTTGGTATAATGGCGCGGAGGATCGATCGTCCCTTTGTCGTCATCAGCTCTATAATGTATGCAGGTCGATAGATCCGTGAATGGTGACGTACGAACCGTTGCTTGTTTATCACGTATATCTATATCGATACAGCTGTACACGTCTGTACTCGAGTAATGCTACACGTGTTTGGGAACATCGATCATTTCATATATATTCCATAACAACAACATTGGTATACGGTCGCTGACATGTCTATAATCGCAGATGACATCCTTGCATGTTTTCTCGAAGATTAAGCCACAAAAACGGTGACAAACACGACATATTAACATCGTTTTTGAAAAAATGCTGCCGAAATGACAAGTTGAAACCAATATGCATACATGTAGTTCGAAATAATATGGCGTATGAATCGATTTTTATTTAAATCGATATACTATTCAAATCAAAACCAATAAAGGAAGGTTAGTATGCCCATCAAAACAAAACCTGAAGATAAAGTGTCCGGTGTAAAATAATGGTGAAATATCACAGACGCATAGAATGAAGTACGTGTGTTGTTCATTTTGAAGCGGTGTATCCTTGCAGTGGCTGGTGACGACCTAAATGAACAACAAATGAGGTCCGTCGCAGGCCATTCAGAGTAACTATATGGTAAAGCGGCCTGTCCAAGAACACAACCACAACACCATAGACCAGCCCGTTTCTCAATTTCCTCTGAGGTACAGATCACCACACAGGGAGCACCGAAAAAAATATATCAACGACTCTTTATATTTACAGCAAGCACATCTGCCTGTGTTGCATTTGCTGTCAAGTTGCAATGCAACGGATATTGTTTTCGTTCTAGGTTGGCCGTTCGTTGGTGTCAAAACTTACACATATTTGCACAATGTATGTACCCAGAGCTCTCATAAGTTCTTGTAACACAACCAGAAGAAGATTAAAGTGCGACATTTCGATGACTACACCTTCATCAGACAAAAACTGTTCTATTGACAATACCAACACGAAGAAAATGTTCCCAAATCTACACGTATTTTCGATGTTAAAATGGTCATCAGTTTAAAACTTAGAATCTTCTCAGAATGCGGATACTGAGATTTGTCATGAAGCATCCTAGGATGAAATGCTATAAATTCTTCGTGCAAGTGTCCTTGACTTGTTTTCGATGTCATATAACTATGTTTTATATTTATTTTGTATCCCTAAAGTAGCTTTAAGTTTATCTGGTGAAATTTTGATAATAGACACATAATTATAACAACGTTTCTAATCTTATACTTTACAGAAACATCTAATTTGCAGTGTTATAGTTTTTTCCTTCACATGCATCCGTCATTTTTCTTCTTAAAACTTCAAGAGGTTATCGGACATGTGACGGTATGTTTTCAAAGGTTCCTTACAACCTCCAAATTCAAGATATTTGACGAGAAAAATATAAGTGACTTATTCCACATGGTGGCGCCATTAGTAACAGTACTATAGTAATGGGGGAAATGTTTACTTTAAGTAAGATATGTGGCGTCACCTATTTAAATCTTTCAATACATTTTGACAATCATAATCAGTCTGTCATTAAACGATTCTTGTTACCGCTATTATTGGAGGACTGGATCTGTAATTCACAGTTTTATGCAAGTTTTTTCTCATTATTACCTTATTGCCATTGAATTTTTTTGCGGCAACAGTCTTTTATTTTGATAGTCATAGATTTTTATCATCATTACTTACACTATCTAATAAGTACTAGATGAATCATTCAGAGATTTAAAACGTTTGTTCTACTTAATCCTTAAATGTTGTTGTGCCTGGTCTATTTGGGGACTGTAAAAACAAAGGCCGACGCGATCATGTTGGATTCAATACCAGTAGTTTGTTATCCCTATTTCTGGAGAAATCTTGGATGGATCATTCTCAAAATTTATTCCCATTATGGAAACATCAGGGAAAGAAACTAGCCGACATGTCTCTTGTGTTCATTAACGCTAGCATATATGATTAATTCAGTTCAACATCAGATTGATAACAAATATGAGGAAAGTCTAACTTAACAGATATGATACAATGGTAGGCACCAATATCTTTCTGGAAATCTTGAACCCTCAATTTCAGGTCATTCTAATCTTCAATCTTGTAAAGATAAACCCTGTTTATTACACTTACTTCTCACTCTAATGTTATGTAACACAGACTTGGATATATATACATATATAACAGGGACTTATAGTTATACATATGTATGTAACAGGATATAGATATATATCTATGCAACATGGACTTATACATATATATATATATATATATATATATATATATATATATATATATATATATATATATGTAACACAGACATATATATATATATATATGTAAGACTTAGATGGATATATATCTCAGTAACAAATACTTAGATATAGAAAGATATATATATGTAACACGGATATCGATTTATAGCTCTGTAACATGGACTTAGATTTAGATGATTACAAGTTTTGTTTGGATTGCAAGTGCTTTAAAAACAGTATTTGTCCTTTTATTTATAATATACAAGAATACACTGATCTCTAATCAAAACAAAAAATGAACAAATCAATTATTTTTTTCCTGAACGGCCAAAGGATTTCAGACTTGACTTATATGAATCTTTCTATTACCTGTACGTTAATAACTAAAATACCACTTAAATTAGGTTAAGTTTTTTTTTCTGTACTTTTTGACCGGGTTAGTTTAATATAAGGGAAACAACTCTGATAGGCATGTCTGATCTTGGTAAACTGATAGCAAGGCCTGCTATCATTAGACCTTTGATGGTTCAAAGAAGTTTACAATAAAAATGTATTGGATATTTGAAAATTGAGTTTACATTTATAACTTTGGTATAAAAAAACTGAAACCTACTGTAGAATAGATTGGTACAACAATTTTGTTGCAAGTTCAATAGGGTAATGTTATAGTTCAGATTCTTTTCAAAACTTTTTCTTTAAAATTTGGTTGATTATTTTTTATCTCATTGTTTACTGATTTTTTGATAATGTAACACAGTTTTTTTTTATATGCACTAAAAGTAAACCCTTCTGAAACATCTTTACATAATGTGTTTTAAAGGGTTTCTAAGCAAATCTTTGTTAATGTTTGTTTTATCAAAGTAATTTGGAGTTGAAGTGACATGTTGATATTCTCAGCTGTGAAGGACTGTGTCAAAAACTGTGTTGAATTAACGTTTTTAAAAACTGCTTATAAATCTTCTTCAGAAAATTGATATTGTTAATCTCCTGATCTGATCTTGTTCATCTTCAGGGTACCCTTGGATATAAGCAAATCACGCTTTGTCAGCATATTTCATCTTTTTTCAACATAATGCACCTAGTAACTGGCAGTTGATATTTTGCAGGATTTTCTTTCTTTCTGTTTTTTTTTTTAAATTCTAAATATTCATTGAAAAACAAAAATTATTTGACATTGATTTATTTTATTTGACAATGATTTCATATCTCTCCACTTTTCAAACATATCTTAAATGTACAATCCATAACAATACACACAATTGCTTTCAGCGAATTGTATAATCCAAACTTTTCTCCACATACATCAATTCCTTTACCCTCACACTCTTACCGACCATCCAACACTTATCAAACTAGTCCAAAGTATTCTTCTGACATTATCACCACTGGAGAACATTTAGACAATTATCAAACTAACACGCACTTAATTTCTCTGGGTGAGAAAAAAGTCTTTTTTCCCCCTCCTAGATCACAAATCATAGACCCTGAAGAATACTGTGGAAAAATGGTTCAATTATTGAGCTATAGAATTGTTTTAAAAGTCATTGCTGATGCAAGAAACAAATCATCAGACACACAAATCATAAACATGAAATTTGCCACGAGTTATGAATATATACAATATAACAGTAAAAACAAATTCTAAGTAGGTTGAAAATTGGTTTGTTTAAACCTAACTTTCTGAGAGATATTCATGTTGGTTTCATGAAACAAAATCAGAAGATACATTTCCTTTGGCCTCCACTCATTTCCACCAACACTTTCAGGTGTCTGTGAGCCAAGTATTCATTATTCCAATATTAACACCAACGGTACAAATGGATTTTGCATTGAATCCTTTTTGTTTTAAAAGTCTCAATTTACAGTACATTTTGAAAAATCTCATCTAAAATTACCTGTCCACTTTAACTCACTTTAATGAATATATATTTTCTGGATTCCTTAAAAAAAAAAAAAAAAAAAAAAAATATTGTAATATACACATTTAAGTGCAATAAATGTAAGCACACGAGAGCTAATCACCATTTCTTTTAAGTACAATTTCATGCAAATCAAACATATGTTGGCAGAATACTTGAAAAGCTATATCTACCAGATATTAATTAGCATGTACTTGGAATGAAACTTGTGACACATAAATTACCAGCTATCTGATCCAAGTGATTTTTGCTGTTTTGAATGTATGGTTTTGACAGTTACATGATGTATGATGAATTTCCACAACTATGAATAATTCCTCATCAAGAAATGTTCTTTGTTGTTCCGATATTGGCTTTATCATTTCTGTCCAAGATTGTCTTTGGTACATTTGGCTTGGATTTCAAACTTTTTAGATTTGTTAAATCTGATTGTTCTTTCACTTCTTCCAACTTCCTTTGATCTCGTTCCTCTTGAATAGTTATTGATTTGAATGGTTTATTAATGTCTCTGAACTTGTCTTCATAGAAATATCCCACACACCCAATAGTGGCTGTGATGGGGAGCAGCACATATGGAGCATATGTCCGCATAACAGCTACTATCACAGGCCACATGGTCTCCTATGTAAACTGTAATTGATCTTATGTTCTTCTGAGACTTAGTAGCTGCAACTGTTAAAAGACAAAACAAACATTATTTTGCATCTCACCAAAGTTGAACCAAACATCATTAAATACACCAAATCCACCATTTCACTTGTTTTTTTCTTTTTCTGGATCTTGGATCTTGAAATTATAAGAATAATGAAGATTTCTTGATAATAAGACCTATATATGAAAGAGGTGAAATAGGCCTAAAATAAATTACTCAACTACTCTACAGCTTATGTAGAAGACATTAGTTGGTTCATGAAGCCATTACTCTGGACACATCACTTGTTGAAAAAGCATGCTACAGGCCCAATATCAAAACCCTTTTGGTCATTGAGTAGAAGTTGCTTATGCATTTCAACACATTTGACCCCTGTGACCTTGACACTAGGTCAAGGAGAACAAACTTAATAGCCCTTCATCCTAGAATGCTACAGATCCAATATCAGCACCATGGATCTTTTAGGAATTGAGAAGTTGTTTAAATATTTCAACACACCTGTGACCTTTACACACTTGGTAGCCCTAACTCAAAGCATGCTACAGGCCTAATATCAGCAGTCTGGGCCTTATGGTTATCGAGAAGAAGATGTTTAAAGATTTCAAAACATTGTCCCGTTGCCTTGAAAGTGGGTTAAGATAATTCATTTTAACAAACTTTGTAGCCCTTCATCCCCAGCATACTACAGGCCCAACATCAGCACTCTGAGCCTTTTGGTTATGAATAAGAAGTCAAAAATGTCAGTTGTTTACGATGCATGGCAGATGACGGATGACAGATGACCCTGAACAAAAGGTGATTGCAATAGGTCACCTGAGATTTGTTTCAGGTGACCTAAAAATTAAAAAGAATATTAATTGTTATTTCTGTGGTTGAAATGATAGATCCTATTTGAATTACATTTACTTTGATTTTAAATGATGAATTTCTTTGAAGTATGTTTATTATTGAAGAATTAATGCATACTGTGGCATGTTGAGACACTTTAAGAAACCATGTCTACCTGCCAACCATCTTGTACGTCTAAGGACCAAACAAACTTTGAGAATCCTCTCTGCTATGCTCACGGATAAAAAGGTGGCAAACAAATGCAAAAAATACACACCATCCATCACCAGCAAGTGGGTTATAAACCATCCGCTTAAAACCCACCTACAGGTGACGTGTGGTGTGTGTTGAGAAATTAACATACTCAGTGGTGATGCATGATGTGTGTTGTGAAATTAGTTCACTCACTGGTGACGCATGGTGTGTGTTGTGATTGGAACTTACTTGGATGGTAAGAAACAGAGTCCATTTCAGTTTCTCAACACCTTAGCTAACTATCAGCTCAATAGCATGAAAAAGTAACACCACTTTATCTGCTTCCTTTCCTTAATATTCCCATCAGTTCTGAACTTGAAGGCACAAGCAGAACTTGAAAATAATTTTAGGTTGTTTTTCAAGATGGCAGCCATACAGACTGACCCAAAAAATGACAATATTCCTGGTAAGTTTCAGCTGTATCTCACCGGTAGAACCTGAGAAGTTTAAAATAGGTATTCTTTTGGGAAAATATGACAATGCAATCATGATACAAAATGGTTGCCATGGCTGTAACATTGGACTTCTGAAGTGGGTGAAAAATAAATGTTTGTCAGCTTCCTTAACATTCCTACCAATTTTTCAGCTCAATGGCACCAGTGGAACTTTATAAGTTTAGAATGCGTTTGTCAAGATGGCAGCCATAGCAGGACCATCTCAGGGTAATTTCAGTTCCAGCTTATTCCCATGGGCGATACTTGAGAATAAAATAAAAAGTGAAAACTTAACACTTGGTGGATGGCAGGTAGTACATGGTGATGGAGGAAACATAATGGTCATCCTAAAAAAAAAATGGAAAATAGATCACATTTGTTTCTATAATCATGATTTTAAATAAAATATTAGATGAAGAATTGAAATCAGAATTAGGTTAAATAAGTCATAATCTTACAATTAATATTGAAGGAAGCCTAGTTTAGCAAAGCCACATTTTGTGAAATTGTTAATGATGTTACTTGTATATATGTTAGGTCTATGGAAGTGACATAAAAGGTTTTCAATTAACAATGCAACAATATAAACTAACTAGAAAGAAATGTAGTTCATCAATGACATTGATTGCGTATGATTACCTGTATGATGAAATACTTTTTGTCAAAGAGTTACTTAAACTGACAGATCAAAATAATGGGGTCATAGTAAGAATCTCTTTCCATGGCAGGCCAACACAAATACACAAGAAAAGTGTTGTAAGGATATGGAATACCCTTCCATATGTTGTATTAATGCCATCAACAAATTCTTTTATAAATTGACTGGATAAACACCATGATACCTAGTATTATTATAGATCTAATGTTCAGGTTTGCTGGGTAATGTGATGCATCTTTTGTATTTGTTGTGTTCATCACCCTGTGGACAGCCAGAGATATTTTCAGATGGAGAATATTCAACTAAATGGATGAAAAGTCATTTGTTAGTGAGCACTCATTAAGATTTTGGCAGCTCTGTCTGGTCATCTTATAGAACCAAGACATTAAAAAGGTGAAAGGAGTTCAGAGAAGACTTACTTATTAAGTGAATTCCAAGGCTGAAGGATCTCACATATAAGGACAGACTGTGGAAGTTTGAGTCACCCTTACTAGCTTACCACTTTTTGAGACAGGATTTGACTGAAATCTACATTGTAAATTGTAAAGACACTAATGATATCCTCAAACCTTTGAACAGTGTCACATTCAGGGACAGCTTGGTATCATGATGATTTGCACCCAACCCACCAAGTTGTTTCGCCTCCTGCACCGTTCGCACCACGAAGTTTCGCTCCAAATGCAAAGACTGTCGCACCCTTAATGTTTTATTATGAGTATAGATATAACTACCTAATTCTATGTATAATGTATCTGTGTTTTGTGTATAGATATATACATGTTGAGCTCTTTCGCTTTTAACGAACTAAAATTACTATATCAATTATCATCTAACATCCATCAAAATTTAAAGATATCATCAAATATACAACATGTATGAAAATTTAAAATAAACATGAAATGTATCTACATAACATTTATCAACGCAGGGCTCTCGATCTGCCAGATTTGGGGCCGAACATTCCCGATGCAAAATAGTTTCTTTTTTTCCCAATTTAGACTCCAATTCCCAATTCTAAGGAAAACATTGCTATTTTTCCCAATTCTAAGGAAAACATCGCTATTTTCCCCCAATTCTAAGGGCCCTGGGCCCCAGTCCCAAAATGGGGTGTGAGAACTCTGCAACGTTCAACTAACATGTGTCAATGTTCAACTAACAGTGTTGCAAGTCTGATAGTTCCATCTGTGACAGGTATCACAGGCAACAGCATGCTGTTTCCCACAGACAATTTCCCTATATGTTGCACACAACATGGTTGAAAATCAAAATGTTGCTTTCTGAAGTAGCCATCATTTATACCTGCTTACTCTTGTATTTAAAACACCAAAACTCTTATTATGAGTACACCCATTCCCCTGCATTTCATTTCTTGCTGTGAAAACAATGGGTCCGGATGTTGCGTGTGGAGGAAGGATTGGACATGCCGTATGTCCACATCAGTAACGGTAATATTTCTTCATCAAAACAACAGCATATGAAGATAACATGGTTTTAAATTAAAAAAAAAAATAGTCAGCAAAAAGTATGCAGGAGCCTCCTGGCAAAATGTGGCTTCCAATCAACCTGTAAAAACACCATTAGGCTCGTCAAAGGCAATACCGACCTCGGCAGTAAATAGGCAGACCCGTACATTCAAAAATCGAAAATTATGTTATCCTCTAAAACATTCTTTTAATTGATCCTATTTAATATAACAATTAGGGGGCACGTGTTTTTTCTCCACGAGTGATACCAGTATTTTTCGTTAGGGCGAAACATGATTTCTGAATTTTCAATTTGGTGCGAACCGTCCGATGGGAGTGCGAAACGTCACGGTGCGAAGCAACTTCGGGGAGACACGTCCGACATTCGACAGCTCAAGGAGAAACTCCGACAAAACATTTCCAAAAAGGGTAAAAACATGCGTAAGTCATGACTTTTTCTCTTTGAGAGTGAAGCATATGGAAAAATCGTCATAAAATGTAGTCACGACACCTAATACCAATATATTCAAGAACAGATTTGGCATGGAAAAATCAAGATCTGCTTTGCAACTTCAAAGCAGAAATCGAAATAGGGTCGTCAGGAAGTGACAGCCCTATCCTGGAAGCAAATATAGTGTCTGATGAAGAGGAACAATGGTTCCTCTACATTTATGTAAGTTATCAATTACCTATAGCTTTGCAGTAAAAACATAAATGTTATACAGATGATATCACCTACGACTGACGCAACGATAGACCCATGAATGAATGAGTTGGCAGTTTCAGACAGAGAAACAGAATAATCGGTAAAATGGCTTGAAGTTAGGTATGTTATAAATTACACCTACATGTCAGAGTAAATTAAACAAGAACGCTTAAACAAACTTCGGAATATACCGGTAGGCTTTTCGTGTCGTCAGCTTGTAAACATCAAGGACGTCCGCACGTGTTTTGCCGACGCTTATTATAGTCCGTAGTTTCGAACTATCTCTTAACAGTTATGTACCGTTTTCTGTGGAACATATCCAATTATTTACTATCAATTCTTAACATATTTGCGGAAAACATGCATATCTATATTTTATCGTTGAAAATCTCTTCATTTTTTTCTTTTTTCTTTAGAAAAAATAGCTCTGCTTGGTTCAGAAGGTGAAGGCTGATAGGTGAGAGTTCGGCGGAGGAGAGTTCAAGTGTGACAGCTGACGTGATTCGATGTGTCTGCTATCGTTTATTGATCAGTTTCTGAAAAACAGCCAGGAGTTAGTTTGGCCGTGCGTTCATGGAAATATCTAACAAATATGATGAGAGATTTAGGGGTAGCTTCCCCAGGAGACGGAATAAACGGCAACCCATCTCGACATTCATCGCGACAAGGTTCGAATGATCGGTTGTACCCATCACTTTTTCCATCAGACGATGAAGATGACGACCCGTACTATTCAAAAGACAGTGACAGTGCTAGTGGAGCATCTGTTACAAGTGAGGCACGCTCAACTCCCCCACCTGTCAGTCGCAGACGACACCTTTACCCTCAGAATGAGTTTGTGAATCACCTGAGACCTGAGGAGGTTCGGTGGTTTTATAAACAAACAGGGGAAAAGGAATGGAGACCATTTATTGGATACGACTCTTTGAGAATAGAATGTAGATTTCGTGCTATGCAAAACATACTTGAAGAAGAGAAGACAATGTTTGAAAAAGATATCATTACTGTCAGGGGCGGTCTATATGAAGTTAATGTGGATATGAAAAAATGTACCCCGATTTATTGGTCAGGTATGTATCATCATAATTCATAATACATTATCATATAGATCCATACACGATCATTGTACAAAACAAAGAAGGTTTTTGATAAGTATACATTTTTGCCATTGTTAGTTTCCTTATAAGATGAAAGTTGGGTTTCATAACATATTCAAGAGTAAATTTATGTTATAGAATGGAAATTAAGGTTAAAGAGTCTGAGGAATCACTGCCCTAAATGATGCTCAAGTACATATGAAAGAGAGAGAGCAACATACAACAGCCTCACGCTCTATTACATACATGCTTTACCTGACATACTGTAACCCAAATGGTACTGTAAGCACTAACTCTTTTCTGTACTACATTCTGATTCCTTTTTGTTTTAAAATTCACTTTGAGATATGTCAAAATCCACTAGTAAAAGATTATTTATTGGTTACTACACCATTTTAAAGATATGTCATGTTAATACTTTGTATTAAGACTTCTAATGAAATACAGAGTTAGAAAATGTATTGGTATGAAAATGCTTTGATCTTATTAAGCTAATTAGGTGATTATATAGACCAGGTGAGATTAATGACTTAAAGGTCAACATCAATACAAATAAATAAACAGAAATTGATTTCACTTTTTGCAGATTTTTTTCAAAAAAGAAAAATAGTTTAATTGAAACATAAAGTGTTTCCAGGTTTCTTATGCTTGTAAAGAAGCTCTACACAGCTAATGTTTTTTATCTGACATAAACGATTGTCAAAAATAAATCTTAGATCAGGTACATGTAGGACAATAAATGTGCAAATAAATATGTATCATCAATTAAAATTCAGTGTTTGCCAATTGTCATCCTAATCCAACATCTGTTATTGTCACTTATTTTCATATGGGTAATGCTTAATGTTCCTCTATAGCTAGGTATATAGCTACTTGGTAAAGCTTAGTACATGAGTTATCTCTATAAACAGTGATTAAATAAGGTAAATACCAATACACTCCCAGTGTAAATGCAAGAAGATAACAAGACACAAGATGTCACACAATGATACAAACACTCGTGCATGAGGTATGCAATATATGATAGCATCTAGTGGAGTTATATCAGGTGTGACTGTTCAGGGTCATCTTTGGATGATCTGTTGAAATCATAGTTAAAAGTAGATCTAGCTAGGCTACAAATGTGACTTATATAGATAAAAAAATCATGAGATTATGATTCTTCATTGATTATTATATACAGTAGAGGGCTATATGATCCCTTTGTAAATGGAGTTTGGATGGTACAATGTATGTATATACACACACTTATATAGGATGATAATAATAGTTTATAGAAGAGTGAATTTCATGGTGTTGGGGTCAAGGTTATTGTTACTATTTTCATAAAATCCTTGGTGATGGTCTAGTGGCTTCATTCATGAGGGATTTCAATCAAACTTGTGATGATCCATCATATCAAAGGAAAGTTTGAGTTGCAGGTTTGTTATGTTCTGAAGGTCAAGTTCATGGCAGCTTTATTTTTTGAGGGATTTTCATCAAACTTCAAATATCAATGAAAGACCATAATTTGATAGGTATGAGTTGCAAGGTTGTAGAGTTAAAGGTGAAGGTATCTGTTACTTTTTTTTAGAAAATAATTTGTCAGCACCCAGGTACTTTATTCTTGGAGGGATTTTGATCAAGCTTCACTTTTCCATAAAGTACTACCAGTATAATAAATAGCAGACAAGTTTTAGTTAGTTTTGTAGTGTCAGGGTCACCGTAACTATTTTATGAAATATCCTTATCAGCAGGCTGGTGGAGTCATTCCTAAAAGGGTTTGGATAAAACTTCTGATGATTTGCTGTCTTTTTTTTGTAGTTAAGTCAAGGTGGAAGTACTAGGGTATTGGTATCATTTGCAATGCCTTGTTATTGTTTAAAACTGTCAATTATAGATAACCAGAAAAAATATCTAAAAGGAAAGTGTTGAAATTGCAAGACGTATGTAGACATTTACCAGAAATGCCTTTCCAAAGTTTCTTTATCATTTATTGAACATGAACATCAGAAAAGATTCTAGGTCTACACACTTTGTTTTATCCATTCTACCGAAAAGTTTTTAAATGAATAAAACCTATTTATACTTGTAAAAGTCTTGAATGGGTGATTTTTCAGTTAACTAAGCTGTCTTGTCTTCATTGGAATGGTTTAAGTATTAAAATTTCATTATATGTTTCATGTAAATTCCATTGTTCTATTCATTTTTGAGACAATAAAGAGAATATTAATAGTGGTATTGTATTGAAAATGGTAATGAAAAAGGAAAATGAGATAAATTGTGGAAACATGTTATCATTTACATGTACAAATTACCACGGTGTCTTATGATAGAGTGGAATAAACTGTTCCCAGTTGGCATCTATTGACTATAATCTAACATTCATTATAACCTAGATATTGATTGCAACTGCTAAAAAAGAAGAGACATTAATAATAGGACTTTATGTTAGACAAAGATTAAAAAAATAATGATGATAAAATGTTATTATGAATTCATACATATTTTGAAGATCAAAAGACTAAACTGTCCATTATATAATATTCATTTATCAATGTTAAATGTTACTGGTTATATCAATCTAAGGTGTGACTGGGTATATCAGTGTAAGGTGTGACTGGGTACATCAACCTAAGGTGTGACTGGGTATATCAGTGTAAAGTGTGACTGGATACATCAGTGTAAGATGTGACTGGGCAAATCAATGTAAGATGTGACTTGGTATATCAGTGTAAGGTGTGACTGGGTATATCAACCTAAGGTGTGACTGGGTATGTCAGTGTAAGGTGTGGCTGGATACTTCAGTGTAAAGTGTGACTGGGTATATCAGTGTAAGCTGTGACTGGGAATATCAGTGTAAGGTGTGACTGGGTATATCAACCTAAGGTGTGACTGGGTATATCAGTGTAAGGTGTGACTGGGTATATCAGTGTAAGATGTGACTGGGTACATCAGTGTAAGATATGACTGGGTATATCAGTGTTAGGTGTGACTGGATACATCAGTGTAAGATGTGACTGGGTAAATCAATGTAAGATGTGACTTGGTATATCAGTGTAAAGTGTGACTGGGTATATCAACCTAAGGTGTGACTGGGTATATCAGTGTTAGGTGTGACTGGATACATCAGTGTAAAGTGTGACTGGGTATATCAGTGTAAGATGTGACTGGGTAATCAGTATAAGGTGTGACTGGGTATATCAACCTAAGGTGTGACTGGGTATATCAGTGTAAGGTGTGACTGGGTATATCAGTGTAAGGTGTGACTGGGTACATCAGTGTAAGATGTGACTGGGTACATCAGTGTAAGATATGACTGGCTATATCAGCGTAAGGTGTGACTGGGTATATCAGTGTAAGGTGTGACTTGGTATATCAGTGTAAGATGTGACTGGGTATATCAGTGTTAGGTTTGACTGGTTACATCAGTGTAAAGTGTGACTTTATTAAGTTAATATAACGGCTTACCTGCCCTTAGTACTATGTACATGTTTACATATAACGTCACAATGCAAAAGCGAGCCCCATTTTTAGTACTTCAGGGGTGAAAATTGTCAGAAAATTTGTCCTGATGAAGCCTCACCCTAGAGGCGAAACTAGTCGACCATAATAAATTACCCACTAATTGGTAACGCTTGGGTATGTTGTGATTGAATTCTACCTTTATTAATTTTAATATTTTACTTCATCGCCCTGCATACCTCTTGGTATCCATACCCAATGCGAAGTACCCCACTGATCAACCCTCAAACTTGGAACTGACGTTGGCTCTATTTTTTAGTTGTTATTTTAAACAAGATTTGTTTTAATGTAAGTGTCAGGGTATGAATCATAACGGGAACTTTTTTATACATGATATCATCAGAATATATGTAGTGTTATCTCAGTGGTCACAGGGAAGTATTGACTAAATATTATCCATTGTTAAAGGAGAAACAATTCCAATCTATTACTGATGTGTGTGTAATCTATCAACACGTGTAGTAAACTGATGTTTAGATAATGTGGGAGTGATTGAACGGACATTAAAAATTAGGCTGTTTTATAGATAGTCTCATTTCCTACTGTTATTAATTGAAATGATCATTAGTGACTTTACTAGAGTAACTATTCATTCATCAGAATATATGTAGTGTTATCTCAGTGGTCACAGGGAAGTATTGACTAAATATACCCATTGTCAAAGGAGAAACAATTCCAATCTGTTACTGATGTGTGTGTAATCTATCAACACGTGTAGTAAACTGACGTCTAGATAATGTAGGAGTGATTGAACAGACATTAAAAATTAGGCTGTTTTATAGATTTAGTTCCAAAAACTTCATTTCCTACTGTTGTTAATTTAAATGATCGTTATTGACTTTACTAGAGTAACAATTAATTCATCAGAATATATGTAGTGTTATCTCGGTGGTCACAGGGAAGTGTTGTCTAAATATGTGATGTGTGTGTAATCTATCAACATGTATAAATAGGTAAAAGCACTCTTCAATATCTTCTGATTAACCAAAAGGCTTTTGCTGAGGTGAAAGCTGACTTGCTTAAAAGGGAAATGTCCATGAGTCATTCAAGGTCAGAGAGGACAAATTTGTTAAAATACTTAACGTTATGTAATGCTTTCTTCTGATGGATTAAAAAATACCTATAGAGATTCATAATTATAAGAAATTTGTAAAGTTGTTGCTTGTAGCCTCAAAATGTTGAGTTTTTGTTTTGAAAGCCTCATGAAGAAAATCAATAGCAATCTTCCAGGATAGGATAAAGTGAAGGGAAACAATATTTAGACTGGAATGTTTAAAATGATGTGAGAAAAATAGGTAAATGATGCAGCATATTCTCACTCTGAGTGTTTTTTTTTTTTTTAGTAAATGAATTATCATTGTTTTCATTGCTCTGCCTTATTTCAAGTCATTAAGATTGAATATTACCAATAGGAGTAATTAAAACTGCTAATGAGTAATTTTCTTTGAATCCTTTGTGCTGGACATTTCCTCTTTTGCAAATACCGTAACCTCATATATAAAAAAAAAATACTCTGAACTGAACTAAAAGAAACATTTGACCAATGTACATCTCTTGGTTTGGAGCTTATAATGTTTGATTGATGAAAAGCCATTGGCTTAATTTCCCATAGAAATTATTTCAGCCCAAATCAAAAGCATCTAAGAAGATATGAAAAAATCAAGATCATTAAACGCCAACAACCATTAGTTTGATATCTGCGACCATGTTAGTTTGTTTGAAGGGGTTGGGATTAGCTGTTGGTCAGTTTAGACAGGTACTGTACACTAGCTCCACTGCATGCTGTAAAATGAATACTGAAAAATATGCTTAAGTTTTTAATATATCAAATTTGCTCTATTATCTTCTTCAGTCCAAGGCTATGCAGTGATTATTGTAGAAGGAGATGACAGCTTCAAAATATTAGCATATGGAAATGAGATTTTACAATGCTGTCCTGACAAATGTTAAACCATTTCCCATGTGTATTGATCCTGTAAGCAGTTTGTGTTTACTATTCCATATTTCAGATTTAGCTGGAAGGAAAAAATGTGTTTACTTGCATATTCGTTTCAGAGAAACAAGGATTTGATCTTGATTTGTTACAGTTGAATGAGCTACATGTATTCTAGAAAAGATAAGTCGCTCTGGGGTGTTGGTCATCAGTCTGCATTCCTTGGAGGAATATCTTTTTTCTATTATCATTTAGTCATGGATTCAAGACTGAACATCAGCAGTTTAAAACACAATTTGTGTAATGAGGAATAAACATGAAACTTGTTCATAAACATAATGGATTTAAATTTCCTTGAAAGATCCTAAATCAACGCTGCATCATTAGTTCTGATGATTTATTGATTGTTCCTCACATTTCACTCGCCCTGTGTTAAGCTACAGATGACCTGAGCTGATATAGATTTTCTCTTCAATTTAATTTCTAATGTTAAATACAAGGCTGTGTGATGTTGACGTTGATTTATCCTGAGGTGTTTTTTGGTCTGGTGTTAATGCTCTGTAACTCAAATTCATAACCTGTCCATCATTTGAATAGTAAAATTGTATTATAACATTGCAGTAAGCATACACATACAATGTTTTAAAATACATAATATGATTTGGCTTGAAAGAAAGTATTAAAAGAATAAATGTAATAATTTGTCATTGTCTAGTTTATATAGAAATAACTGAACTTTTTCAAAATATCATTCATACAACTAATTTATATGACAAAGCTATAACCAAAAGAAAAGGGAACAATGGGACAAAATTACGATGCTAATGCACATCAGCAGCCATGCTCGAGTCGAGTGTGGCAAGTTTTAAAACATTTAATAATCACTAGTACTGATCAAATATTAAAACATAATTTTAATATTACGTATACATTTGGCCATAAATCAGGTACTATCAATTCTAGTATGAAAATTTCTTTTAAAAACTTATGTTTCCTTTGGTGAAAAAAACCTTGTTGTACTCCTTAAAGTATCTGCTTTTGTGTTTGGTGCCGTATTGCGCTGGAATACCCTGTACTCTAACAAAACACAAGTTTGCTTTGCCACCTAAAGCAGCATTTGGGTACATATGTATTACTGGTAAATTGTACACATGGTCATACAGACATTTGAACAGTGGGCAACCAGTAAAACATCCTCTGTTGACTGGCAAGCTCAAACAAGCAAGACTGCAATGGGTATATGATCAAAAGACATGGAGTATTAGGCTTTGGTGAAGAGTCCACTGGTCTGAGGATTGCAGCATTTCACTTATTTCCACAGCAGCACCCATGTTTGGAGACAAAGAAATACAGCATACCATCAGAATCACATTCACAGCATTTGGTGGTTGTGGTGTTACTGTTTGGGGATGCTTTTCTCTAAACTGTAAGATTCACTTTCATATCCTTGATGGAGCTGTGAATGGGCAGAAGCACTATGATTAGATCCTTTAAACTATAGTTGTTCTGTATTTTGTTTTCCATAATATGGCGGATTGGCTTATCCTGATGGATGACAATGCCAAACCACACAAAGCAAGCCTGGTGCAAGACTGTCTTCAAAAAGAACTGATATAGTTCTCCAATGGCCTGCAATGTCACTAGACTTGAACCTAATTAAACATGTGTGGGAAAATGAGTAACAGAGGTTTCCTCAGAACAAGCTTTGGCAACTAGTCAGTGGTAGGAGACGACAGGCTTGTACCAAAAGTGTGGGGGCTATACCTGATATTGTCTTTTTCGTACCCAGTAGAACTCATTGATCGGTCAATCTACATCATCAAGTAAAATGTTGTGATGATTAGATGATACATCTTTTAATAACAAACATTTAAGCTATTTTGTAGACTTTGGAAATGCCTTTATGATAGAGCATTTCTGGTTTTGTAAATTCTTATCCTATTGCCCGAGTATATTGTCATCAAATATATTCAGTTGAGTTGTCTTTGAATATTTTTTCTTCAATAGAGCAATCAAAAACAAGCCCAGTCTCAGATATGGGAGGTCCTTAGCTAATGCCCTAGTGAATATACCATGATGTCCATTCTTTGTTAGGTTCAGCACACTGGCTTTGTTTTAATACAGACAAAAACCAGTACACACACATGAAAGGAAGAAAGAAGCAGTGTTTTACTAGATTATGTGTCTTGAATTCGTTGATTGGTGTACAAAAATATCTGTTTTCATTTATTCAAGGAATGTTTCCCATTCAAACTAAGTATACTTTGTAGAAAATATGTTAATTTGGAATTATATGATTTGACTTTTGCAAATATAGTTATACTAGAAGATTAATTTTGTGTGTAATGCTATGAGTATTTTTATTATATGCGGTAGATTTGTTCTTGTGTTACCAGAGGATGAGGCAGAAATGAGGCGCGGCTTGTGGTTCTATGACGATTATTGGCAGCCACTGGATGATGAGTCTGCTCTGGAGATAGAATCTGTACACATTTCAAAGTACATGGGACATAAACTAGATCAACCTCCACAATCTAAAGGCAAGAAACAAGGTAAGCTTACATCATAATCAGCTGTTGTTGCAAATCTGTTTTTATCCTCACCTAATGATCTAGGACTGGAAGACATCATTTGCAAGACATGTATCATGAATCTGTTGTGTATTGTGCAATTCATTTTTGTTTATTTTACTTAGTGTTTTATCTTTGAGTATCCACTGGAGATTAGAATAGCACACTTCAGCGTATTTAGGACAGGGGACAATGTATTGCGTTTGGCATATCTTAGAACTTTTATTAAGACTTCAGAATGGGACAATACCTGATCACTTTGAAAGGAATAGAGTAATTTGTGGACATTACTGTAGAAAAATCTTCCCCTTTCAAACTGTGACACTGGTATCCACTCTTATGGTAGGGATATACAATCTTTTTTAAAAATTTTAACATCAAGTCAACATGAAGTCCTGCATTTATCATTTTGTCACCTGACATGCAGCTTGCAACATTGGCTTCTTTCTATCGGTCATCAGTCACTAATGGCTTTGATATCTGAGCTTAGGATTTTGGCCAATAACTTGAGTTCCTCAGGGCCAATCAATCTCAAGCTTCATTAAATACTTCCTTACAGATCATTTAAGTGATTGCTTATAATACTGCTTAGTCAAGCCTACCATTACCATAGCAAAAATTGATTTCCTTATGATGAAAGTTGTTCCCTTGGGCAAATGAAAATCAAACTTAATGCCTGGTAATATAAGTGCTTCCTAAATGAAAGTGCTTGCTTTAAATTGCTTCTCATGTCAAGAAGGTCCATGAATAAAGTTACTGTTACCATCAATAAAAAAACCTTTTAATTAGTTCCCCGCATCGAGATACGGTGCCCTATAGTAATCAGCTTGTCCGTCTATTTGTCTGTCTGTCTATCTGTCCGTCTGTCCATTTTTCTGTGAAGTATCTCAAATTCTGTTGGGCCAATAGCACTCATACTTTATGCCAAGCCTCCTTGGAGTGTGTGCTTGCTTGGGGTATATAGTTTTTCATCTCCCATGGTTAAAGGTTAAGGTCACTGTTGCTATAGATCAGTTTCCATGTGAAAACTATAGTTTGCTTTGGCTAATCTAACTCAAACTTCATACAGTACTTCTTTACCGAAAGTGTTTGCTTTGGATTGCTCTACAGTTTTGAAGGTCAAAGGTCAAGGTTTGTTACTATAGATAGAAAAATCAGTTTCCTTGCAATAACTCAAGTTTGCTTTGACCGATAAAACTCATCCTCATACAATGCTTTCTTAAAAAAATGACTTACTTTGGATTTCTTTTCAGGTCCCAGTGTCAATGGTCCGGATTACTGTTACATTTAGAAAAAATTAGTTTCTGTGATATGACTTGGGTTCCCTTTGGCCAGTAAACTAAAACTTAATACAATGCTTTCTTACTGAAAGTGCTTGCTAGGGGTTACTTTTCAGATCCAGAAGTCAAAGGTTGAGGTTACTGTTGCTATAATGGAAAATCCATTGAGTGGAATAAGTTTGCTGATGCAATGATTCTAAACCAAAAGTGCTTGTTTGAAACAGATTTTCATTCAGGTCCAAAAGTCAAAGGTCACTGTAACTATAAGTTACAATCAGTTTCTGTATGATAATTTGAGTTTGCATTTCCCAATCTAAATCAAACTTCACACAAGGCTTCCTTACCTAAAGCATTGTTGAATGTGTTTGTTAGTTTGGTTTTTTTTTGTTTTTGAAACAGACTTTCTTGATTTTGTGGCAGGGTGTACTTAAGGTCTTGCTGGTAATCTGTCAGTCTGGGATGTGTGTGTCTAAGGGTGGGTAGGGGGGAGATTTCCAGCCACATAGCAGGGCCCTTGCTGACCTGTCAGTGTTCTACTTCCTGTAGAAGAACTTCAGTACACCTTGGTTAACAAATTATTTGGACTTTATAAAGACATTTTAAGCCAGAAAGTCAACAATTAAGATCACTTTTACTATATAAAAAGAAAATTGATGTCAGCATAGAAAAACCACATATAAATTCAAAAATCATACAGTGCTTCCTTACCAAGTGATTACTAGGGATTTTATGAACTATGTTTGAAGATCAATATAACTGTATGCTGTCTTGTATCTTGTCAGTTTTAAGTATTTTATTTCCATAACATCTAAAGGCGATACTTTGATTATAAGAAATACCTCAAGATATTCTGGTATCAATGTATTACTAGCTCTATAAGATTTGAATTTAGATATGAAATTTAATGTGGCTTTCAGTTGATATTTCTTGTGGTGGATAGTGTAATAGTCTCTTTATAATGTCTTTTGTATCACCCATATTATTTTTCAGTCATTCAGCGAAAGAATTTTCAAGAATTCTATGTAGATTGGAATGCTGTAGATGAGGTCTATCTTTTCAGTGAGTCAGCTTCATCTAAAATTTTCAGATCTGTGAGCAACAAGATTGGAATTCCAAAAGGTTTGTATATTTTTTTTATAAAGGGGAGAAAGAAGGGGGGATCTGTTGATATTAAAAATGGAAATGTAGCCTCACCCTTTTAGAAACCATGTGTTTGCTGTTGGTCTTAACAGATAAAAGAGAGACTTCTGTAGTGTTAAAAGATACATATGATCAGTCTGAAACATGCGTTTTGATGCAATATAGATATCAAGTTGTTGTTGATGAAATTTCAGTTTACAAATTCTTTCAATTATCTGTTGTCCTCAGATTGTACTAAAGTTAATATATCAAATTGATTAACAATTATACGTTTTACTAGGAGGTAAGCGTCTGCGACGTGGCTACCGTTACGAGGCGGTGATGGACGATAAACCACCAGACATCTCACATTTGCTGTTTGTTATTCATGGTATTGGGCAGAAAATGGAGACAGGCAATATAATAAGTCGCTGTCGTGAGTAAGTGGAAATATTTATAATCTAATCACAAACTGTTGATTGACATTTTTTTGGTCCTTATCCACAAAAGGCTGTGTGGCCATATGTTGTACTTTTATTGTGTAAGAAGTAGAGGTCTCTGGATTAATTATATATAGGGTATGGATTTCTCTGGAGTAATCATGAGAGTACAAGTGGTAGTCTTGAGTGTTGTTGGTAGAATTCATAAAGATGAAATTACCTACTACCCTTACCAAGGTCTTCCTGTTAGTTAAGATTATTGATCAGTTGTAATGGAGGCACAGATACTGTATACCGTTGGTAATATTTCTATAATAGAAAGAGAAATTTTATGTATGTATTATTAACTGGCAGTACAAAGTCCAAGTAGTATGTCCTGTGAGGCAGTATAAGCCTGTACTTTTGAGATTTGTAATACTTGTATATGATACCATCTTCTTGTACATGGTTATATAGATTAAACATAACTAAAGTACGTACAAGTCAAGTGGTGCCGTGATCTATTACAAATCAATAAGTGATTAACAGTGCAGGTATTCTGTAAGTATTTCACAAAAGGTAGAAATACTTTGCACCTGTATTTAATTTTGTGAATTGAGTATTCAGTTTGTTAGTTATGCAGGATGACCAGCTCTTATTATCAGGTATTGATTTTTAGGTCATAAATTTGCGTTAGAAAATTACGTCATTTTCGCACAAATTTTTATGACATTTCTCTTACAAACAAATGACACAACAATCAAAACCTGCTCACAAGGGCAGATAGCTCTGTATTAAGGAAAACTGGAATACAATCACACATGAAAGAGAGTCTTCTGACAAGGACACAAATACAAGGTTTCAAAATCTGAATGTTGATTAAAAAGTGTAATTTGTACAATCACTCGATACTTTTAAGGATATTTCCAAATTAAAAAAAAATAGTTGCATGGTATCTTTTCTTTCAGTCTTAGAAATCAAGTGAAGTTATTGAAACAGAAGCTGTTTCCAAACTTTGATGAATTAAATCAGCGAGCTGAATTTTTACCTGTGGAATGGAGAACAAGGCTAAAGCTTGATGGAGGTACTTAATGATATTGTTACCTGGTACTGTATGTAAAAATGACTCCCTCTTGAAGCTCTAATAAATTGCAACTCATCTAATTAATTGACATAAATAATACACTTAATTCCCTCTAAAAACACGAAATCTGTAGCTTTCTTCAGTTACTGAACATAAACTGTAACTCCATTTAGTTATCTAGATCAACACAAACAGTGACTCCATTAAGCTTCATAACAGTGACTCCCTCTGGTTACATAAATAGTGACTCTGTGGCAACATAAACAGTGACACCCTCTGGTTACATAAATAGTGACTCTGTGGCAACACAAACAGTGACTCCCTGTGGTTACATAAATAGTGACTCTGTGGCAACATAAACAGTGACACCCTCTGGTTACATAAATAGTGACTCTGTGGCAACACAAACAGTCACTCCATTAGGCTTCATAAACAGTGACTCACTATGGCTACATAAACAGTGACTGGTTACAGAAATGAGACTCTCTATGGTTACATAATAAGTGACTCCCTCTGATTAAACAGTTACTCTTTTTATGTACTTACCATGACTAAACAATGACTCCCTTTTAGTTATTCCAGCATAAACTCCGAAAGCTCTCCATAATCAGTGACTGCTTGCAGTTACTCTAACAGTGAATCAATGTAGATGTAGTTGTTCAATATACATTGGACATAGGAAAGTGACTCTCTAGTTACTCTTCATAAATAGTGATTCCCTCTAGTTGATCATGGATCCTAGTTACTCCCCATTTAATGGGCCTCCTTATAACCACTTAACATAAAATGAGACTCCTGAAGCTGGAAGTAACTGTTTATGAAGAGTCACCCTTAAGGTTACATTGACTCACTAGTTATGGTACATTGAATCTCTGTAGTTAGCAGTAACACCCTCTAGTCAGTGTATATATAAGTATTGACATAACGTATCGGTAATATCTTTTCTCTAATTAACTCACATCAAAGCTGACTCACTATATAATGGATCAGTGTATTTCCATTAAAAATGACTGAGATTTTAAGCAGAATATCCTTCTGAATTTGATGCTGTGATTTGAATATGAATGATGATTAAATACACTGTGTATAGACACTTTGTGAGGTATTTTATCTACAGTTTGAATAGAACAAACAAACCATGATAGATCTATACACAATTTTTTAATGGTTTTTCCTTTTTTCTGCCATATGAATAGAACAAACAAACCATGATAGATCTGTTAACAATTTTTCATTGGTTTTCCCTTTGGATTGGTGATTGATGTATTGGGAATTTCACTATGAACAATGTATAGAAGAAAACGTATACAATATCCTCAGCCAGAATGCTAGATCCCGATGTAATTATATTAATCATTATATTACTTTTCTGTTGAACAGAGCAGTAAAATAACAGTTGAACATATAAAAAATATTAGAGGACAAACCAGCAGACTGGTAAATAACCCACAAATTTAGTGACTCTTGGGAATGTTGTAAATGAAACTGAACGTACTTGTATTTAATTAATTTAATAATGTTGTTGTATATTTCAGACACTGTAGATTCTATTACTCCACACAAGCTGCGAGGTATCAGGACTGTTCTAAACAGTAGTGCCATGGATATTCTCTACTACACTAGTCCTCTATATAGGTCTGAGGTAATTACCTCTACTGATATGTAGTAAAACTCTTCTTATATTTAAATGATAATGTCACTAAAGATATCTTGTTGACAACTGTATTCTTTGTACAGCAAATTGATGATCACATACTGTTCAGATCATCATTTTGGAGGGCCCTTTTTCTTGCAATTTTTTAGGGGGAATTCAAATTGTGAAAAATAGGTATATGAAAACAAAATTATTACAGAAAACCATGTTTTGTGTGCTAATTTCTGTTGAAAATTTTTTATTTTTGTTTCAAGCATCTGGGTTAAAATTTAAAATTTAAATAATGAAAGGATGGCAATCTTTACAGTTTAGGAATTAACTCATTATTTTCTGATGTAACGATGACTGTAACATGACAATATCACTGGTGTTTCAGATAAAGCTCTAATCTTATGTTTCAACAGATAACACACAGTTTACAGAACGAGCTCAACAGGCTTTATGAGATGTTTTGTAGAAGAAATCCATACTTCCTCGCTAATGGAGGAAAAGTGTCTATCATTGCTCATTCCTTAGGTAAGACAAGAAAGAGATGACAATGACTTACCATTTACATTTGAATGGAAGTTCAAATGATGTTAAGAATATTGAACTGCTGGGATGTTTGGTATAGTTCCAGATACATAGACACATGTTTAACCATAAAGACAGCCATATCTTTTGGGTCTGGGGTCCTATTTCTATCATAGTTACCAGTTACAATAGGCAACTAATGTCAGTCAAAAGTCATTCACACAATTCTGTTTTAAATTAAAATGTTTTTCTCAGATTCCTGTGAGAGTAGGTCTGACAGACAGCTTGCATTTGTAAATAATATATTGTTAATAGAATACACCTGCAGTGTGGGTTGATAGTTTAATTTGGGGAAGATCCACTGGAAGTCAATTTTGTGTGAGGAAGATCCAGTGGAATTCAATTTATGATTGCTAATCACAATTAATATCAATAATTTGTCTCCTTTAGATCAAAAGATAAGCAGCATTGTTGTTTGAATGAATTGTGATTAACAATGTCATGTGTTGAACAGGTTCTGTGATAACATATGACATCATTACTGGTTGGAACCCCATACAGATGTATGACCAGTTTGTTACTTCTGTGATCGTGAGTATGAAGCATTCTTTAATGTAGCATTAATTGTTACTATATTAAAGGCCTGCCATGTAAATTGTATCTCTCAACTCTAATGGAAAAAGGAAATGGTAACTCCAGGTATCTAGCACTGGCCTGTATATTACAACTGCTACATAATATCTGAAAAGTAATGATGCTATCCAAGGATCATATTGTATTGTATTGAAAAGAAATGAATATTTTTACAAGAGAAAAACATTAAAAATCCCATTTACAGTTTAATCAGGCAGAACACAAGTCACAAAAAAACTAAAAATAATGAAATGATGACATATTTGTATTTTCAATAAAAATGATGAAGGAAACATTCTTTAATAATGTTGTCAATATTTACGGAGTGATCAAGTGAATTGTAATTACAAAATTTCTAATGATGGAATGTGATATATTTGACTAATTACCACAGAAAACTGAGGAACAAACCGCCAGCTCATCATCGGAGATACGAGATGAACTCAAAGAAGCAAAAAGAAGGTAAATGTCCATTTTGTACTTTGATGTGAATGTATATCATTGTCTACAAATCTGGCATGATAACCAGAATAACTTAAGCTTCCTATCAAGTGTGTCAGTATAACAGGAAGGATGTTTAATTTCCCTCAGGTCTCTCATTATGACAGGGAAGATGTAAAGTTCCTGTAAGATCTGCCATTACAACATGGATAATATTGACTTGCTGTCAAGTCTGTCAATGTAATAGGAAGGGCATAAAGATCCTTTGTGGTCTGTCATTATAACAGGGAGAACCTGAACTTCTTATTTGGTTGTTTGTTATCAAAGGAAGGATGTTAACTTCATGACAGTTTTGTTCTTAAATGTGTTGTACAATCTGAACTTCATGTTAGATTTGTCATTTCAGTCATTTTCAACTCAAGAGTAAATTTTCAGATTAAGAACTTGTGATTTCTTTATGCTTTCCCATTATAACACACTTACAACGTAATTAAAACTTGACCTTAAAGTCTACAAAATATTTTTTTCAGAGTCAATGACCTGGAATCACTGCTAATGACAGTCCATGAGAAACAAAAGACTGAGACAACTCTAAACTTCCAGGTATCATCATAAAAAGTTAGAAAGTGTAGATACGAAAACTTAATGTTGCTTATAACTTTATAGAACTCATATCATTTTGGGGTATTTGTTTATATTTCTTTTTTATTTTCTACGGTGACTAACCAATGACCAAATACTGTGTTTCATCATGAAAATTAGTACACAATACAGCAGTGAAGAGCATAGAGTAGGCTAATGTCCCGTTTATTGGACAACTGTCTAATATCAGTTGATTCTTGTCTTGCCTGGTACGAGAAGTTGCTGAAGAAAGACTGGTATTACTGGGACAGCGGTGATGGCAGCATCACCAACATTTAACTGTAAAGTGTTGTGTTGGATTCATTGCTGAAAAAGTATGTGTCCAACTTAACCCAAACTTGGTAGATATGGTTTACTTCTCTTAGGTGTTTTTGTCCATGAAACAAGGAGTATGCCCATAATGAAATATTGTGTATTATAAGGTGATTCCAGTCTCAGGGGATGTAATCCAGTCAACTTCACCTTGATATAAGGAGGTGTCATACTGGTTAATCATGACTCAGACTTACTTAAAACAACATGGTGACACATACTTGTCTGACTCAAACACATACCTGTTACGTTCTGCAGCTACAATTTATTGTAAAATGTGAAAGGGTTGATAAACAGTAATTATCAATACAGATTATTAATCATGGCTTCAGTTGTGTTCATTTTTTTTATATTATGTTGTTTTTTGTTTGTATTATTTTTAAAATACAATATCAGTTGGAGTTTTCTCCCTTGATAGTTGTGGTTTAATTGTCCATAGCGAGAACTAGTAAAATGAAAGAAATTTGATGGTCCACTCGATCACGATATATGTTAAGTTCACACTAGCTAGATTATTTAGTGGACACTTCATTGCATCCATCATTTACGAATTAGATTCCAGATGTTACTGTCAAGCATCTCTGAAAATAAGGGATCTCTGGCAAGTTGGATGTTTTGGAAATTTTTGTGCTTAGCTCTGTTTCTAAAAACATAGAAGTGCAATTCCAGTGATTTTTTTCCTCCTTCCTTGGAGTCATATTTTAAGAGTGAAAATGTCAAATTTCCAGAACTATTATTATATCTTTCTCATTCCTAAATTTATATAAAAGATTGTGCATCCTCTGAATGGGTTTTGTGGGGATATTTTAGAACAGACCATTTCTGTGCTTATAATGCAATTTTTTTTTGTAGTTGGAAAACTTGTTCTGCCTGGGATCACCATTAGCGGTCTTCCTGGCTCTCAGAGGAGTTCGGCCAAAAGGGAAAGGTACATTGGATCACATTCTTCCTAGCTCAGCCTGTAAACGCCTCTACAACATTTACCATCCTTACGACCCTGTGGTGAGTTTTAACTGTAAACATGTACACACCTCTACAACATTTACCGTCCTTACGACCCTGTGGTGAGTTTTAACTGTAAACATGTACACACCTCTACTACAGTTATCTTCAATACAACACTATGGTCAGTTTTACTAGTAAACATGTAACCTTTCTACAACATTTAGCATTCATACGATCCTGTTATTCGTGTTAAAATGTAAGCATTGATCGGTACAACTTTAACCTTTTGTAGTCACCCCTACAAATTCCTTTAGCAGTGGTTGTTTCCTTTTACATACCCAGGGAAACATATTTGTGGTGAATATTAATTTGGGCTCTGTCTGTCCATGAGTCCATGCATCTATGGGACAATGCGTCTGTGCATGTGTCCATCCTCTGGGTTTTTGGGCTATAACTTCAAAACTAAACCATTCAACTTCACAAAACTTTCTCTATGTATTAGGTTAGTGCCCAAGTTGTGTCTTTTGCTATTTTTATAGGATTTCTTTTAAAAAAATTTTTTCGGTCACCATGGAAACAAAGTAAAAAAAACACCAAACTAGTGTTAAATTTCCTTTCTGGACTACATCTTTGTAACCATTCCACTCAACTTCACAAAACTTTCTGTATATTTTAAGTTAGTGCCCTACTTGTGCCTTTTGCTATTTATGACATTTCATCATTTATATTTTTTGTATTGTTAAGGAAACAGATTACCCTCATCACAAATTTTAGTTTTTCTTGACCAATGCTGTGAAACTGTTCAAGATAATTGCTCAAAACTTTTTTACACTTATTAAACTAGTAGTATCTTTTGCTATGGGGAAGTTCTCTATTTAAATTCTTTTTCTGTTACCATGGAAACAGATAGGTCAAATTGCAAAATTCAGTTTTTAAGACTGGTTCTCTTAAACCATTCAAGGTAATTACAGTGTACTCAAATCTTTGTACAGGCATCAAGCTAGTACTCTAGTAGAAGTTCTCCATTTCAATACATTTTAGGGAACAATTAAAAATAACAAATTAAAATCAAACTTGTTGTAATATTAACATATATATATATATATGTATATATATATGATTGTGTGTCTTTCTATTTAACAGTAGGGCACTGGGGATAATGTCATGATTTGCGTTATCTTGTATGTCCTTACATCTAAGACTGTATAGATAAAGAATATTGACCTTCGATGCAGCTGATATATGATTCCAATAAATCATTGAATATGTATACTTAACAGGCATACAGACTAGAACCTCTAATTCTGAAGCACTACTCCACCATTGCACCGCTGTGTATCCACAAACATGATGCAGGAAATAAGCAGCCTTATTGTCAGATGAAGACAGAAGCATATGCTGCCTTCCAGGGTTCAAGTGAGAGACTGAGTGAGCGGAGTGACCACTCAGACAGAGATTATGTCGATGGCACAGAGATGGCATCTAATAGCAGTCGGGACAATTCTCCTTCTCGCAACCAAGGTTTAACTTCATTCTGTGGGTACTTTGGTGTTGTCTCCCCTTTCTGGTAACTTCTTGCATACTGTCATGTTCATCACCCAGGTTTAGGCCTACATACTAAACATATGACTACAAGCTTTAAAATATAATGCTTGGTAAAAATTACCCAAGAAAGTGGTCATTCTGTGAAATTATTAAATATGGTACACTTGTTGTTGTTGGAAGATTGACAGATATAAAATCGTAATGTGATGTTCATGATATGCATGGTTAGTTTCCAGCTGTCATTTAGTATGTTTTAATGTTTATCATCATGCCATGTGTACATGTATGAAATCTTATTAATGTGGAGATTGAAGTTTTCAGAAATAACAAAGTTAAATATGTAATAACAGATGCGTTGGATACACTTTCCTCCTCATCTAAATTTTTTTTAGATTCCGTGTATCTGTAAACTGCTCGGTATATGTAGTGGTCACCTAGTCTGGACTTAAGTTTACATCACAAAAAACCCAACAATGCACATATACCTCAGCGGAAAGGGTATAAGATGTGTTTTTAATTTAAATCATGAAGTAGTTGAAGCTGTTATTTTATAAATATATCTATATAACACGAGTAGAAAAAAAAAGAATATGAAAACATTTTATAATATGTTGTATTTTAAATCACATCATGGAACTATTTCATGCAGATATTACTACATGCATTTTTTTGTTCAGAAGAAATATAATCTATCATAAAGACGTATGAAGTACATTTCACTTTTTAAAATTATAGGAAAACAATAAATGAATTGAAAAATAAATTATCTAAATAAAAAGAATTATGAAAACTTTAATTTGAATCAACACTGACTAGTGTATAGTTTGCTTCTTATGATAAATTCTGTTGGTAAACTTTGTTTGTAAGCAAGTTTGTGGACAAGAAAAGGATCCAGAGTGAGAAAGATATATTTGACTTGAAAATGAAAATGTTAAGATCTTCGATTTTGATGCATATAATTGTTATATACAGTTGAAATTGGAGACGAAATGATAAGCATAGCTCCTAGCTACTGGGGTTTGAATTTAACATAAAGCTTGAATTCTTCTTCTTTGTGGTTTTCATCTCCACCAATACTGCTGATTCTGGTGAGGCTATAGTAACCCTCTAGTCTCTAGCCAGCCACACTACGGCAAGATTAAAGAGAAATTCCCATGAACCAAGGCTAGAAAGATGACCATGAGTACTCTTAACTTCAACAACTTCTAGTATCAGTAAGACTTACCAGTATAAAAAATACATCTTGTATTTGAGAACTAATAATGTGCAGTGTTCAAACAAACTATAAACTGATGAGATGTTACCTGTCACCTATGTTTAAGGTACTGTAAAAGAATAAAAAGAACTCAACAGTTAATTGGATAATTGATCAGGTTTCCTCAGCGAGTTATAATAACTAATCCTTGAGTTGTCATCAGCGAGTTATAATAACTAATCCTTGAGTTGTTATCAGCGAGTTATAATAACTAATCCTTGAGTTGTCATCAGCGAGTTATAATAACTAATCCTTGAGTTGTCATCAGCGAGTTATAATAACTAATCCTTGAGTTGTCATTAGTGAGTTATAATAACTGATCCTTGAGTTGTCTTTAACAAGTAATAATAACTGATCTTTGAGTTGTCATTAGCGAGTTATAATAACTAATCCTTGAGTTGTCATTAGTGAGTTATAATAGCTAATCCTTGAGTTGTCATTAGCGAGTTATAATAACTGATCCTTGAGTTGTCATTAACAAGTTATAATAACTGATCCTTGAGTTGTCATTAGCGAGTTATAATAGCTAATCCTTGAGTTGTCATTAGCGAGTTATAATAACTGATTCTTGAGTTGTCATTAACAAGTTATAATAACTGATCCTTGAGTTGTCATTAGCGAGTTATAATAACTAATCCTTGAGTTGTCATTAGTGAGTTATAATAGCTAATCCTTGAGTTGTCATTAGCGAGTTATGATAACTGATCCTTGAGTTGTCATTAACAAGTTATAATAACTGATCCTTGAGTTGTCGTTAACAAGTTATAATAGCTGATCCTTGAGTTGTCATTAGTGAGTTATAATAACTGATCCTTGAGTTGTCATTAACAAGTTATAATAACTGATCCTTGAGTTGTCATTAGCGAGTTATAATAGCTAATCCTTGAGTTGTCATTAGCGAGTTATAATAACTGATCCTTGAGTTGTCATTAACAAGTTATAATAACTGATCCTTGAGTTGTCATTAGTGAGTTATAATAACTGATCCTTGAGTTGTCATTAGTGAGTTATAATAACTGATCCTTGAGTTGTCATTAGTGAGTTATAATAACTGATCCTTGAGTTGTCTTTAACAAGTTATGATAACTGATCCTTGAGTTGTCATTAACAAGTTATAATAACTGATCCTTGAGTTGTCATTAGTGAGTTATAATAACTGATCCTTGAGTTGTCATTAACAAGTTATAATAACTGATCCTTGAGTTGTCTTTAACAAGTTATGATAACTGATCCTTGAGTTGTCATTAAAAAGTTATAATAGCTGATCCTTGAGTTGTCATTAACAAGTTATAATAACTGATCCTTGAGTTGTATTTAACAAGTTATGATAACTGATCCTTGAGTTGTCTTTAACAAGTTATGATAGCTAATCCTTGAGTTGTCATTAACAAGTTATAATAACTGATCCTTGAGTTGTCATTGGTGAGTTATAATAACTGATCCTTGAGTTGTCTTTAACAAGTTATGATAACTGATCCTTGAGTTGTCTTTAACATGTTATAATAGCTAATCCTTGAGTTGTCATTAACAAGTTATAATAACTGATCCTTGAGTTGTCGTTAGTGAGTTATAATAACTGATCATTGATGTTGAAATCTCAATCATCCCCATGAACAGAAGAAAATATTGAACAGATTTATGAGAATTCACTACTTTAAACCTTTAGTTCCCCATCACTGAAGGTTGTATGCCATTCATTATTGGTATACCTCTTCCTTTATTCCTTTCTTTCAATACACATCTTTCACAGCATTTCTGAGTGAATTTTATTTAATTTTGACTTTCCTTTCTGATTTTTGATTGACCGTGATTTCATTTATCCTTTAGATATTTATGTAGTGTTGCTATGTATGGTTTATATATGTAGTGTTTGTCACAAGCATGTTCTCGACATTTTCCTTGTTATATATAGTGCATTTAGTAACAATTTATACTGCAAATCAACTGCTAACATTAGTGTATAGTTAATCATGTTCATATGGAATTTAATTTGCCTATATTAGCAGTCAGGTAAGATGAGACAAAACTAGATAATCAAAATCTCAGAATACATCTGTTATGTTTGTAGACACTACCTAGTAATATGAATTGACAGTCAGATACAATGTGAAATACCTTTTAATCTGGACAACTGTAAAATGTACGCCCTGAAAAATCAAACATGTAAACATGACTGTACCTACAAAAGACACCTGCCTTTCACATATAGGCATAATACCAGGCATCAAGGGTTATTTCCTCTCCCCAACAGTCACATATACATACTTAGACACACAAACCTTGTGTTATTTCAGTGAGTGGTATCTTCACAAAGAAGAGTGAAGTCAACCTTGCTGCAGAACTGAAGAGCATCAAGAGGTTGGAGAAGGATGCTGCTGCAATAGAAAAGTCTCTCAAGTCAGATAGAATGGAAGAAGACATAGACCAAACAGGTATAACATGATGTTACATTTTTATTAGCTCACCTAGTGTCACATGTGGCAGAGTCTGTCTTCCAGCATCTGGCGTCTGGTGTCAAGTGTCCATTTTCCATCAACTTTTTTTGAGTAAAAATCGCTACTTGTCATGTACAACAGATTTTGCCCAAATAAGGTCTGAAGAATTCTTGGATGAAGGAGAATCAAGCTTGTATACATGTTAGGTCTTTGGCCCTCTAGGATGGAAGGGGCAAGGCCCAACCAGGGAAATGGAGTAAATACTTTTAAATGCTACTCTTCCTATAGGGGTAAATGGATATTACCCAAATTTGATCTCAAGCATTTTTGGGTGAAAGGGTAAATTCTTTGAAATCCTACTCCTCCTATAGGAATGATAGGATTTTGCCCAAATTTCGTTTGAAGTATGCATAAATGGTGGATCCTGGCCCCGTAGGGCAGGAAGGTTGGGCCCCAATTGGGGAAATGTAAGAGCTTGAATATCCTAATTCCTTATAAGGATATTGTTCAAGTTTGGTCTGAAACAATTTTTATGAATAGTGAATCAGACTTCTGTTAAACAACAGGACTGCCCAATAAGGAAATTATTTCTGAAATTATTTGTCATATTTGAAATTCTTTGTTAAATGACTGAATAGTTGAATTGGTCAGGTAAGTGATGCAGGCTCCTTGGGTCTCTTGTTTATATGTTTTGAGTGTTATAATTACTGGTAGCTGTTACTGGTAGCTGAAATACCAAGAGTTGGGGTTAAATCCGGGTCTATGCCCTCACCATATCAGTTTAAGTCTGAACATTAAAAATTCCAAAAGTGATTGCTTTTACCCAACCAATAACTTTTATTAATATGTAACAGTAACTGTTTGGTATGTCAAAACCTTAATAGAGTTAAGGCTGTGATTTGGCACTGAATCTATTACAGATTTGGAGTACCGTATTGATTTCCAGCTGAGAGAAGGTGGATTTGTTAGTAGTTATCTTTCTTTGCTGACCTCTCACACATCCTACTGGAAGGACAGTGATGTAGCGTACTTTCTGTTGACTCATCTTCATCCTGCTCTGGAGAGGTCCTGACAGATGATCAAGGGCAATTACTGAGACATAGACTCATCTTCATCCCATGCATGAGGAAACAGAGGACTAAAGACAATGTGCTTACCATAATGAGTCATAGATGCATCTTCATCCTGCCCTGGAGATGTCCTGACAGAGGACCTAGGAGCCCTAAAGAAGTCCTGATAGAGGACCTTGGGGCCCTGGAGAAGTCCTGAAAGAGGGCCTAGGGGCCCTGGAGAAGTCCTTAAAGAGGGCTTAGGAGACCTGGAGATGTCCTGACACAAGAATGAGGGGTCATGGAGAAGTCCTGACAGAGGACTTAGGGGCCCCTGAAGAAGTCCTTAAAGAGGGCTTAGGGGCCTTGGAGAAGTCCTGATAGAGGACCTAGGGGCCCTGGAGAAGTCCTGACAGAGGACCTAGGGGCCCTGGAGAAGTCCTGACAGAGGACCTAGGGCCCTGGAGAAGTCCTGACAGAGGACTGAGGGGTTGTGGAGAAGTCCTAAAAGAGAACCTAGGGGCCCTAAAGAAGTCCTGACAGAGGACTGAGGTGGGGCCCTGAAGAAGTCCTGACAGAGGACCAAGGGGCCATGGAGGAGTCCTGACAGAGGACCTACGACAGTAAGCTTACTGAGACATTATAAGTGTTCTTATATTTGAGAGATCACATGATGTGGAGAAACTCTTCAAAGACAAGAACAGGGTGTCCTGGATATCCATTGCTGTAGAAAGACAATGTCTGTATTGTGTAATTATCTCATACAGATATTTGTATAGAACAGTCTGAGATTTGTTTAAGAAAATTTACAAATCTTTACATTTCTGGAGATTTTCATAGCACTGTGATGATTTGATGTTTTTGAATATTTCTTTTTGTTCTTCTCATTTGCTTATTTTGCTCAATTTGAGAAAAACACCTCATTCCAGTTGCAATATCATTGTGATTAGTATCTTTGTTTTTGAAGAGGCCTATAACCTATGATATGTTCCGGGCAGTTTGTGCAAGTCTTTATGTGTGTAACCATAATAAATGACATCTTCTCTAACTTGTAGTTACAAATGTATGTAGATTACTTTACTAGGACATGTATCAAACATCAGGAAAGGAGATTCCATTTTTCTGCTGCAGGCCATCTATTTATTTGGTTTACCTCTCTATACATTTAACATATCTCCAGAGATTTGACAGCAGCATACAATTTTGATTAAAAAAATTGTCATGAAAGTATGGACTGGAGATTGATATGTATTTCACATTAATTGGGGGAGTTAAAAATTGAGGAAAAATTTCTCTTTGTTTGGTATATACCATTAAATTGTACATGATTGTATTTGTAAAGTTTCATTTAACTTTATTATATTTCTGTGGGGAAGGCTATGATTCTATAGGGAGTGCTCATTCCTAGTATATATTTGTATGGAGGGCTTATGTGAACAGGGTTAATGGTAGTATATATCACTAGTGAGCGCTAATGTTAGTATATATCTCTAAGGAGGTCTTATGTAAGTATATATCTATAGGGAGGGCTAATGTTAGTATATATCTATAGGGAGGGCTAATGTTAGTATATATCTATAGGGAGGGCTAATGTTAGTATATATCTATAGGGAGGGCTAATGTAAGTATATATCTATAGGGAGGGCTAATGTTAGTATATATCTATAGGGAGGGCTAATGTTAGTATATATCTATAGGGAGGGCTAATGTAAGTATATATCTATAGGGAGGGCTAATGTTAGTATATATCTATAGGGAGGGCTAATGTTAGTATATATCTATAGGGAGGGCTAATGTTAGTATATATCTATAGGGAGGGCTAATGTTAGTATATATCTATAGGGAGGGCTAATGTAAGTATATATCTATAGGGAGGGCTAATGTTAGTATATATCTATAGGGAGGGCTAATGTTAGTATATATCTATAGGGAGGGCTAATGTTAGTATATATCTATAGGGAGGGCTAATGTTAGTATATATCTATAGGGAGGGCTAATGTTAGTATATATCTCTAAGGAGGGCTAATGTTAGTATATATCTACAGGGAGGGCTAATGTAAGTATATATCTATAGGGAGGGCTAATGGTAGTATATATCTACAGGGAGGGCTAATGTAAGTATATATCTGTAGGGAGGGCTAATGTTAGTATATATCTATAGGGAGGGCTAATGTTAGTACATATCTATAGGGAGGGCTAATGTTAGTATATATCTATAGGGAGGGCTAATGTCAGTATATATCTATAGGGAGGGCTAATGTAAGTATATATCTATAGGGAGGGCTAATGTCAGTATATATCTATAGGGAGGGCTAATGTCAGTATATATCTATAGGGCGGGCTAATGTCAGTATATATCTATAGGGAGGGCTAATGATAGTATATATCTACAGGGAGGGCAAATGTTAGTATATATCTATAGGGAGGGCTAATATTAGTATATATCTATAGGGAGGGCTAATGTTAGTATATATCTACAGGAAGGGTTAATGTTAGTATATATCTCTAAGGAGGGCTAATGTTAGTATATATCTACAGGGAGGGCTAATGATAGTATATATCTACAGGGAGGGTTAATGTTAGTATATATCTATAGGGAGGGCTAATGTCAGTATATATCTATAGGGAGGGATAGTGTTAGTATATATCTACAGGGAGGGCTAATGTTAGTATATATCTATAGGGAGGGTTAATGTTAGTATATATCTACAGGGAGGGCTAATGTCAGTATATATCTATAGGGAGGGATAGTGTTAGTATATATATACAGGGAGGGTTAATGTTAGTATATATCTATAGGGAGGGTTAATGTTAGTATATATCTACAGGGAGGGTTAATGTTAGTATATATCTACAGGGAGGGTTAATGTTAGTATATATCTACAGGGAGGGCTAATGCTAGTATATATCTACAGGGAGTGCTTATTTTCTCCATGGTTCACTAAGTATAAAATATGTATAACTAATGTTGTGCTGAATGGATAGACTTGTGAAGTAAGACAATACATCAGTGCCTCAATGTTATAGAACCATCCTGTGATTTTTACCCATATGCTGTACCATTTGTGGTGCTTTATTTTCTTACAGATATATTTTGTTGAATTGTTACATGTTTTGTGGCAATGAGATTAGTATATTGGATATATCTATGTAACTTGGTGTAACTAACTGTCAAAGTGTTGCATCAGTGTTGGAGGAATCACTTGTTTTATACTTTGCTTTTGCTTTTTAAAACATCATTTTTGTTAGGACAAAGTTCTTTTAACACAACCAGTAGATGGTTAGAGTGTGATGTTTCTATGACTGCAAGGTCATCTTCATCAGACAAATGACCAGTGTGGTGTGCACTAGCACTGATATACATAGTATAGAAGATAGTAAGGAATGGACCAATTTTCACACTGGTTTCGACATTTCCCTAGCAGCCTAGTTGTGATATAAAAACTTGTTCTTTACATCATTATCAAACCCTCACCAGGAAGTCTCTTTTGAACATTGGTGGGTGATTGTAATTCGTGGAATTGTTGTGTTTTAAAAGTTACTTTACATGCTTTGAAGATAATGTTCCCTTCCTGTAATAATGACTTAAAGTAAAATGCTGAAATTCCAAGGTTTGTTTTGGTAGTGAAAATGGTTTATTGTTATGGTGCTTAAATATATGTATATCAATAGTGTGTGTGATCTGTGTAGATAACTTGTGAGATCTACAATATATCAGTTGTGTGTGTGATCTGTGTAAATAACTTGTGAGATCTACAATATATCAGTTGTGTATGTGATCTGTGTAGATAACTTGTGAGATCTACAATATATCAGTTGTGTGTGTGATCTGTGTATATTGTATCAGTTGTGTATGTGATCTGTGTAGATAACTTGTGAGATCTACAATATATCAGTTGTGTGTGTGATCTGTGTAGATAACTTGTGAGATCTACAATATATCAGTAGTGTGTGTGATCTGTGTAGATAACTTGTGATATCTACAATATATCAGTTGTGTGTGTGATCTGTGTAGATGACTTGTGAGATCTACAATATATCAGTTGTGTGTGTGATCTGTGTAGATAACTTGTGAGATCTACAATATATCAGTAGTGTGTGTGATCTGTGTAGATAACTTGTGAGATCTACAATATATCAGTTGTGTGTGTGATCTGTGTAGATGACTTGTGAGATCTACAATATATCAGTAGTGTGTGTGATCTGTGTAGATAACTTGTGAGATCTACAATACATCAGTAGTGTGTATGATCTGTGTAGATAACTTGTGTACAATATATCAGTTGTGTGTGATCTGTGTAGATAACTTGTGAGATCTACAATATATCATTTGTGTGTGTGATCTGTGTAGATGACTTGTGAGATCTACAATATTTCAGTAGTGTGTGTGATCTGTGTAGATAACTTGTGAGATCTACAATATATCATTTGTGTGTGTGATCTGTGTAGATAACTTGTGAGATCTACAATATATCAGTTGTGTGTGTGATCTGTGTAAATAACTTGTGAGATCTACAATATATCAGTTGTGTATGTGATCTGTGTAGATAACTTGTGAGATCTACAATATATCAGTTGTGTGTGTGATCTGTGTATATTGTATCAGTTGTGTATATCTGTGTATAACTTGTGAGATCTACAATATATCAGTTGTGTGTGTGATCTGTGTAGATAACTTGTGAGATCTACAATATATCAGTAGTGTGTGTGATCTGTGTAGATAACTTGTGATATCTACAATATATCAGTTGTGTGTGTGTGTGTGATGACTTGTGAGATCTACAATATATCAGTTGTGTGTGTGATCTGTGTAGATAACTTGTGAGATCTACAATATATCAGTAGTGTGTGTGTGTGTGATAACTTGTGAGATCTACAATATATCAGTTGTGTGTGTGATCTGTGTAGATGACTTGTGAGATCTACAATATATCAGTAGTGTGTGTGATCTGTGTAGATAACTTGTGAGATCTACAATACATCAGTAGTGTGTATGATCTGTGTAGATAACTTGTGATATCTACAATATATCAGTTGTGTGTGTGATCTGTGTAGATAACTTGTGAGATCTACAATATATCATTTGTGTGTGTGATCTGTGTAGATGACTTGTGAGATCTACAATATTTCAGTAGTGTGTGTGATCTGTGTAGATAACTTGTGAGATCTACAATATATCATTTGTGTGTGTGATCTGTGTAGATAACTTGTGAGATCTACAATATATCAGTTGTGTGTGTGATCTGTGTATATTGTATCAGTTGTGTGTGTGATCTGTGTAGATAACTTGTGAGATCTACAATATATCAGTAGTGTGTGTGATCTGTGTAGATAACTTGTGAGATCTACAATATATCAGTTGTGTATGTGATCTGTGTATATTGTATCAGTAGTGTGTGTGATCTGTGTAGATGACTTGTGAGATCTACAATATATCAGTTGTGTAAGTGATCTGTGTAGATAACTTGTGAGATCTACAATGTATCAGTTGTGTGGACATTTTGTGATATACAATATTTCTTTGCTAATGTATGGTACAAACTGTAGTGTTGCAATCACTCTGATCTCAATTTCACTTCTATCACATCTAGTACATGTAATGTATTTCTATTGAAATCCTCACAGCTCTCTTCAAATACATTTGCCATTGATTACTGTTACTTAAACATTCACCTGTAATTTATATGATTGAACACTGATGAATATTGTATATAATACCGAAGATGGTAGCTTGATAACAGAACTTTATGATTATCAGAATGTGAAATATTTGTTTTACAATGTGTACATTCTTGATTCATATTTTTGTACAAGTGAGTGCAATGTAAGAGAGAACTTTAGCCAAGTCAGTTTTATGAAATTAAATTATATATATAACATAATTCCTTCAGACTAATACCTGGTAATAGTAAATTTTAATTCCTCTTTTGATTTTAATGGATTTTGTTTGCAAAAGATGGTACCAACAGCTCATAACTTAAAATTAAACACGGCTTAGATTTTATAGGTCTGGCATCTGGTAGTGATGTGTTTTTTTTTTTTTTTATTTTATTTTCACCTAAGAACAAAGTACATAAGGTGACATTTCTTGTATTACAGGTGTAGATGTTAAGCTTGTTGTCTTCTAGTTTCAGTTGGATATAACTTTTCCTTAAAGGTCACTTACTGGGTTTTACTTAAATGGTTAATTCCATATATGGTGTCCTAAGTCATGTCAATAGGATGATGTCAGAAACCCCATTATTGGGGTTAATAAGTCCTTACAGGGTTCCTACCCACCCTTAGGACTGGTCTCTATTCAGTACATCTTTAATCAGTATACAATTGCAAAGCATTAAGAGATAAACACAATCATACTAATGGGCTATATCGTTAGGTCGCCTCAGTCACCAGTCATGATGGAGACCTTGATCATTTAAGAATATTGAAAAAAAAAGATTAACATAGAGAAAAATAATACTACCAAGACTGAATCCTGGGGACTTATTCGAGGGCTATAAACCTTTGAATCCTGGGGACTTATTTCAGGGCTACAACCAGTGTCTAAAACCTTTGAATCCTGGGGACTTATTTCAGGGCTACAACCAGTGTCTAAAACCTTTGAATCCTGGGAACTTATTTCAGGGCTACAACCAGTGTCTAAAACCTTTGAATCCTGGGGACTTATTTCAGGGCTACAACCAATGTCTAAAACCTTTGAATCATGGGCCACTTATTCCAGGGCTACAACCAGTGTCTAAAACCTTTGAATCATGGGGACTTATTCCAGGGCTATATCCAATGTCTAAAACCTTTGAATCCTGGGGACTTATTCCAGGGCTACAACCAGTGTCTAAAACCTTTGAATCATGGGGACTTATTTCAGGGCTATAACCAGTGTCTAAAAACTTTGAATCCTTGGGACTTATTCCAAGGCTATAACCAGTGTCTAAAACATTTGAATCCTTGGGACTTATTCCAGAACTATAACTAGTGTCTAAAATCTAAGAATCCTGGGGACTTATTCCAGGGCTACAACCAGTGTCTAAAACCAATCCTGATTTATTCCAGGGCTATAATAGTGTCTAAAACATTTGAATCCTGGGGACATTTGAATCCTTCTTATTCCAGGGCTATATCTAATGTCTAAAACCGTTGATTCCTGGGGACTTATTCCAGGGCTACAACCAGTGTCTAAAACCTTTGAATCCTGGGGATTTATTCCAGGGCTATATCCAATGTCTAAAACCTTTGAATCATGGGCCACTTATTACAGGGCTACAACCAGTGTCTAAAACCTTTGAATCCTGGGGACTTATTCCAAGGCTATAACCAGTGTCTAAAACATTTGAATCCTTGGGACTTATTCCAGAACTATAACTAGTGTCTAAAATCTAAGAATCCTGGGGACTTATTCCAGGGCTACAACCAGTGTCTAAAACCTTTGAATCCTGGGGACTTATTCCAGGGCTATAATCAGTGTCTAAAACATTTGAATCCTGGGGACTTATTTCAGGGCTATAATCAGTGTCTAAAACATTTGAATCCTTGGGACTTATTTCAGGGCTACAACCAATGTCTAAAACCTTTGAATCCTGGGGACTTATTCCAGGGCTACAACCAGTATCTAAAATCTTTGAATCCTGGGGACTTATTCCAGGGCTATAACCAGTGTCTAAAACCCTTGAATCCTGGGGACTTATTCCAGAGCTATAACCAGTGTCTAAAATCTTTGAATCCTGGGGACTTATTCCAGGGCTATAACCAATGCCTAAAATCCTTGAATCCTGGGGACTTATTTCAGGGCTACAACCGATGTCTAAAACCTTTGAATCCTGGGGACTTATTTCAGGGCTACAACCAGTGTCTAAAACCTTTGATTCCTGGGGACTTGTTTCAGGGCTATAACCAATGCCTAAAACCCTTGAATACTTCTAGAAACAGTTGTTGTATAATGTACCGCTACTGATTAAACTAAGCATGTCTTGACTAGAAATTCCAATTAAGTAAGGTGTTTCCCCTTGGCCCAGAATTTATTTCCTGGCTTATTGTTCCTTAAATTTTAATTTTGGGATAGGGTCTTCTTGTAGTAGTTCAATCCAGAGTCAGAAACCAAAATGATGAAAAGTTTTGAGCTATAGTTATCTTTTTGCCAGGAATAATGCAGTATGTAAGAAAGCAGTATCTGGACTTTTTTTGTATTCAGTGTGGCTTACATGACATACTGCCTTAAAGGATTTACCAACACAACAGACCTAACCAGTAGTAGATGTAGTAAATAGAAAATGAAACCATTTTCTCACATGTTCATGAAAATGTTAAGTTGTCAAAAAATATTGAGAGTAATTTCTTGTATTTTTATGTGACAATATTTATTTTATGGCCACATCAAATGCCAAATGTTTTAAATAAAACAATGTTATATACATTGAACGATGTGTTTTTGTTTGTACGACTTTTTGTTCTTGATCAAATGGAAAAAAGTGTAAATGTTTAAAATAAGAGGAAGACTTTACTTGGAAATCAGTATCACCTTCCAAGTATGTATATGATGATCACAAGGGGACCTATGAAATCTGTGAATTGTACTGTAATCCTGATTATTGTCTTCACTTTGCATACTTCATCAGTTGCAATTTTCATTTTTAATTCACCATCACCAATTATGCTGTGCTATTCTGTAAATGATCCCTTCCTATCACCTTTTTTTGAGAAATACTGGAAGGATATTTTTCGAACTTCCAAAGGTTTCCCTTGGTCCCTTGACAGTGAAAGAAAATGGCTGACAGGTGCCATCTTGGACTTTTTATTGCTGTTTCTTAGAAAGTTTGTGTCAAATCTGTTTTAGATTTTATACGTGGGATTCCCTTGTTATTAAATGATACCAGGGAAACAGGGAAAGAAGGTAAAAGTGGAGAAAATATCAGTATTGCATAGAACCAATAAAGATCAATGGTGGGTAAGCACCAAGATCCTAGTGGGATCACTTGTTCACAATAACCTGACAAGATGAATACTCTAGAAATTAATATGCAAATATTGATTTTCAACTATGTATTGAAATAGAAACATATTGTAAAACCAGAAAATTCTTCAAATGTTTATTGTGAAACTTAAAAATATGTGTAACAAAGTGTACATGAAAACTATTTTGAGGAATGTAATGTTAATTAGGAGTGGCTTTGACACACACATTGAAAAACAAATTGTCAGACTCATTGAATTTTCACATGAAGTAAAAATTTATACTGAATAAAATCTATTTTTTTTTAACCAAAAACCTTTTTCCAGAAAATTATAATACAAAGCATTTGAAGTAATTTAAAACATCTTTATTTCTACAGATATTCAGTCTGGCTTTTGATAAAAACTGAAATTGTTGTACACCAACTTGTCATGTTTTTCTGCTGAGCTGATGACTAACATTACAATATTTCCCCATAATTTATAGCACAACCTTACCCAGGGACCAATCCAATATAAACAATGCATTAGTTCTCGTGATATATCTACAATAATCACCCTCAAATCTGTATTTATCTTCATCACATCTTCAGAGGACACTAAACTGGATAGAAAAACACAGAAAATGAAATTTTATTTTCTGTTTCAACATAACAATAGTAAATTGACAGCAATAGCAAATAAGCAAACCTGTATATATAAACTATGTATATAAGTACTATATACACTATGAACATTTACCTTTGTTAGAACCAGTGACCACACATTCAACAATTCATCCTTTATTTTAGAAATACTTGTGTCATTATTGACAATTTAAAAAGGGGACTAAATAACTTGTCACATCAGACAAGGCAGGAGTGAGTATAGGTCTATTAATAGATCTGTTAATGTGACATGAAATTATTTGGATATCTATCTATTGTAAATTTCAAGATACCTGTATCAGTAGTGAGAAAGTATCACTCACAAGAATTTTTAAAAGCACACCAATTTCTACAATTTTTTGATACCTGTAGTTTGTTTTAATGTGAAAGGTTTATAATACCTCTTTTGAACAAATTTGATAAGAAACCATTTTAGCTTACCAATAGAACTTATCATTAAAGATTATTTTACCAGGAAGTCGACAGGATTTATATTCTGTTTGTCATCCTAAATACCTGGTATCTGTAAATACTGTATCATCTAGCAGGCCCCTGTTTTATGAACATTCCTTAATTTTAATGCTTTCTTAACTTTAAGCATCCTTAACTAAGATACTTAGATTTCATATAACATGAAATATGTGTTTCACAAACACTTCTTAACAAAGAGGATAAGTAAAAAAATGAAATTAGCATTATTTTTGAAACTTCAGAAGTTTCTAAATAATGATGATTAAAAAAGCATGCTATTTTCTGGGTATTTTGCTCTATTTTGGCCCAAACTTGTGGGCAATGATATACCAAAGAAAGCAATACTCTAGAAAATAAACACACTAAAATCTTACAGTCCCAAATCTTTACCTGGAATAACAAAACTTTCTCACTCTATAACAAATCATAAATATGATAATGGCACCACAAACAAAGCACTAGGTATTCAACTAGACACACCATGCAGCTAGCAGGTAGAGTATATCAAGTTAATAAAAACCATAACCTGATGTTTTTACTCTGTGGTTTGGACTCAATATAACCCCAGAAAAAACGAGTAGGGAAAATTTTACATGTACAACAGAACTTTAAATTTCCAACCACTAGAAAAAATACAATTATCTAAAACAATTTAAGTGGTATGACATTCTTATGTAAAGAACCCCTACATTCTGTTGCATAATTGGTTGTATACAGTCTTGCGCATGGTTATAACCATGTTGTATTTCTGGCCATCTTTGTAGTGACCATTTTCTCTGTGCAATATCTTGTGAAATCTTCATTATATCTGGCGCTTGAGTTTCTCCTGAGTGAATTTGATGTATTTATTCCGAAAGACTAAGTACTGTAATCCAGATGCCACAGTGGTGGCTCCTGTTAGGTACCTAGAAAAAAAACCAAACAGTAAGTTACACAGACTGTGTAGGTCACACAACAGAGGAACCAATTTTACACCAGTTCAACCTTAAACCTTCTTACACCAAGATACTGATCATCATAGTCAGAGAAACACATAACAAATCTTAGGTTGCTCTGAGAACATGAGGTATCTTAACTCACAGATATTATTAAATTATGACTAAATGGTAAGACTGTGACATAAGTTATACTGCACACAAAGACAAGATGTCCATAGGGCCTGTATCACTCATCATAATATTCCAATTTTCACTTCAGCAAAGAATGAATATTGGGCCTCATGTACTTTTCAGGCACCAGGGTGCAAAAACAGACAAACTATGCAAAATCAGTTCCCCTTAATACTCTCATACCAGCAAAAGAAGGATTTTAAAGTGATTCTTCTACCTTCCCTATTGGACCCCACATCTTGACACATGAGTGTCAGACCAACTATTAATAGTAAAAAGAGTCACCTTTCCCAAGGATGCTTCAGACCAAAATTGGTCAAAATCTGCTAAGTCGTTTATGACTAATAGCAATTTGTCAAAAAAAACCCAAAAAATAGATGGATCCTAAAGGCTACACCATGGTATAAGCTCACAGGGTCTTTGAACTAGGGAAGCTGAAATGGTTGATTTTATGTTAACTCTTATTAAGCAACATACTGCAAAGATTTGGTAGACCTACTGGTATAACTGTCACGTGTATTGCTGATAGGTGCATGCTAATCCCTGTAGGTGTATACACACTATTATCCCTATTAGTGTGAATATATACATACCATAGTCCCTGTAAGTATATATGGTCCACATAACCAAACACTGGAGCAGCCATAGAAGCAGCTATCAGACTTAGCTGTAGTCCTGTGTTCCACTGAAGATATATAAATATATATATAAATAGAACAGCAGCTCAAAAACATTGATCTTTAAAAACTGTTAAAAAAAGGATGGCTATTCTTTCTGCATTTAAATAGTCCTTATTTAACATGCACACGAAATTAACAATAGTTTATCTAAATTACACATGTACATATAATGTTTCCATCAATGAAATCCCAGAAAAATGTCTGCCTCGATGATTAACAATGGATACATTTAGTTATTAATAATTTAGTGAATTTAGATCAGCAATATATAATTGCTTCAAACACAATCATGAAAAAACTGAAACTTATATACCTAAGACAATCATAAAATTATAGAAAAATAATCTGATAGTGTAGTTTTTAAGCCTTTTATATACATACCTTACTGAGCACTGATGGAAGGAGGGTGACTGTAGCATGAGTAACATCAAAATATCTCTTCAGATTTTTCTGTTAGAAATACAAAGTTTCAATAAACTGTATTACCCAGCATAAACAATTTGTATAACCTGTCACACAGCAACAGTACCATACACAGAAGACAAATCAACTGTTCTATATACTCAGTGTTCACTAGTTGTAACATATACCCAGTGGATTGGTTGGGAATGGTCTTATGGCTATGGAAGTGAACTGTGGATTACTTGAGAGTGGGCAACTGGATATGTAAGTGACCTTTTGAGGAGTGGATTGTTGGAAAGTGGGCTTATGGCAATGGAAGTGAACTGTTGTGGAGTGGATTACAGGGGAGTGAGCTCATGACTATGGAAGTGAACTGTTGTGGAGTGGATTACAGGGGAGTGAGCTCAAGAGTATGGAAGTGAACTGTTGTGGAGTGGATTACAGGGGAGTGGACTCATGACTATGGAAGTGAACTGTTGTGGAGTGGATTACAGGGGAGTGGACTCATGACTATGGAAGTGTACTGTTGTGGAGTGGATTACTGTGGAGTGAGCTTATGGCAATGGAAGTGAACTGTTGAGGAGTGGATTACTGTGGAGTGGGCTAATGAATATGGAAGTGGACTGTTGAGGAGTGGTTTAATGGGGAGTGGGCTAATGAATATGGAAGAGGACAGTCGAGGGATGGATTACTGTGGAGTGTGCTAATGACTATGGAAGAGGACAGTCCAATGGTGGATTAGTTTGGAGTGCGTTTATGACTATGGAAGAGGACTGTTGAGGGATGGATTTCTTTGGAGTGCGCTAATGACTATGGAAGTGGACAGTCGAGGGATGGATTACTGTGGAGTGCCCTTATGACTATGGAAGAGGACTGTCGAATGGTGGATTACTGTGGAGTGCCCTTATGACTATGGAAGAGGACTGTCGAGGGATGGATTACTGTGGAGTGCGCTAATGACTATGGAAGAGGACAGTCGAGGGATGGATTACTGTGGAGTGCTCTAATGGCTGTGGAAGTGGACTGTTGAGTGATGGATTACTGTGGAGTGCTCTAATGGCTGTGGAAGTGGACTGTTGAGTGATGGATTACTGTGGAGTCGCTAATGACGAGGGAAGACTGACATGGACTGGATATTTGGAGTAGATTTATTGTATTATGAGTGAGCTGTTTTGGAGTGACTATTAGGGATGTGTCTGACTGTCAAATATAAAGAAAATGTGGCATACTTACTGGTGGAGGAAGGGTTATATATCTTAAGTAGAAACCTGCACATATCAGCAACAAGTCCCTTCCAATTATCACAAACGTCAAAGGCACTGTAATATATAGGAAACTCTCCTCAATCTGGTCATGTTACATAGGCACATTACAGAGTTCAAGCCAAATATACATAAGTTTAATTAACATTAGCAAATTATACGTCCATGAACTTTAAACTTCACATAATTTTAAATACTCAATGAAAAACATTGCATTGGTATATGTCATTCTTTAATACATAGATATAAAATGTACAGGCTAACATACACAAATGATGTCTAATTTTGTATGTTAAGTTCATAAGGAATTGATGGAATTTTACCTGGTAATAACCCTGCAATTGTCAAGGTGACGGTAAGAATGCTGACCAAAAGTTTATCTGCAATTGGGTCAATGACTGACCCTAATACAGATTGTTGGTTCTTAAAGTTTCGTGCTATGAACCCATCCAGCTGCAAAAGAATGACAGCAAAACACTGCAAAATTGCACACATCACCTATGCGTGAAAATACTGAGTGCCATAGATGTTTCTTTAATGAAAATAGCACATATCTTTTCTGTTAACAGATATGAATTGCAAAATATAAATAAATAAATACTTGAATGAATACAAAAATAAAATGACTTGGGTTAGGCAAATCTATTTGCTTACTATGTAGTACATTGTATGTGTATTTAATTCATTGCTGATTTAAAAGAAATTTTGCATTTATGTATTAACAATTAAGCCCTTGATAAGAATAAATAAAAGAAATTTTTATAAACTTCTAAGGAAAGTAAGTTAACATAGATTAGGAAACAACTCACAAAGTCTGATAGACCTGCTACCACAAAAATCTTGAATCCTAAATCAAATTCACCAGTAAGGACGAGATATCCGAGGTATGGCGTCACGGCTATCCGTAGACATGTCAGCAGGTTAGGTATAGTGTAGATGTTCTCTATCTGAAATATCAAATGTTGGTACTCATCAGTGAATCACATGATTTAGATCCCCTGTTTAGTCTTTGTTAACTATTAGTGGATAATGATTCTTGGGTAATATGTTCCTGTTCCAGTTGTTTCTTGTTATTTCCTTTTATTGGTAGAAATGGGTGTGGCGTTACAGTTAATATGGGTGAGAGTGGGTAGGGGTTGAGTGGGGGAGAGTAGGGAGTGGAGGGGTGGGGGAGGGAATGGTTATGATACACCTTCCCTCTCCCTTCTCTTCAAGGAATTCTCTTCCTTCTTTCATCTTTATCAAGCTCTCTACTCTTTCCTACTCACAACCTGATATTTCCTTTTTCAGAAACTCACCTCTAAAAAACGATTCCGAAGTCTTAGCCGATAGTGCTGAATGTGCTTCAACATGTCTGATGTTTGAATCAACACTTCTTACTGACAACTATAATTTCAATTTAAAGCCAACAATGAATTTAAGTTTATTTTATGTGCCCAACTTCAAACTTACAAATGACACCATTAGGTTTCAAATCTTACTTTTCACAAATTATTATTCTGAGCAGAAAAAAAAAGCCATGGTAACATTTTTAAACCTTGAAGCAAAACAAACATTGTTAAAGGAAATCTTTCTTTTTTTATTCCTCACACACTTCCAGCTGCCTACAAAGTCAGTTTTCTGATATATCTGTACAAATGTTTTCACCTTTACCAGACAAATGTCAATTTATATGAACTTGATTAAGGTTATATCTACTTCTAAATTGTAAAAGACAAAAATGTCACAGCTCAAAAATAAATACTGCATCAGATCCAACTCAGCACAGCTACTAATACTTAAAATTTCTAGAATATTATTCAAAAACCTTTAAAACCCCATTATTTCTATTTTTCATTATTTTTCTTAGTCCTGAACTTCAATTCTAATTGATATAATGATATTTTCAATATGTTATGTAAAGATTTTATAATGTGATATCCATTATAGTATGATAAATGGTGCTGGAACATACTTACATAATACCACATAGAATAATGAATAAATCCCAAAACTACTACAGTTCCTGGCATAAAACTAAAACAGATGTAGAAAAGAAAAATCTCAATTGCCTAAAGCCATTGTATGGAAATTTAAAGTAGAATCATTAAGTCACAAGTCAGCTAACAGAGAGGTTATACTGAATGGTACAGATATACCAGGTAACTAGTCTGTTATAGGCAACTCTTACATGTCTCTGTTTCTCTTGTGAATTTGTGTCACTGTATCCATAATGTTATTTTTCTTCATGGATTCGTAAAAATTTATTGTTTGTTATGGCAACCAAACAACTGATCATTAGCAGGTAACTAGTTAAATGTAAGTTAATTTTAGTAAACTGTTACATCAAAATACACATCGCCTGTAAATAGAGCTAATTTAGCACCCGAAGTCACATGACAACCAAAGTTAAAGTGTAAACAATACACATACATGTATGTCATAAGGACTCCAGGGGTTTGTCCTGATTCTATGGCCTCTTTAATCATCCTACTCCCAATTTCATCTCCAGGAATAATTTTGATTTTCTTTTTGTCTATTACTGTATGACTTTATTTAGTTCTTTATAAATTCTATCTTTACCCTTCTTTTCTCTTCTTTAATCTTATTGGAGTGTCAAATTCCAACAGTCTCAGAGGGATCCCTTTTTCCACCATTGTTTGTCTTTTATTAGTTCTTTAAAAGATTTATCTTTTCATTTCTAATTTTCAGTTCTTTCCTCTGATCTTGCTCTTAATTATTTGTAAAAGAAATTTGAATATTCCTCTTAGAAATACCAATATGTATGTAATACTCTTTCTTTAAGTGTCAAATTCAAGATGGATGCTTGCTGACTGTTTTCTTGAGAGGTACTGGATTGATCTTTCTCAATTTTTATTTGTAGGATTCCTTTGCTCTCTAGATGTGCTCTTCCAGTTCTTAGACTGGTCATATATACACAAATGGCTGGCTGGAGTTTTCTGATGAAAGTATTTCATGAGAAATATGCAATGAATCTGACAATGCAAAAGCAGGGAGCATGAGAACCCACTTATGAAATTTGAAAATGATCCATCCAGTACTTAAGAAATAGCAATAACAAGAATTGTTTAAGGACAAATTAACACACAACAAACAAAGATTGATTTCAACTATCTGACGATGAAAATATTATTCTTTATTGAAAATTGCCGTATAAATTGAAGTGTAGCAGTTGGCTTATGAACAAATTTAAGTCTATCTATACAGTAAAATGTGAAAAATAAGGGGTCTGTGGTGGGGAGGAGGGGGATTTATTTTAAAGCTTCATACATTTCATATCATATTGCTTCTATTTTATTACAAAGTAATAGGAAATATTTTTGTGGCAATAAATACAGTAGATATCTTCAAAACAGTTGTTGGAATATTTGAAAATTGACAAACATATCATGGTTTGTTGATTGTTGTATTGTTTATGAAATTAAATACAAACATTACAGACTGTATAACATACATTTTCACTCCTAGTGCATTTTTGCATGCCATTCATGACATCATTGACAAATGTGGCATTTAAATGAATTAAATGAAAAGCAAGTTATCAAGGTTTTAAGTCAATGGTGATTATATGCAAAAAGAAAATTATAATACATCAGAACATGCTTTATCAACTGTTAATTCCCATGTTTAGGAGGTATACTGGGCCAACATTTCCCTTGATGAGAAGATATACAGTGGGCGACTGTTCTTGGGTTAAGAGATACAATGATGTACTGGAATCCGTGTGTCTGTCTGTGTGTCTGTAAACACTACTCTGTACTGCCTGCTCCTCCCAGCACATATTTGGATGTAACTTTGCTCATATATTTAAACATGACATGTTCTCATGTCTCCCTAAATGCCATTACATTCTGTTAATTATAAGCAGAGTTATGGCCTATGACATTGCTTAGTGTTTAGAAGTTGAGAGTACACTAGCCTTGGCAAGTGGGAATTTCCCTTTATTCAACTGGTAAAGTGTCCGGCTAGAGACCAAAGGGTTGTAGTTCTAACCCCAACAGTGGCAGGGTGTTTTTTGTTACTCCTTTCTATTACTGATTGGTGCCGTTGACCAATACAGGAGTAGAAACTATAGGAGATTAAGGTGCTTCCTTGGACATATTGAACCTTGTTTGTTGTTTTTTGGGGGTCAAAGAATTTCTGAAGGAGGGAGTAGTGTGGAAATTGAGAGTGCAGATCACCTTACTAGCCTTGGCTTGTGGGAATTTCTATTACAAGGCAAATGTTAATGAAAAAACAATTATAATATCTTTGATTTCTTGGATTCATTTTGACTTACTTTTTTTCCTTAACAAAAAGATGATTTTACACAAATGGAATTGGCACATTTTAAAAATATCTTTATTGCTCCAAGTGGCATATAAAGGCTTGCAATATCATGGCATTACCACATATACACAAGTGCAAACATGTCATGGTCACAATTATAGTTTGATTGATTATTAACTGTAGTGTGTCATTTCTCTTTCTGTGCATTTCATTTTTCAAACTTTCATCAACAGATTGTCACAGTTGCAAACAAGTTTTGCTCTTCCCAGACACTCTGTAACTCATGTTATCTTGTATAATTGCAAATACAGGTATATTTGCTAACAAAAGTTCATCTGTACCTTTTACCAGAGTGATGCCCCCTCAATAGTTATTACATTTTGAATTGTTTCCCTAGTCCCTATAGGAGAAACTAGCAACCAATATGCTGAGGTATCAATAAGCCCCTGGGCGACAGTTCCAGTTTTGATAAGGGACATATACATAATGAATTTTACATGTGAAGTACATGCAACTTATTTCAAGGCCAACATTTTCAGGAAGCTTACCACATCTTCAAGTTTTTGGTCTTCCTTCTTTGATGAACTGATGTGAGCTGTTTCTTTTGATTCTTTAGTGCTTTTCTCAGTCTGCTTTTGGTTGAAACAATGAGCCAAAGAATTGGTGTGAAAACATCTAATGCTGTGAAAGTCCGATGGTAAAAGTGAAACATAAGGAAGCGTATTGCACCAGCTACATCTTTGGTAAAAAGAAATCTGTCTGTCTCTGTTATATCGACAGTGTGAACTGTTTGATGGTAAATAAGAGTTTACCCAAGAAAGCTGGTGGTTCTGCCTGCGAGTATGAAAATTATTTTCATTAATGAAGTTTTGAAAGCATGCCAACCTCCTAGCATTTCTCTTAATCACAGATGTCAATTCCACACATGTTTTACACTGGACATATAGAAATTTCCTCAAAAAGCAGTGACTATTCCAAGTCGAACACATCATCTTTATGCTTGACATCACCTTATGCAGTGACACCTCAAGCCGGCTTCGTCCACAACTATCTAATGGGCGCAGCCATATTGTCTATCCTCTAAAATTAACAATAAATAAAATAAGATTTGATTGAGCCCTTTTGTGGTTTTATTTTACAAACAGCATGTAGAAAAAAACAATATGTAACTAATATTTATGGTGGTCACAGTGTACTAAGGTATTGTTTCAGAAAACAGAATAATGTAATGGTCCATTTAGAGAGTAAAAGCTTTAGTCGTTGTCTTTTAAACGTTTGTAAGTGAAATGGCCACGAAATCAGAAAAAGCTTCTACGTAACCTCGATCAACTATATACACACAAACCATGTGCATTGGTAACAGATCAATGATATGACTGACGTGTAACGGGTGGGACTGAGATGTACAGGAAGTTCTCAGAAATGTCCGACACACATCAGGTAGGTGCCTCCAGCAGGTGGTCATAAATACGGTTTATATAATTACATTTCCTTAACAAAATGAAGAAAAAAAATTATATTAAAATAAACGTTTTGTTTACAATTACCATCCGGATCAAAGATATAGTATTCTATTTTATTGTCATTTACTTACTTAACGCAAAATTTAATGGTTAAAAATCTAATACAACGCGTTTGTACCATTTACAAGTGTGTATGAGGTCAGTTATAACTTTGTTAAACACAAAATGTTTTGATGTTGTCGTAGTTTATCAAAGGATTAAATGTAAGTCGAAGATTGCTGGTCTATTTGATACAACTGTAAACTCAAAACAACCCTGATGTAATTTATATTAAGGATGTACTTTTGTTATTAGCTTAGTGCGAGGAAACACCTCAAACCAATAAAAAACCTAACACTACCAAAAACTTACCTAAAAATCATAAAATATATCCAAATATGATAGATAACATAAAAATGTTCAACATTTGTGTTGAGTGAACTTCATTCTCATGTCAGACTGGACTATATATAACACTTATCTCCCTTACATTGGAATACCAAATCGAAGGAACAGCAAAAATATTTTGAATATTGTATTAGTTTGATAGCTTTGTTAGTTGGAAAGGAATATAAATGGTTGGGGAAAGTAGATTGCCCAGCATAACAGTGAAAGAATTAGATAGTAGTGGCAGTGAATTTAGGATGTTGGTCATGTTTTGGAACATTTTCTTCAGATTGATAATGTCAATAGAATTGAAGTTCTTATAATACAACCCGCATGGTATCATTATTTAGTACTGGTCAGCTGCGACATATCCAGATGACTTCCTCAACCAGCAACCTGAAAAGGTTGTCTTCCCTGTTGACTATTATGGAACTTTCCCATTCAGTGATATGATTTTTCTCAGTGGAATGACCTATTAGTGCTGATTTATTGATCTGAGACTGACTATGTTTTCACTCTGATCTAGTGATTTTTTTTTGTCATCATGGAATTCCATGTTTTTATGATGTTCATTAAGTTGCCCCTGAATCTCCTGCTTGTTTCTCAAATATGTGATGCATCACAGTTCTTGCATTCTATTTTGTATACACATTCTACGATGTTCTCATCGGGTATCCTTAGGATAGACTAGGATATTTTAGGTAGTCTTGTGAGGTTTCATGGCTGTTGCAATGACCACAGTAAATCCTATGAATGGTTTTTGACAGGCCTTTGATGATGTAAGGAATGACTGCTTGTCCTTTTTCTTGGTATTTTGTCTTTTCTTGGTATTTTGTCTCTTAGTCTTTTTTAATTTTACTAAATTCATTGTTAACTTCCTGCATGGCCCCATATGTTCTCATTGTGCTCTGGATGTGAGTTTGTTCTTGCTTCTTATTATTTTGTGACAATCGCTTCACATTTGTTGTTGGGGCCAAACAAGGAATCTTTAAAAGTCTTTCCTTGTATAAAGTTATTTTGAAAAAAAAAAAATTTAGAATCTCTTTATTGTTCAATATTAAGGAATTTGACAAATTTTTGGTCTGAGGCATCCATGGTTTGACATACAAACAGACAAAGAGAACAGTTTTTTATATTGGAAAGTTTATGGAACTAAGTATGCATATAAGTCTGTAAGTGTGACTGGCTCTGATCAACCTTGGGAGTGATACAGATCCATTAGATTTATTTATATTGAAACCCAGGGAGTGATACAGGTCCATTAGACATCTCATTCATATGTGTATTGAAACATCATTTATTTAATATTTAGTCTTATCTTAGGCTTAAACTGCTCTTATCAGTATGATTGGTATGCCTTTCAGGCATAAATTGTAATGTTTTCCTTTCAGGCATAAATCTTGTAATGTTTTCTAAATTTGGCATTGACCTTTGATCAAAGTTTGCATATGTATGTTTCCAGATCAATTGACCTATTGAACCACACAATTTTATTCTTTAAGCTCAAGTTGAATGGCTGTTCATCCACAATTTACAAAATCAATGTTGATCCAAAACACTTTTGCATACAGAAACCTTATATGATGATACAAACCGTTGTGATATGTATATGTATGCAGACGATACTGCAGCACAGACCCACACAAAATCACTGGATATTGCATACAGAAACCTTAATGATGATGCCAAGTTTATATCAAAATTGTGTAGAGTCAGCAAATTGTGTCTAAATACAGAAAAAAAATGAAGAAATGATTGTAACTGATTCACAGAGGAAATGTAAGTTACAGGGTGATTTTGTCTGTTGTTATTGATAATGTAAATATTGAAAATATAAGTAATGAAAAACTTCTTTGATTGTCTATAGATAACTCTCTCTCTCCTAGGACCATCAATTTGCCAAAATCTATAAAAAAAATATAATTTCAAATTTTTCAGATGAAAAAGTTTGGACCATTTATAAGTCAGTGGTCTTGTATGATGTTTTATAATTGTTTTATTGACCCACGTATGGATTACTGCTCCACTGTCTGTGGCAACAGTGCCAAAAATAATGTTGTAAAACTAGAGCGTCTGCAGAAAAGAGCAGTAAGTATTATCTTAACCTGTGATTTCTCCACACCTTCCTGTGATATGTTTAAGCACCTAGATTGGTTGCTTTTTTTGTAAACAAGATTTATACAATCAAGCTGTTTTAATGTACAAGGTGTTTAATGATTTAGCTCCATGAAGTTTGAATTGTTGTACTTCTTTGTTTGATGTTCCTAGAGATCTACTAGATTTTCCTCTTCACATGTTTTTACCTGCCATCTCACAAATCAAACATTTTTAGGGAGCTCTTACACAGAATCCTTTACTAAACGATGTGAGAAATTCTATTTCTCTTTTAGCTTTTAAGAAATCTGCAAAGAAATTTTATATGGAATGATATCTCACTGTCCCTGTTGCTGACTTGCCTGTGATATGTATTTTATAATTTTATTGTAAATATTGTATTATATTCTTGACCATATGAAAGACAAGCATGTTGGTCAGTATGTTATCAGAATGAATTAAATCAATTATTATTATCATCAGTAGCTTCTTAATATTCCCACCAATAAAATATCTGAGTGACTATCATAAATTAACAAAATTTCACACATTTATTTCTCCCAATGAAATCAAATATTTTCCCTACCTAAAGACCCAAGTTCTCCAAGGGTGTATCAGTCAATGCCAGAGACTGTTTTCTATACATATAATAGGTCTGAGTCTACTTGATTGCATTTTCAAAAGTTTCTTGCTGTGTTGAACCACTAACATAGTTGGAGCAGATTTCCCATGTTGAAGAACTCTGACATTTCTGTACTCAAACCTGGAATTGATCCATGTTTAGGTGTGCATGTGCATATACTGTAAAATTTATAAAGTCGCTGGTCTTGTACATTCCTTTTGAATTTGAATTTATGCCAATAAACAATGTAGGATTCTAACCATAAGGCCATAATTTATACATGACACAAACAGCAGTTGACAGAGAAAATGAAAATTTATTAAACATCAATACTAACTTTACCTTGTTCAGGACATAGGAATAAAAATCTAAACTAGGTTTTGGCAATCTTAGGGGCTGCTCACTATCTAACCCTCCTACTAAAATTACAAAAAAGACAATATAAACTGGTACAAAGCAAAGATACAAAAACCTATCTAATTACAAATAAGCAAAATTACTTACAACATAATTAAGTGAAAGTGGGGCGATCCCCGGGCAACCTCAAAAGCTAACACAACCACCAGGCGACCCTGAAGGTTATAAGGTGAAGTGGGCAACCCCACTGCAACACCGAGCGATCCCGAAGTTGTGATAAGTAAGAACTCATTGCGAGTCACCGAGCAATCCCAGAATTGTGTAATTAATACTCATTGCGAGTAAAGTGTATGCACGTGACTTACAGTCTTTACATAGACTTATGAACAACATGGAAATGGAATGATGTAACAAATGTAAGTACAAAAAACAAACATAAAATGAATTGGGGGTATAATTCCCCAGAATTAAATGCCCTAATTCCCCAGAATTAAATGCCATGTACGTGACTTACAGGGATGAATCCCGGCAGGTACATAGGATAGTGAAAGCTATATCAATATGATCTCTATATAACATACAACATGAACATGATAATGAGACAAATAAAGTAAACCTATAACTAGCAAGTAAGCAGACCAAAAACTATAAATGTAGAAAGGAATGAGAATGGACCGAAAACCATATATAACACATAGCAACAAAACAAGAAGAAACTGTGCTGCGAGCCGGCTACCCCAACCTTCCCAGAAGGGTCAGGGAGGTAGGTTTACCCAATGCTCCGACCAGCTGGCCAGTGTTGTCTCACTTGATGGCCTTAACCTATAGCTATATGTACCTGAACAAGTGGGGAAAAAAAAAAAAAAAACTAAGAAAATCATGGGTACAAGTAATGACAATGCAACAAAAATAATACATGTACACGAAAAAAAGACAAATCAAAACTGATAATAACACAGCAAAGAAAAATAAAAATAAAATATAAAAAATGGTGGAACGGGCGGCAGGTGGGTGCAAGGAACAAAGAGACTCGTGGCTAATCTTCTTATACTAATTAAAACTGACCGATCACATGACTAAAGGAAGCTGACCTAAAGTAATACTGGAAACCCCCTCTAAAGATCAATGACCACTGACTGATCACGTGACTAAAGGAAGCTAACCTAAAGTAAAACCCAGACTGAATGAGATGAACTTACAAGATTAAAAGCAAATTTAACAGAGAAAGGATTTGGCAAAATTAATCATGTATAAACAATTATTTAGATAAACAAAATAAACATCATAACATCATACAATATCTACACTTACATCACATACTCTCTAGATGAAGTTTACATACCACAATGTGTGTAGTTATCAATTTTCATACGTGGCAATTAGGCTTGGGCAAGAGTAAAAGTCTTGCCATTACCATTTGTTAGGAAACCATGTTTGCTTTTATCAATTTGATGTAGTTTATGTGTTACTTACGTCTACTGCTTCCTGTATAAAATGGCAGAACTTGCTGCTGTTCTAATGATGTGTTTAAGGTAATTAATTGTCTTTGACATGATTTATATGTCAAATGTAAAATTAACAGAGTATATTTAATGGTTTCCCGTTTAACATCATATAATATTTCATGAGTATGACAGAATATATGTATGTTTTTCACTCATATGATTCTGTCATACTTGTGAAATATATATCTTTACCGGGAAACCATTTAATTTTCTTTTATTACATTTTTAAGGGAAAACAAATGAAAACAGATGATCCAAACATAAATAAAGTGATTTAAAAAAATTCTGGAAAATATTAGCACACTTTTTGACATCAGATAGTTTGATGTTTCACTTGACAACAAGATGGCAGCATTTTGATCAGACTGCTTTATGTTGTATTTTACTGTTTTATGTTGTCATCATTAAGAATTGCTTACAAAACTGTTTTTCTATACCAAATGAGAGAAAACCAGAAATGCACATGAGAATGGAAATAACTTATTCAACCTACATTTCATCTGTCAGAACAAGAAAAACCAAGGGATTTCAGTGCAGTGACTGGAAAGCACCGCTCTGGTTGGTCAAAAGAACAAAAGTTATCTCATCAGTGGAAAAGTGATACCATCACTATTGATAATATTATCACAGAGTGATGATACAAGTTTTTATCACATTTATAAATTCCTATATTTCACTAGCAAAAAGGTAATAAAATGATTGGAAATCCTAAATCTGTCAATTTATTTAAGATCATCATTTGTATTACTTTCTCACTTATACAGCTCTATTTCTCCCTGAACAGCATCCATGTCTATAAAGCTCCACGGTTGAACTCTAGTGATGATACGGTCCTGTGAAGGTACATGATTTTATCGTCAGTGGGAACATTCTTGTGTTTGTACTAAATGACTACCGTCATATTACTGTTTATTTTAAGTTAGTGTTTGTAAATATATCTTTATTGTTTGCATACATGTCAAGTAGGAGCTTCATTGTGGAGGATTTACGAGTAAACAGGGACTCCCTAAACATCTCGTGTCTGTATACATGTATAGTGATACTGTAGATAGACATCACATGTGTACATGTTTAGGTATTTTATACATGTCAAAACACATCAGATGAGAAACCAAAATGTCGGTATGTACTGTGCATGTATATCAAATTTCAGCTACATGTATTTGCTTTATACTGCTTTTTAAAATTTTTATTTTCATTGTGAATTTATCATGATAGTGAATATTGCACTAAGATACCTAGTAAAACATATTGAAAGATGAAAGTTAGTGATGAAGAGGTCCTCCTGTAGATTATTTAATGGGAAGAAAGTTTCCTGGTGTAAAGGATTGAATTCAAAGTTCTAAAATATAACCAGGTAGTTCATTACAGTCGTCTATGATTTGAATTGTATTGGTTTGTTACATAATACAATATGAAACCGTGCTTAACACACCATGAAATTTGGCTAGATTGTATATGTAGAATTTGTTAATAATACTGTTTCAATGAAATTTTGTGTTTTTCCTAAAAAATTAGTTTAAGATGGTTTTAGGATAAGATAGTAAGTCTACTGCTTCTAAATATAGGTTTACTTATTTCAGGTTTAGGGTACAAATGATTTATTTATATACGTTTCACTTTAACCTACTGAAAATATAATAGAATATTAAAATAATTTAAAGTTTTGGTATTTTGAAAAAGATAATATATCAATTAGGTCTGACCACTGACCAGTGGATTCCTTTTATGTCTGTACCAGTATGTCAACAAAATGGAAGTGAGGACTGACCACTGACCAATAGAGTATTAAAACATCTGTATATGTGTGCCCACACAATGACAGTGGATTGTCAAGTGGAGTCCTATTATGTCTGTACCAAAATGTCAACACAATGAAAGTGAGGACTGACCACTGACCAGTGGAGTCCTATTATGTCTGTACCAGTATGTCCCAATTGTGTCTGTACCAGTTTGTCAAGACAATGGAAGTGATGACTGACCACTGACCAGTGGAGTCCTATTATGTCTGTACCAGTATGTCCCAATTGTGTCTGAACCAGTTTGTCAAGACAATGAAAGTGATGACTGACCACTGACCAGTGGAGTCCTAATATGTCTGTACCAGTATGTCACACACAATGAAAGTGATGACTGACCACTGACCAGAGGAGTCCTATTATGTCTGTACCGATATGTCAACCCAATAAAAGCGATGACTGACCACTGATGGACTAGCGAATTTCAGTGATGTCTTCACCAGTATGACCACACAATGATACTGAGGATGTCCACTGAACAGTGGAGTCCTATATATAATGTCTGCACCAGTATGACCACACAATGACACTGAGGATGACCACAGAACAGTGGAGTCCTTTATATAATGTCTGCACCAGTATGACCACACAATGACACTGAGGATGTCCACTGAACAGTGGAGTCCTATAATGTCTGCATCAGTATGACCACACAATGACACTGAGGATGACCACTGAACAGTGGAGTCCTTTATATAATGTCTGCACCAGTATGACCACACAATGACACTGAGGATGACCACAGAACAGTGGAGTCCTATATATAATGTCTTCACAAGTATGACCACACAATGATACTGAGGATGACCACTGAACAGTGGAGTCCTATAATGTCTCCACCAGTATGACCACACAATGACATTGAGGATGACCACTGAACAGTGGAGTCCTATATATAATGTGTGCACCAGTATGACCACACAATGACATTGAGGATGACCACTGAACAGTGGAGTCCTATATATAATGTCTGCACAAGTATGACCACACAATGACATTGAGGATGACCACTGAAGAGTTGAATCCTATAATGTCTTCACCAGTATGACCACACAATGACACTGAGGATGACCACTGAACAGTGGAGTCCTATATATAATGTGTGCACCAGTATGACCACACAATGACACTGAGGATGACCACTGAACAGTGGAGTCCTATATATAATGTGTGCACCAGTATGACCACACAATGACACTGAGGATGTCCACTGAACAGTGGAGTCCTATATATAATGTCTGCACAAGTATGACCACACAATGACACTGAGGATGTCCACTGAACAGTGGAGTCCTATATATAATGTCTGCACAAGTATGACCACACAATGACACTGAGGATGTCCACTGAACAGTGGAGTCCTATAATGTCTGCACAAGTATGACCACACAATGACACTGAGGATGAGAACTGAACAGTGGAGTCCTATATATAATGTCTGCACCAGTATGACCACACAATGACACTGAGGATGACCACTGAACAGTGGAGTCCTATATATAATGTCTGCACCAGTATGACCACACAATGACACTGAGGATGACCACTGAACAGTGGAGTCCTTTATGTAATGTCTGCGTATGTTCACAAAGACATTGGGTGTTCACAATGTGAAGTCTCTTAGTACTTAGGTCACATTTTGAGCATTGCCATTGGACATTGTTTGTTTTTATATTTCAGAATGGATTGGAAGAGAAACCATTATATGAGCCATCTGTTCTTCATGATATAGATTTCAATGGGTGTCACTGTTCAACATATAACCCTGAAATTTCCCACATGAGTCCAGGAGAGGGGTTGGTGATGAGGCCTCTGTGTAGAGGAGACTATGATAGAGGTATAAATTATACATTAAGTGGTTTCAACTGTATTCCATTTATAAGCCTAGTTAAGGGTCTAAAGTATCTATGGAGAGGGATGTGGTAAGGACATATTTTATAACAAATTTCAATTATAAGCCCAAGGGAGGGTCTAAGGTATCTATTGAGAGGGGTGTGATGAATATATAAGATTACATTTAAAAGCCCAAGGAAGGGTCTATTAGATACAGATTATCTCTGTATGGGAATTTCCTATACAAGCCTGAGGGAGTGTTTGAGGTATATATGTGTAGAGGACTTTTATGGTGGTTCTTACACAGGCCAGGGAGGCATTGAGTTGCACATGGATAGGTGACTTTCACAGGTGTATAGATTTCTTACACAACCCAAGGGATGTAGAGGATTTTTACTGGGATATAGATTTCTTACACAAGCCCAAGGGATGTAGAGGATTTTTACTGGGATATAGATTTCTTACACAAGCCCAAGAGATGTAGAGGATTTTTACTGGGATATAGATTTCTTACACAAGCTCAAGAGATGTAGAGGATTTTTACTGGGATATAGATTTCTTACACAAGCCAAGGGATGTAGAGGATTTTTACTGGGATATAGATTTCTTACACAAGCTCAAGAGATGTAGAGGATTTTTACTGGGATATAGATTTCTTACACAAGCCAAGGGATGTAGAGGATTTTTACTGGGATATAGATTTCTTACACAAGCTCAAGAGATGTAGAGGATTTTTACTGGGATATAGATTTCTTACACAAGCTCAAGAGATGTAGAGGATTTTTACTGGGGTATAGATTTCTTACACAAGCCCAAGAGATGTAGAGGATTTTTACTGGGGTATAGATTTCTTACACAAGCCCAAGAGATGTAGAGGATTTTTACTGGGATATAGATTTCTTACACAAGCCCAAGAGATGTAGAGGATTTTTACTGGGATATAGATTTCTTACACAAGCCCAAGAGATGTAGAGGATTTTTACTGGGATATAGATTTTGTATACAAGCTTTAAGGAGGGTCTGAGGTATATATGTATGGATGACTTTTATAGAAGTGTATATTTCTCGCACATAGTATAAAGATATGACAAGGATCTTATTTATCCATGCCTTTTCATACACAATTTAATGATGTTAAGTGGGCATTATATCTAACTTATTTGTTCTGCAGAAGTAGGCAACTAGGAACAATCGATAGCATTATTTTCTGTCTCTGCATTATAATCCTTCTTTATTACGTTGCAGGTTACATACAACTACTCAGTCAACTGACCACTGTGGGAGAAATCAGCCGGGAAGAATTTGATGGTGAGTTATCTAGTTGTGTTGCAAAATGATATTTGCTTGCAAAACTTATCATTTTTATTGGCTGTAAATGTCATACCAGTTCAATGCTTGAATTTGTACAATCTTACATGCCCTGAATTCTGCTCTATAATGATTGAACTAATATGTTTGACCAGCACGGTATAGCAGTATGGAAGGCTGTCTGGACAGTTACTACATCACTGTGGTAGAGGACAAGGAGACTGGACAGGTGATAGCATCAGGAACACTTGTCAAGGAGCAGAAGTTTATACACAAATGTTCAGCTGTAAGTAGAGACAAAGTGATACTTCATGTTGATATCCTGATATCTAATGGGTATCCATCACTTCTGTATGTTTAGGTCAAGGTTACATATTCAGAATGTCCCTTGAAGCATCAACAAGGATGTACTATTATGACAAGCTCTGTTGGTCTCTTACAAAGTCTACTTACTTAGAGATAATAAGTTCCTACTAAAATATTCCATGCTTTTGTTCAGTGAAATAACAGAAGCTTTTTATCTAAATATTATAATCTTAGTTATTTTACAACAATGCTGTAACAATTTTCATTACAAAATAATGAATACTGTTCATCAAATGGCTTGTATGATAGCATGCATGGTTTCTTAGAGGAAGAAATTCAGAGTGTTTGTAAACCAGCCGATCTCATTTGATAGATTTGTACAAATGAAGAATTACATGTGCACAATGTAACTCACTTGTATTGCATTTGCTGTCTATCTCCTATTGAAAAACAAAAATGTAACACTACTGCAGTAAGATGGCATAATATGAAGAACAATTTCCAGGTTCAGTATGACAGTATCTTGTATAAAGATTTATTATGTTACAGAGAGGGAGAATAGAAGATATAGTTGTAGACAGTAAATATAGAGGACGACAACTTGGAAAATTGTAAGTATAAACTTCTATTTATGTATTGTTGTCCAGGGCAGACAACTTGGCAAGTTATACTGTTAGCAGGGGCAGACAATTGCCCTGGTTTTGCTGTTAGCAAGGGCAGACAACTTGGCAAGTTATACTGTTAGCAGGGGCAGACAACTTGGCAAGTTATGCTGTTAGCAGGGGCAGACAACTTTGCAAGTTATACTGTGTGTAGGAGCAGACAAATGGGCAAATTAATCTCTAAGTAGGGGCAGAACAAATTGGAAATATAGTTTATGTTTAGTTTAGTTAGGTAGGGTCTCCATAGTGTAGCCATAGGCTACCACACTGAACATCATGTGGGAGACCCTCCACATACTATCCAGAGCAATTGGGGTAAAGGGTCTTGCTCAGGGACACAACCATGACTATAGGAAGAGAAGATAACTGGGCAAATGATTATTTACTAGTATATTTATTAGATTATTTGTAGGGACAGACAACTGTTTCAGTTGTGAGTAATCAGCTATCTGATGTTGTAGGGTCAAAGCTAAGGTCATATTGATATCTGATTGACATTTCAGTTACAAGTAAGTCATTATAGGACATATAGGTTTGATGATTTGACCCCAATCATACAATAGCTAGTAGGACATATAGGTTTGATGATTTGACCCCAATCATACAATAGCTAGTAGGACATATAGGTTTGATGATTTGACCCCAATCATACAATAGCTAGTAGGACATATAGGTTTGATGATTTGACCCCAATCATACAATAGCTAGTAGGACATATAGGTTTGATGATTTGACCCCAATCATACAATAGCTAGTAGGACATATAGGTTTGATGATTTGACCCCAATCATACAATAGCTAGTAGGACATATAGGTTTGATGATTTGACCCCAATCATACAATAGCTAGTAGGACATATAGGTTTGATGATTTGACCCCAATCATACAATAGCTAGTAGGACATATAGGTTTGATGATTTGACCCCAATCATACAATAGCTAGTAGGACATAAAGGTTTGATGATTTGACCCCAATCATTCAATAGCTAGTTAGAGATAACCAGAGGTCAGTGAAAATTTCAAAAATGAATTAAACAAAATTTGAAATATTCTTTTTCATTTCACAGCTGTATTTTTGTGGAAACAGGTCAGATTGAAATATTTTTGAGTGCTAATTTAGTATTTAACATTCTTGATTGTTCAGTGGCAGCAATATGAATTTTTCACTAACCACAGTTAACTATAACTTTTCAGGAACCATGGCCAGATGTTTCAGTTGTTTGTTTGAAGAATTATCAAATTAGCACTAGACAGATGGCTTTTAATATACTTTCATAATGATAAGTTGATCATATTTAACTGATGAAAAATGTTTCCAGGTTGTGGTAGTGTATAGTTACAGTTCCACTGTACACCTTATAGACTTACATTCATCCATTTATAGATTATATGCTCTGCATTCCTTTCTCCACAGAATACTGGACGTGTTGACCATTCTCAGTAAAAAGGTTGGCTGCTATAAAGTGTCCCTTGAGTGCATGGACAAACTTGTTCCCTTCTACTCACAGTTTGGATATAAGAAAGAGGACAAACAGAACTACATGTGTCGACGTTACAGTGACTAGGTCTCAATTTATCTTTGTGGTGTGTTCAGGTGTCTTTCTTAAGCTGGCTAGGAATAGGTATATATGTGGTCAGATTGTGATATGATGATTGATCGAAATTGAAAGATTGGTCTGAAAAAAGTTTCAACCATTCTTACCATTGATTTTAAATTTAGCCCATTATTGACTATTTGTATTTAAACCACTGAATTATTTCTATAAACATGTGGACTATCTCTTCATAGTAATCTTACTATATAATAGTACTCCTGTATGACACAAACCACAGGAATACTAGTCTTGTTTGATCTGAACCAAAGGTATTTTTCTTGTTTGGTTTTTGATATTATATGATCTCATATTGTTTGTTTAGGATATGATCTGAACTTTTAATATTATAGTTATAGTGTTTTGCAATGCAGAGTAATCTGTCCTTGTGACGAGATGTTGATTGTGATGCCATTAGTTTGATTGAGAAAATTATGTCATTTTTTCTGACATTACTTTCACAAACAAATAACATAACAAATCAATACCTGCTTCCAAGGGTAAATAACTCTGCAATACAAAAGGACAGAATAGGCTACATTTGGTAAAATTTTCATGACAGGATGATGAAAAGATCTGGTTCACATTACTCTTGAATATGTATCAATGTAAAACAATGTAAAATCATATATTTTCCTGTAACTCAAATTTCATGATTTTTGCAAAAAATATATATTTTGTTGGCCGTTGATTATAAGGATAAGTCTTGTTTGCGTAATCAACTTGTTCTACAATCCATATCAAATTATATCTGTTCATCATTTTGTGGACATATAAATTCCTGGATTTAGAATACCGATGATTTAATGAAAATAAATACCCACAAAAATGAATGATTTTACAGTAGAAATTATCTGTAGATACTTGGGTAAGAAATGTGTTTTTTCTTTAAATCTTTTGGCTTTTTAAATTTAACATTGAATGTTTGTGTATAAGTAAGGTTGTTATATAAGAAAACAATGATTTTAGTTGAAGAGGACTAGAGATACACTGTATCAGTATTAATCCAATTTGTATGGTGATTCAGTTGTGGGACATTAAATATGCGGTTTATGTCTTATCATGCAAACCAGATGCTTGATTTATTTACTTGTAGTTCTATATATATATAGTGCTTACCATACTTTACACTATGCCTTGTCCAATCCTGTGTTTCCCCATGACTCATCAGTTTACAGTAGCTGTGGTAATGTTGATATAAAATAGGGATTATAAATACGTACAATACAGTTTTGTATCTTGTGTGATCTAAAACATGTGAACTGAAGCATACCTTTTAAACTCAGACTTTTTCAATTTATTACCTGCTAATTATCCTACAAATCTACTGTGTAATGTATATTTTGAAATTAAGGTTCAAGATGAACCATAGTTATTGTGTTTTGTCTGTTATCCTGCGTTGTTTTTTTTTTTTTTTTTAAACATTTTAATCTTCTTTTAAAGTTCCACCAATGGGATTCAGCTGAAAGTTGCTTGGAATGATTCCGAGATGGTCCTGATTAAGCACAATTTTTTGTGACATTCTGAAATCCATTATGACCACCATCATAAAAAGCTTCTACTTAAGTTCCACTGGTTCCATTGAGCTGAAAATGGTTCGGAATATTTAGGAAAGGAAGCCAACTATGTATTCTTATTTTTCAGCCTCTTCAAAAATTATGGCTGCCATGACTGCCATCTTGAAAAACACCTTAAAAACTTCTTCTGTGGTTGTAGTTTTTGGCCAAAAATTCAATATGGCAGATATTTTGTAACATGATTGCACAATCATGATTTTCCTGAACAACACCTATTTCAAACCTTATCTCTAGTTTCAACATTGGGATTCAGCTCATACTTGTGCGAGATGGTCTTAAACAATGTTGGATTTTTTTCTAGGTTGGTTTGAAATCCGATGTGGCCGTCATGATTGCCATCATAAAAAGACACATTCTGAAATTAATTTCTCCAGTTCCATCAGAGATACTGAGCTAAAACATTTTTGAGGTATTTTTTTCATGTAAAAATTACTGTCATATATAGGTTTTTATAGTCAGATGATTGTTAAGGCCCATGGGCTTCTTGTTCTCTAATTTGGGTCATATTGTTTTGAGCATATCCATAAAAGTTATTATATAATAGTTATTATGATACTTGATGACATTCAACTGGGATGATAGTAGTGTTAATAATTCAGATTGCTTTACAAAGGGCCTAAGTTTGAAGTTTTAAGTGTAAAACAAAAACCAATGAATTTACAACTACCGACAAGTGTATAGCTTTACATGTTGTACCTGTTAAGAGAGCCTCTTTCACTAAATGTTTTGAGACAATCAGTCAAGACTAGCTTTGAATATACCCTGGTACATGCGTCTAACTGTTATTCTTATCTATCTTCTGTTAGCGTATTTCGTTTTGTCATTTTTTTTTATCAGATACTGTAAACATAAATATTTTAGTGATAATCTGATGTGGGAGCTTATATTTGTGCTAATTTTGACTTTTGTTTATTGTTTGTATATAGCAATTATTACTGATGCATGAATTCATCATTTTGCTTATCTGCCAAGTGATAATGCACTTAAAGTTAGTTAATCTTATCTAAATTTAGTTAATTTACAGTATAATCTATTTGACATATGAAATTCAATAATTGAGGATATTTTTCTTTTGTTAAAAATCATCACAATCATCACTCATTAATTACTTCAGTATCTGCAATACCTGCATGACCTATTTCACACACTATCATAACTATGTACATGTACTATTTTGATATCTAATTACATTTAAACTATTGTTTTTCGAAACTTAAACAATTCAAACAAGTTTTAATGTGGGTATGTTAATTTCGCTATCAGATTAGATTGTAAATTTATAAATCCTGATGGTCTAAGAGTAGCTAGTAATATACACATTAGTTGAGGAATTTTACTGGTTCTGTTGTATGTATTGACAATTTTCACACACAATATTGTGAATGATGAAGCTGTAATCTAAATTAACTGTAACACTGGAGAACCTGAGGAATATGAAGTGTTGGTTTATCATTGAGTAGATCCCTACCTTGCAGGACAGAAAGTTGTCATTTGAATGAAGTCTACTTTATGTTTTAAGGTCAGCCTCAAGCTGTTAAACGTATGTAAAAGAACAGATCTTAACCCTGATGGGTGTTTACACAATTGTGCAGTAACAGTTTTTGGCTTATCATGCTACATACCAGTGATTATTCATCTTAATATATTTATTATTTTGAGATATTTTTGAGACACAATGTTTATTTTACATTACTTGCTTAAATCAATTTCACACGTTTTTTGTTTCCATCTTGTTGTAAACCGAAGACAACTCACACTAGTTAACGTATTTAAGTATTTATCGACTGGATCTGTTTACTTTTATTTATAAAGGTGCCTATATAAAATGATATTTAACTGATGTTATCAGAATGTGCAATTTTTTTTGCATAATTGTTTGTTTATTTCAAAGAATCTCCTAAACCAAAGATATTTTGATTATAAACTATAAACTGTCTGTTCATATTATACCATATAAAGGATGTGCACCTACACTGTACACATTATAATACATGTATATAAGTTTTTAGACAATATACAGTCCATACTCAATATACAGTTATAGATATACAGTCTGTACACATTATATATAGTTACACAGTATACAGTCTGTACACATTATATATAGTTATACAGTATACAGTCTGTCCACAATATATATAGATATACAGTATACAGTCTGTACACATTATATATAGTTATACAGTATACAGTCTGTACACATTATATATAGTTACACAGTATACAGTCTGTACACATTATGTATTTTTATGGCATGGTGCAGCTTCTGGCATCCATTTGTCATCTGGCTTCAACTTTTTTCTTTAAACAACTTCTTCTCAAAAATCTATGAACCAAATGTTTTGATATTTGGCTGGTATGTACCTAGGATAAAGCCCAACAAAGTTTGTAAAAGAAATGACTTTGACCTATATTTAAGGTCACAGGGGTTGAATTTGCTGAAATATATATACCAGGTGAGTGCTGCAGGCCCATTGGGCCTCATGTATATAGTTATCTGTTCTGTATACAGTCTGTAAACATTATATATAGTTATCTATTCTGTATACAGTCTGTAAACATTATATACCCAGGTATAATTATCTGTTCTGTATACAGTCTGTAAACATTATATATAGTTATCTATTCTGTATACAGTCTGTAAACATTATATATAGTTATCTATTCTGTATACAGTCTGTAAACATTATATATTGTTATCTATTCTGTAGACTGTCTGTAAACATTATATATAGTTATCTATTCTGTATACAGTCTGTAAACATTATATACCCAGGTATAAGTATCTATTCTGTATACAGTCTGTAAACATTATATACCCAGGTATAATTATCTGTTCTGTATACAGTCTGTAAACATTATATATAGTTATCTATTCTGTATACAGTCTGTAAACATTATATATACCTTATAGTTATCAATAATTTATGCAGTATATACACATTTCTACACTGCATACACATGGATCTATATATCATAAAATGTGACAGGCTTATGCTATTCATTTTGTTAACTCATCTTTATGCTAAGAATCTGGGATATTTATTTATTTATTAAGGCTTTGATGCATCATACTACATGGTTTTTAGTGTTGAGAAGACTTGCAGGGCAGGTATAAATTTCTTAACCTACCAAGCATCACTGGGTTTTTCCCAAACATGCAGTATGGTTTTTACCTGATCTACCCAAGCTTTAGTCAGCATAAGCTACAAGCTGCTAGACCAACTTGATTCTTTACATTACATTCATGTTTTGGAATGCATGCATTAATCTTTAACATTTCATAAAAAATAAAATGTGATTTTGCTCTGTGGTCTTTTTTCAACGTCCCATTGTTTAAAAGAAAATCAGTATTTCCTAACTTTCAATATAAAAAACATCCTTATTTTAAGGTATATTTTCATTGTTTGCATATCATTTTGAATGCTTGAAATTCTGTTTCATTTGTCAACTTCGGGATTTTAGGAAAATACAAAATTTTAAAAATGCATTTTAGCCAATTATCAAATGTATTTGAGTACTAAGCCAATGAAATATTTAGTGCATAAGCATTTCTATAAGGGAAGGAACTTGTGGAATTGTATATATGAAATGTGTATTTTAGTCCCAATACTGTTGTACTTTTAGGTTTGTACCAAACAGTGAGTTGGTGTAAAACCAAGAGACAAATGTGAGGAATACCTTATTGTTATAAAGAGTTTATTTTTGTGGTCAGAAAATCATAGAATATGAAACATTATTTGGTGTATAGTCAGGTTATACAGCTTTTCATTTAATGAGAAAGTTGAATAAGTATGATGTACTTGAGATGAAATGTAAAAGTGTGTAAGCTTGAAAATTAATTTGACAAGTATACTGGGGTTCAGGCCAAGAGGCCAAAGTTATACATGTGACTTATGATAAGATGGGTCATTCTGGATCCTGCTATGCATTAATTCAGGCTCAATTTACAGAATGTTTGGTAGCGTTTATAATATGTTTTCATGTCATAGAGGTATTTGCTATCACTGGTGTTATGATAAGCGGAACTTAAACAATTAAATAAAGTATGCAATTACTACAATATAAGTGTTGTCTTTATCTGTTAACACTGACATTTCCTATCTTGTTACTTTACAAATTCTGTCATTTAGTGAATTTTTAGCCTACTATCATCAGATGGTAGGCTGTTTAAATTTCCCTTGCTACTTGGTTATCTATTCTTCTTGAAAAGTACTACGGGATATTTCTCAAACATTGAAATAAAGGTTTTCCTTAATACAGGCCAATTAAAAATCAGATTTGCTCCATCCCACTATTCTCCTTAAATGGAGAGTAGTGGATTTGAACAGCTCTCTTTCATCAGATTGCTCCTTCATCCCTTGTCGTTCCCAATTTTTCAAACAAACAGGTGGCCATCTTAGATTTACAGGTATTGTTTGTTATATCTTGAAGTACTGGATATTTGTCTTCATATGTAGGTTTCTCTCTGTTTTATTGCCCATGTTCAGTATTATGAGGATATATTTAAAAAAAACAGGGAAAATGTAAAACAAATATATATCAAAGGATGGTGGCAACAAAAGAGCGAACATTTATATCAAAGGATGGTGGGCACAATGATTCCTCTGGGATATCATGTTTGTATCCAACTTTTCATCATAGATGTATCCACAAAACAATTACACCTGGTGACTTCTCTCAGAAAGAAGTACAACATACATAACAATTATCTAATATCAGACTGAGACATTCATATATATGTATCTTTTATTCTTAACAAAACGCAATGATTAGGCAAAACATAGTACATAGCATGTGACAGTTGAGTATTAATAAAATTTAAACTCATAACTCTGTATCATTTCCCCTATTTAATAATACACTGCATTACACATCAGTCACACATTCTTAATCAATTTCACATACATACATGTACTGTTATGTATATTTATTTGGGTTTTTTTTCGTAATCGCCAACAACAGTCAGGTTATTGCACTAACCTGATACACATATTAATTTTAATGGTCTTAGAAAAATTAACTTTCCTGGATTTTAACCAGTTTTCTTTCATGTAGATAATATTTCTATCTATAGCCCTGACTTTGAATAAATTAATATGTAAAAACAAAAACTACAAATCAGAAGGTATAGTTGTAGTCCTCATATGCTGTTTCTTCTAAATGATTTGCATCATTTAATACAGCTATGTAGTCTATCTCAAGCTGGAAAGGGCCTTCCACACCATCTGCCATGGTGATTCCGATATTTTCTATGTTTTGAAGATCAGGAGGATATTGGTGATCCTGGTTACGGCCTTTGTGAGTGAAGAAAAACTTGGAGAATGGTATCTACAATGATAAACAGAAAGTGCTGTTACAGTATTTTGCCATTAAAATATATAAAAATGTGATGAATATTAATCATTAACTTGGTTACATGCCATTGTTGTAAGTCACACAAAGAACTGGGGGTGGTTGGGTGGGGACGAGTCTTGTTTGTTGCTCCTATATTACTAGTCATTGGAACTTTATATCTACGGTATTGGTTCACCTTGGAGAGGAAGCAAGCATCTAAAGTAGGTCACTGTAACCTACATTTTGACTTGTTACTGGAGCTTAATACTCAATGTATGGGTTCATCTTGGTAAATGAAGCCATGTGTCATTTGGGGACTGTAATTCACAATATTGTGTGTATAATGAATTGGGAATATGGTACTCCTCTCTCCCCCACCCCCCTGTCAGTAGGGTCCCCCTCTAGTATATAATGTAGTTACCATGGCTACCTGCCAGTAGGGTCCCCCTCTAGTGTATAATGTATAGTTACCATGGCTATCTGCCAGTAGGGTCCCCCTCTAGTGTATAATGTATAGTTACCATGGCTATCTGTCAGTAGGGACCCCTCTAGTATATAATGTGTATAGTTACATTGGCTATCTGCCAGTAGGGTACCCCTCTAGTATATAATGTATAATTACCTTGGCTATCTGCCAGTAGGGTCCCCCTCTAGTATATAATGTATAGATACCATGGCTATCTGCCAGTAGGGACCCCTCTAGTATATAATGTATAATTACCTTGGCTATCTGCCAGTAGGGTCCCCTTCTAGTATATAATGTATAGATACCATGGCTATCTTCCAGTAGGAACCCTTCTAGTATATAATGTATAATTACCTTGGCTATCTGTCAGTAGGGTCCCCTTCTAGTATATAATGTATAGATACCATGGCTATCTGCCAGTAGTAGTATATAATGTATAGTTACCTTGGCCCAGTATAGTATATAATGTATAGTTACCTTGGCTACCTGCCAGTAGGGTACCCCTCTAGTATATAATGTATAGTTACATTGGCTATCTGCCAGTAGGGTACCCCTCTAGTGTATAATGTATAGTTACCATGGCTATCTGTCAGTAGGGTCCCCCTCGAGTATATAATGTATAGTTTCCTTGGTTACCTGCCAGTAGGGTACCCCTCTAGTATATAATGTATAGTTACCTTGGCTATCTGTCAGTAGGGTACCCCTCTAGTATATAATGTATAATTACCTTGGCTATCTGCCAGTAGGGTCCCCTTCTAGTATATAATGTATAGATACCATGGCTATCTGCCAGTAGGGACCCCTCTAGTATATAATGTATAGTTACCTTGGCTATCTGCCAGTAGGGTCCCCCTCTAGTATATAATGTATAGTTACCTTGGCTATCTGTCAGTAGGGTACCCCTCTAGTATATAATGTATAGTTACCATGGCTACCTGCCAGTAGGGTACCCCTCTAGTATATAATGTATAGTTACCTTGGCTATCTGTCAGTAGGGTACCCCTCTAGTATATAATGTATAATTACCTTGGCTATCTGCCAGTAGGGTCCCCCTCTAGTAAATAATGGCTATCTGTCAGTAGGGTCCCCCTCTAGTATATAATGTATAGTTTCCTTGGTTACCTGCCAGTAGGGTACCCCTCTAGTATATAATGTATAATTACCTTGGCTATCTGCCAGTAGGGTCCCCCTCTAGTATATAATGTATAGTTACCTTGGCTACCTGCCAGTAGGGTACCCCTCTAGTATATAATGTATAGTTACCTTGGCTACCTGCCAGTAGGTTACCTCTCTAGTATATAATGTATAGTTACCTTGGCTACCTGCCAGTAGGGTCTCCCTCTAGTATATAATGTATAGTTACCTTGGCTATCTGCCAGTAGGGTCCCCCTCTAGTATATAATGTATAGTTTCCTTGGTTACCTGCCAGTAGGGTACCCCTCTAGTATATAATGTATAGTTACCTTGGCTACCTGCCAGTAGGGTCCCCCTCTAGTATATAACGTGTAGTTGAACTGGTCAGACCACATTATATCATATGCCCGTTTCATCTGAAGGTTTATGTAGTACGGTCTTCCATCTCCTCTTACACGCAACACAAGATGACTATATATTCCTATATCATCTATAGGGCGTTTCCTTTTGAATGATATCTGTAAAGGAAAGTTCCATGATGATATGATAAATGTGATACATTGGCTATAAAAATTGACATTGTTACTGCAAGCAAAAAGGTAAGCTTAAATGCTTAATTGAAATCAATACATGAAATTCTTAGTTCTAAATATCATTTGTACAAATTTGATAGTCACCTTAAGCTTCATCGCAGTAAGCATCTAGCTACAATACAAATAAATATCACAACTCCAGGCCCTTTGGTTATTCAAAGGAAGGCTTTGGGCTTAAAAATGTCCTGCAATTAAGTGTCACTATGGCATTTTTTTTTTGAAGACTTACATAATTAGAAGGAGATTTCATGTTGCAGTAGCCAGCATTCTTTGAAATACCATCTTTGGGAACTTGTTGAGAGAGGTATCCATGAAAGAGTGCATTATTGTCTTTACTGATTGACAGGTTAACTGAACTCTGTCCCTCCAGATTGTCTCTGTCAGCTGTCAGTGTCCATCTTTCAACACTTTCCTTTCCACCAAACTTCCACAAGTACTCATAAGTACCATGATCTAAATTCCATCTATCAAGATGACGAAGTCTTAATTTATCTTTTATTTCCTCTGTAAATAATTTAAATTCTCCCTTCTGTAACTTTAAACTTTCAATAAATCCCTTCTTTTTCTTGCCGTCCAAGTCGTCATGGTAACCACTCTTTTTGTCCACATCAAAAAGGTTGACAGATGTGGCAGTTTGTATCACCAGAGGCTGATATTTTGGTTGGAGAAATTGACGACAACTTTTTGCCACTTTAAGGGCTGTCATGGTGTTAAGTCTACAAAAGAGAAAAACAATTTAATTATCTTCTTGATCGAGGTGGCTGGTTTTAAGTTTGGAAAACATGGATTACAAGCTGAATACTTCCCTTTCCCTGATCATAGAAATAGACATGAAACAGACCATCATTACTCACCTAACAAAATATGATCTTTTGCCTTTTCACTATGGAAAATATCTCAACACATTATGCCCCAGTGACCTTGATAGTTGGTGAAAGTGTTTCACTCCAGCATGCCACTAACCAATATCATGACCATTGTCCTGTAAAATTTGCGGTGATCTGTCGTAATCTAGTTTTAGACTGCTGTTTGTGATATGGAAAAGTAGAGTTACTTCCCCTTATCAATGAAACGTGCAGGTATAATCTAAGTGACACATGATGATATAAGTTGACCAATGGGGATACACTACTTTTGATCTGTTATTATTTAACATATATACAGAAGTTTAAACATATTTATTTGGGCTTTTCACTATCGATGGTAGACCCATGCCAGAGGTAACAGTTGGTGAGGAAAAGCTTGAAGTAGTAACAGACTTCTGCTACCTTGGTGATATGTTGTCATCTGGAGATGAATGTGAACTTGCTGTAACAATAAGATGCAAGTCTGCATGGAAAAAGTTCAGAGAGCTGCTTCCAATCTTAACAAGCAAACATCTGTCTATCACAACAAGAGGTCGCCTTGGGTAGACCAAAACTGACCTGGGATGACTTAGTGAAACGGGACTGTACATTCCGAGGAATGGGCGACACTAATCCAATGGATCGCCGAACATGGAGAAGGAGACTTCGTTCTCGACTGGACAGCCAGGCCTTACCCTTGGAGAAGGATTAATCAAAGGCCTGGATGATCTAAACTGGTTAATGATGATGATGATGACCTATTGTTATTGTTACCTGGCCTATTATCATTCTTCCGATATTTGTGGAATGAAAATCTTTTAATTGGTAAGAGATGGAGTAATAATCTATTCAGTACTTTGTAGGTACATTTCTGAAGATGTATGGGTAAGATTTAAGTAGATTATGAATCCAATATTGCTGCCATAATGTCATATGTTAAAAACTTTAAAATAGCCATATCTCGAAATTGTTTTGAATGTAATGAGTTAATGCAATTATATATCATTTGTTGATAATTCCTATATCTAACTTTTCCCCATTACATGTTAATACAAAATATGTCAAATAAAAAAAAAACTTGCTGTTGGCAAAGGTCACAAATTTTTATTGATTATTTTTTCCGTTTTTGTTCCTTTTGAAAAATTCTAATACAGATCAATGATGAATGTGATTCCGATGTAATTCACCTAGCGTGAAATGGTTCTCAAGGGGTCAGAAACTAATGTGCCAAGGATATATATATCGCTGTGGTTTCAAATGATCATTTGATGATCTACAACACGACAGTTTCAGTAACTGCGTATATATATTATTGACGTGTATGTTTTCATGGCAAATGTTAAACAACATTGTTCTCTACACATATATATATGGTAAATACAGACCTCTATTTCACATACCTAACATGCACGAATCCATGCGGGGGCGTCACTGTGATAGCATCGAAAATATTTTCTTAATTGCTTGTGAAATTAAGGATTTTTTACAAAAAAAATAAAGTCTGTCATAATTTGATACAATACATATTTTTAACGATGTTTAAATAATAAAAAAATTGATTTTGATATATATTATATTTCTAATAATTATATATGTTTACGTGCCTCATCATGTCTTCGACAGGCTGCGTAGCCTTCACCTTTCGTGTATGACAACACAGGAAGGTAGTCGATGGCCTGACATCTTCAGGCTGAGACCCACAATTCTGCGAATTGGCGTATGGTGAGACATAACGTACACTATGGGGACTCGAGCTTCCATTCAACTTCAAGAAAATGAACTCAATGAAATACAGAATGAAACAGGGTGTAAGTAATATGCTTGAGTTCTTGGTAAAGGATTCGCTCAAGTGTCGTTCTGTTCATATCATGCATGGCACATGATTACTTTCAGTAGGCATGAGCAGATTGAGATGCTTCAGATACGACCATACGCTAATATATGGATCACAGCAAGATACGTATTGTGCCGCATACTATTTATCTAATATTTGGTCTATGATATACAGATGTATGTAAACGGGATTGATTTGGTTGAAAACAATGACCCAACATGTGCCGTGTTTTCCCAAATACAGGGACCAGAGAACCAGGATGACAATACCCTGCTCTTTTAGGTTTAATTTGTCAGAAGCGTTCTGACCATATGTTCATTTTATCATGGTGGCTTTTTGATAGTCAGAATTTCTTCCTTTATAAAAACATAGGCTTTTATATTAGAGCCCAGTGGCCATGCATGGGTTGACAGACATTCATTTTAGTCCACGATCTGATGTAGAGCAAGTTACTCAAATTGCTTTATATTGGTGGCCTGCAGTCTACCACCCACCCGTAAATAATAATTTTTATCGCTATTACTTGAGAAGTGTGCACTGAAGATCCCATTGGTCCCTAGTTGTAGCCATTCAATTTTGAGTCTGACCAGGAAGACAAAATGGCAATAGGTGGCCATCTTGAATTTTGAATGTTGAAATTTGTTATCACTTTTCTTTAAGAAGTACAGGAAGGATATTTCTGAAGCTTAATGTGTAGGTTTCTTTGAATTCCTAGTTGTTGTCTTTTTTTTTAATTTTGAAGCTGATAAGAAAAACATAAGTGACCAAAAGTTGACCATCTTGGATTTGATATGTAAAGATTATTTTTACTATTTCTTCAGATGAATTTTCAGCTTCCATATAATTAAGAACATAATAATAGGAAAGAAGAGGAAAGAAAGGAAAAATCCCACTTTTAAAGAACAAATACAGATCGAACAATGTGGTTGCTAAAAGATCCTCTGGGCTCTTTTGATCATTTTAAGCTATGGTACACTGACACTATAGCTTCTTTGTCGCCAGTTCAGAGATATCATGCAATAACAATATTTCGATCAACTATGACCCTGCCTAGTATCAAACATGTTAGTGAGAGTAAGGAACGATAACTCTTGATAGAGATCTGTATCAGGCTTGCAAACTGTTCAAAACTTAATGTAACAACTTAAGAACCTTTATCGTAAACAATCTATTATCATTCTTGCTATTCAAGTTATTGCTGTTCAAAAAAAAAAAATCACTGACAGACCTATTTAAAGTGTACAAGTGACAACTAACAGAATTTGTTTAAAAGTACACAAAAATGTTCCTGATATTAAAAGACCTGTTGTAAACCTTGATCATTATACACAACCCCAAGTCTCATGTTGATATATTTTCTAAAATGATTGATTTAACGAGTGTAAGTTTCCTTGATCGCCAGTATAACAGGTTCATTACTGAATAAAGCAGTATATATAGATCACATTCAAGAGCATTATTAGAAATTATGAGTAAAAAAGAAATTTTACTGATACAAAGTAATTCATCTTCAGATTCATGACATTGTAGAGGATAGATTTAGTAAGAAAGGAATTTATATTGATAATAAGTATGTGCAATGAACTCTACAGTAAGGTCGGTTATAACTCAATGTATATGTACTGATGATAGGAATTCTGACTCAATGACCTTTAAGATTAAGTTATTAGGTCATCAGATCCAAAGGGTCAGGATGACCTATAGCCATAGTGTTCTGGCCATCGTCATGCACTTGCATAAAATTCTTACCTTTATTCCTACCTTAAATGATCCTGAGATGATCAAGGTCCTGACCAAGTGTTGTTATTTTTTGTGTTAGTACGAAATCCAATATGTCCACCAAGCTAGTCATTTTGATGAACACATTATAAAACTTCTCAAGTTCCACTGGTGCCATTGAGCTAAAACTTTGCAGGAATGCTGTGAAACTGAAATTAGGAGTGTTTTTGCCTTTACTGACTAAAATGTTCCAAATATTTTAATCATTTGATAACAGTTCCTACTACTGCTGTTGTTATATCATATATAGGTGTTTATAGTCAGCTGACCATTAACGCCCATGTGTCTCTTGTATTTCATTCAGGATGTTTTTCAGGTCATGCACATTTTCCTCATTTGTTCTTACTGATACAAGAAAGGATTAGCAATTTTTCTATTAAGTAAGAAGTATATTTAGGATAACCTTGCATTCTGAACTGTTGTGTATATATTTTACATAGGTTTAAGATAGTTGTTAATTATCACATACTTGATGTGAAAACATCTATAACTAATGTTATGTTGTGCTGGTAATGTATTGTTTGATCATTTATGTGAAAGTGCTATATGAGTATACATCTGAATTTTTTGAAACATCAGTCCAGTCCCCAGGTGCATATATAGAAATGTTATCTAACATTTTGTTGTAAAACTTAGCAATATCAGTAAAATTTATATGCAGATTTTAAACTTTATCTGTTAATTTCTTCAAATTTTGGAAAGATCATGATTTTAAGTAATCCTATTTTAACACACTATGTATATAGACTAAGAAATTTCAGGACAATGTTGGATTCTGTCTATAATTGTATGATTTACTTCTTACATGCCATCATCAATATTACTTAAGTTCATTGTTAATTACCATATACTTTGTATGGATGCATTATATAAAAGTGAAGTTCATTGTTAATTACTATATACTTTGTATGAATGTAACATACAGAAATTCCATTAGTTAGGTGAGCATTAATTGTGCTTTATTGATAAAACAATTAAAATATTGACTTGAAAAGTGTCATTATATTTCTATTTTTATATTCAGTTTCACATAATCAGATAGTACGTCTCTACAGTCGCTTCACAAGTCTAGACAAGAGCAGCAATGGAGTTCTAAGGTAAATGTTTGAGAAAAAAGCTTTCTTTTTTATTGAACACTTAGGATATAAAATAGATGTTTCCTAAGAATTCTGAATAATATAAAATCACATACACTGCCATGAACAGTGTGTCTATTACTTGGTATAATACTGATTTTTGAAAGAGCATCTGAAATTTAGTGTGTATGGCATACTAATTCAAGTTGATGTTCCCCTATTTTTTTCCAGTCGTGAAGACTTTCTTCGCATTCCAGAACTTGCCATTAATCCGCTTGGGGACCGGATAGTACATGCATTTTTCCAGGAAAGGTATATCACTTTAGATAAAGCATTGTTTTGTTTCTTGAAATTCATGATCCATCACAAAAATTTATTCAGTTGTCCAACCTGCACATTGGACAATGTTGATGCCTCTGCTTGCAGTTGCTGTTCAGTGTTATGATAATGGCTCTTATTTATGTATGCTATGGTTTTTGACAAATTGAAGTTCACACTTCATCAATATTTTATCTGACTGTCAAAATGATACAAAAACAGAGTTTAAAAAATATGTAAATGTATATTGTCGTATATTGGTGTCATCTCTGTCTGTCCGTCCGTCCATTTCTTGTGAACGCAACTTTTCCTAAACTAATCATCAGATTTTCATGAAACCTGCTCAATGTCACTAATACAATGGGTAGATGTGCATGAAGGAGCCATTTTTTCAGTTCTTTGATTTTTTAAAGATTTATGCCATTTTCAACTTTGTATCTGTAGCTTGCTCTTAGTGGAGCTTTGTGAATGCAACTCCTAAAATAATGATAAGATTTTCATGAAACTTGCTCAATGTCACTAATACAATGGTTCGATGTGCATGAAGGTCTCTTCCAGCTAAGCTAACTGGTCTCACAGACTTCATTTTGAGCTTATATATACAGACATGTTAAAAGCGATAATTAAAAGGACCAATCTTGATCTATATATTTTGTGGCGGTGTATATTGTGTCCATGTCTCTCTTGTTTGTTAGTTGATGTACAGTTTATAGAGGTTGACTGGGTTTTGAATGAAAAGGAATTATATTTGTCACGTATTAAGTAAGCTTTCTATATTTGATTCCTGGATTTATTCTTTTCTTGTGGGACTCCCTCTGGTTTTGAGAACACACTATATGTATTAATGAGACTTGACTATTTGCCTTGCTTTCATGTGCTAAACTCAAAATGTCATGCAAAAATCACTCTATATAAAATGTGTTAAATTGCCTTTGATTTTTCTTTTGATGTTATGTAAATCTCATACTTGTCCAGTTGTGGTATTTGGTTGTGTTAAAAAAAAGTCAAAGAGTTTTCTCCCCTTGCAAAATCTGAACCCATGTAGTCAAAACAGGCAATGTAAATATGGTCAATTTCACGAGCAAATGAAACAGACAAACTATGGTAGTTTCATGGAGTCCAACTTGAGTAGAAATTGAAATATAATTTTTTGTGAGCTACCACAAATACTAATCATTGAAGGTGAAGTCAGTCACAAGTGATATATTTGTTATTTGATGCAACGCTTAAGTATTTCGGTGATAATTAAATGTTGTCTGCAAAAGAATTTTAATTGACAAAGGAGAAATGAAAAAATTTACAATAACAGATGATAATATCATATTTTTTCAGCAATGATGAAACAGTGAATTTCAGGCAGTTTATGAGAGTGTTGGCAAGGTTTAGACCAACAAAGACCAATCAGACTAAAAACAAATTGAACACGAGGGAAGAAAAACTGAAGTGTAAGTATTCCTATCTCTGTCTATCCATACTGAAATAGATATTTTTAGGAGGTTTCTGGGTATCTATGGATTTGACTTGTTCTTTATAATCATATTTTGATGTCCACAATGTTCCCATCTTAATATAGATTGCCTTGTAGTAGGTAGTAAAGAAAATATCAATTTTTTGCTAAATTTTACAATACTTACATTTGTCAGATTGACACAGGTAAATTGTAATATTAGAAAAGTTTTTAACAGTGTGACATACAAAGGTATATATTGCTCTGTTTATGTAGTTTAATACAGCACTAATACAATGTAACGATTCATTTTCCCATTTGACTGCAATGAAATGGACATTTTTCATGAAAAGTTTGACAGAAGTTTGATAGTGTAATCGAAAATTATTATAACTGTTTACTTATCAATACTGTACAAAGAAAATGAGATCCAACGTCTGCCAGAAAATCTTCTAATCAATAAATCCTGCTGAACTTTCTGACAGGTGTTGTCTGGTCATATCTACCGTTATCAATACTGTGTTTACCATTATTTGTCAATAAACCTGTGCCTAGCTATAAGACCACACGTGCTAATGTGTAGAATTAAAGAAACACTTTTTTTACTATTAAAGGATAAATATAGGATTTTTTCAGCATCAAGTGACAGTTTTCATTAATATACCACAAACAATAGTTATATGATTTCCATTGTTTTCTTTTCTTGCAGTTGCTTTCAAGATGTATGACCTTGATGGAGATGACAAGATATCACGAGATGAACTTCTGGCTGTACTTCACATGATGGTTGGTGACAATATCACAGAGGAACAGGTAGTCACCTATGTCTTCTTATAGTGACATGTAGCTGTAGTTAGGACTTGCAAACATGTAAAGACAGGCCTGATGTATACAGTAGTGTGGGCAGGCAAACATGCAATGACAGGCCTGATGTATATAGTAGTGAGGGCAGGCAAACATGCAATGACAGGCCTGATGTATATAGTAGTGAGGGCAGGCAAACATTCAATGACAAGCCTGATGTATATAGTAGTGTGGGCAGGCAAACAAGTCATAGTCTGTGTTATAGCTAGACAGTATAGATGGCAAGTCATTGTCAGTGTTAAGCTGGACAGAATAGCTGATAAATAATTGTTTGTGTTACAGCTGGGCAGTATAGCTGACAAGACTATCAGTGAAGCTGACAGGGATGGAGACAACCAGATTTCATTTGAAGAATTTGTTACGGTAATTATCACTACAATTGGCCCTTGCACTTTTCCGGAATAATTAGGTTGTTGTTACTATCTTTTATGACTAGATGAACTTACACATCTTAACAGATTCCTGATTTTAGAGTACATGTATTGTCATTTGTGTAAAGTTAGTATATACACTCCACAATTGATATATTATCACTATTTTGTTGTTTTCATACCAAAAGGCAATGGAACGAATGGATGTAGAACAGAAGATGAGTATACGTTTCCTGCATTGATCTGAATAGAGTACTACCCCATCAGAGCCATAGAGAGTGCAAAAGCTTGGAACTGTGGAACAGATGCCAAATGTGTGCAATCATTAGCATGATTTCTTGCCTGTGTTGGCTTCAGCAGAAAGTTGGTTAGACTTGTACAAGTCCCATTAATATTACATTTGTTTTGTGACATTTTACTCATTATTTTGTAGATGAACACATAACTATACTGTGATTATGAAATTGTTTTTGTCAAAACCATGAGTAATTTTGGATATTTGGCTCTGCTTTGTAAAGGATTGTTCATGTGACATATGGGATGTTTTATGTTAAATTATTATAGAATATGTTCATTTCTTCAGTTTGTTGCTACAAGGTTCAGTTTATTGTTGGCGTGTAATGGAGTATGTTGATAGGTTGACTGTTATTTTCTTTTAAGAGACAATAAGCTTGTACAAAAAGTAAATTAAAAACAATATGTCATTTTGAAAAGCTGCAAGAGGTACATTTAATCGTTACTATTTTAAGGGACATACATATTAACATATTAATCAATACATATATAACCATCAAATCATAATTATTATCTTTTTATCTGAATTATGTAAACATGTCAGGGTGTAAAATTATCCATGAAAATTATTGAAGTGATTTGAATTCTATAAAATAAAAATGTATTTATTTGTAGCCACACATATTTGGTGGCCATGCATGCATATCATTCCTAACTCATGCACCAAGATTTGACACATATTATTTATCTTTGTTAAGGAAATCCAAACCTCTGCTTTTTATATTTATTATTATTAATTGGTATACTGTATAGATGTATATTTATATATTAATGCAGGGAGTAAATTTCCAGCAATATTCATACATATGATATACTGATGCACCAGTTGGAATAGTTCTATGTACTTTAGATTATGTTGCATGAATCTGGTTTTAAACAATTTTTAAATTGATTTCTCTTTTAACTTTTTAAAAATATTTCCCTCATGCTAAACAGAAATAAAATTCTAAACTATGCATTTTAGTGACAGAATATATGCTTACACTGAGACCATTTGGCGATATGCGAAGCAAAAATGGCAATGAAAAAAGTGCATAGCCAATTTTAGGAATAGTTATTGAGTGTTAGTGTGCCTATATGGAGAGTTATTATATTAGAGTGATATTTTCTTCTGTTATACATACATTGATGTTCTACAAAATCTTATAGATACATGGCTGTGGACATCTATAATGTAGATGGTCTCCATATCATCCACATCATCAGCCTTATAGTACTTTATTTTAAGCAATGGTTGCTAATTGTATGGTAAGTTTAAGGTCAGGGGTATGGATATAAAATACAAAACATCAATTTATATTGCCTTGTGTATCCACCCATGAAGAATTAGGATTTAATATAACATTATCAATGTAGTATGTAGAGATCAATCACAACAAATAAAGAAGCCAGGTTCATCTATTTATATGTCAACAGGTTACTGTCTTAAAGATGATATTCTGATTATTATGAGCCAACATGGTTAATATGAAATAGACGCCAGCAAAAAATACCTGGACCAATACTTAAGATCTTGTGTGAAAAAACTTTAGCCTCTAGACACTGCAGTGATATGTTAAACACCTGAAAAGAATGCAGCCTGGATACAACATTAATAATGCATAACACATAAAGAGTGAATAAACAAGTCACAACACCAGTGGTTAGTAGACCATTTTAAGCTTTGACTTGAATGGACTAAGGTCTCGAAATGCTTGAGAAGGGATGCCAAGGACAGCATCACAGTCTCCATCAACACGTCAGTTGTTGGTGAAACTTTGCTCCATGATGCTAAACTCTTCAGCAATGACGCCAAAGACACAACACCTACTCCATATTTTGCATCATAAGCCCCTAGTAGCACCAGAGTGGATTACATACAGAATTGATGATTAAACATAGAGAGGATGAAGATAACCATTATTGAATGATAAAATCTATATAAACGTTGTATATGTTGTTTATTACTAAGGAACCAAGAGAGACTTAGAGCTACATTTCTTTTAAAGATGCCTATTGTTGAAATGTCACAGAATTTAACAATTTTAATAGGTCTCTTCATTCTTGGAAGTAAAATTGCAATTAAATGTATGTCTCAAAGAACCCTGATGAGGAAAAAATCATTAAACATATAAAGAAATTGATGAACACCACACCTCCCCAGTTGTGGTTGATCTCTACCTACCTTGTTCTCTATCAATCACCATTCTTACATGTGGGTATTCAGACCAGGGGCTTAGGAAACAAGTGTCTTCCCCAGAAACACCTATTGGCTGTAACATCATCTATCTCCCACATTTGAAAATCATAACTGAATAACCAGTTTAAGGCACATGATAGATGTACTTTGTATAATTTATTTCTGTGATGAATATTTGAATACGTTCTATTTTCTATTTTAATAGGACTTTGGTTATTTGACTAATACTTTAAAATCTGAATAATTTAGCAGCCTCCATACTTAAGGGTTAATACCGAGTAACATGTTTTCTACCAATTATGAATAAATAAAGTACTGTTGGTTGAGCATCGTTAGGTTTAGCAGGAAGATGGATCTGCCAGATTGTATTTCAGGTCGCCATATCTATGTGACAACGTCCCATTATCCATTGGTTATTTCCCATCATCACCAACAATGTACATGATATAGTAGATGATTTGGGACAAAACATAGTTTACGATAGTACACTGGATGAAAGTTTCTATATAGGATGAATATTTTTCACCACAGTATTGTATGAAAATGTTAATACAATATTGTATACTGAACAGATATTTAAATACTCAATAATGAAAAGAGGATGGTTATAATGGGAAATGTTCAGGACAAGTGAATGTACGTAAGTGGTTGGTTGCTAAATAGCTGTCCTGATGATATGGAATTCCATTGATTTTTGAAGAAAATTTGAATTTAATTATCTGTTGTACAAGAGAAGATTGTGGTTTTGCAACTTGTGTGGAAATGTAGGGACATACTTGAAGGATATTGACATATTATGTGTGTAAAGGTGCTAGGTTAACAATGAAATGAAAGACATTTGTGAAGTATCCATACAAGCTGTAAGTGAGTTCCAGGTACCACATTGAATGTCTACCTATCGTGGGAATTCCCTGTAAGATGATTGTAAAATAATAGTTACTATAAATACACCATATGAAATATAAAACATTGTACTTGCATTTACAGATAATAAATACATTCTATTTAATTCTGTTGTTGTTGATTCAAAGCCGAAGTTTATTACTGAATGTCTGAAGCAAGGCAAGATTGGACAGGCTTGATTTGCACACTTTGGTCACCTACCAGTTGATTGGCTACACCATATCATTTAAGATAGAATATTAATCTGGAGGACAATGGCAGATGTTCAGCTATATAAACTGTGTGTTCAAATATCTGATGATCATATGACTAGCATTTTCTGGTCTTTATTCTGCTTTCTTTCACAGAAATGGTTGAAATACTCTTGCTATAACCAGAAGCATATATTTAACTGCTACTGGACATAAAGTGACAACACTATCATACTGTCACATTAGTAATAGCCTTGCCCTGATGTACTTTTTTTCCATTGAGGTTATAATTTAAAAATGGTTGATATCAAAACATAGTAGCCAAATAACAATTGGGCATAAGACCAGTGTGCTGCCAGGTTTTTTTTAAAGGGTCATGTCAGCTGCTTAATACTTTATCCTATGTTATCTTAGTTTCATAGCACTTGTTGACAAGAAGGTGCAAACAGAATTCTGCTACAATGCAATTCTTAGCACAAAAGCATGTTAACCTTAAAACAAGGTTATAATATACTCACCAATAGACACCAAAATAAGGCAGGTGGTACAGGTCTGGTGGTAAGGTCTGGTGTAAATCACATCCTTTATGACTGAACTGTCTTTTTTTTCCATCCCCCACCAAACATGTTTTATTATTACATTAAATTAGGAATGCTGAACAACAGAAAATTCAGAAAATCTGCATCAAAATATTATCAAACTTTGGAAATTCATACAAACAGCTGGGCTTAGAGGGAAAGCCATGCTTTGTAGGTCTTTCTTTGCTGGTGAGCTTATGCCATACTGTGGCATCAATCATTAATATCTTTAAAGCATCTCGATTTATAAGCAATTAAGCAGATTTTTACCAAATTTGGTCAGAAGCACCATGGAGGGAAAGAGACGAGTTTTGTGTAAATGGTGGATCTGACCCCCTACTAGGGACAGAGGTGGGGCCAAAACAGGGGAAAATTGAGCAAATGTTTAGGTCATCTGATCCGAAGGGTCAGGATAACATATAGCCACAGTGTTTTGTCCTTTTTCATGAGCCAATGCCCAGTGCATGAACTACATTCAAATGACTTCTCAAGAACTGAAAGGTCCAGAGTGTTGATATTGGGCTTGTAGCATGCTGGGATAAAGGGCTACCAATATTGTTCAAATAAATGACCTTGACCAACATTTAAAACCACAGGGGTCAAATGTGCTGAAAACTTCAAATGACTGCTTCTAAATAACTGAAAAGCCCAGACTGCTGACATCCAGCATGTTCATAGCAACATGCTGGGATGAAGGGCTACTAAGATTCTAAAAATGAATGACCTTGACTCACTTTCAAGGTCACAGGGGCCAAATGTGTTCAAATCTTTTAAAGAACTTCATTAACCAAAAGGTCAAGAGTGCTGATATTCGGTCAACAGTATGCTGGCATGAAAGGCTACCAAGTTTGTTCCTTTTGTTGACCTTGACCCATGGGTATCAAATACATGTCAAAATCTTTGATCAACTTCTCCTCAATAACCAAAAGGCAGAGTATTGAAATTGAGCCTGTAGCATGCTTTTATGAAGGTCTACCAAGTTTGTAAAAATGAAATATCTTGACCCACTTTCACTTTGAGCAAATGTGTTAATCTTCTCAATAACCAAAAGGTAAAGAGAGTGCTGATATTGGGTATGTAGCATGTTAAGATGAAGGGCAACAGACTTTTTTTAAAATTGATAACCACAACTCACTTTCAATGTTACAGGGATTAAATGTGTTGAAATCTTTAAATGACTTCTTCTCAATAACCAAAAGGCCCAGGGTGCTGATATTTGGCCTGTAGTATGCTGACATAAAGGGCTACCAAGTTTATTAATATTATTGACCTTGAACACCTTTCTAGACCAGGGGTATCAAATACATGTCAAAATCTTAAAAAGGGGCTTCTCATTAAACAAAAGGCCTAGGATGCTGATGTTGGGCATGTAGTACATAGGCATGAAGGGCTACAAAGTTTGTTCATATTATTACCTTGGCCCATTTTCAAGGCCACAGGTATCAAATTCAGCTGTGTGTAAAAATTTTGAAACAATTTTCTCCTCAATAACCAAAAACCCCAGAGTGCTGACATTGGGCATGAAGCATGTTTGGATAAAGGGCTACCAAATTTTGTAGAATGAATTACCTTGACCCACTTTCAAGGTCACAAGGATTAAATATGTTGAAATCTTTAAATTACTTCTTCTCAATAACCAAAAGGCTTAGAGTTTATGTGATTGACTTTTTCTCTTTTTAAAGGTCACAATAGTCAAATGTGTTTAAATCTTCAAATGACTTCTTAATAAAATGGTCCAGGCTGTTAATACTGGTTCTTTAAGATAAGTGGATGAAGTGCTATCAAATTTGTTCAGTTAAGTGACTTAGACCTATATTCAACGTCTCTTGGATCAAATGAGTTGAGAACTTAAACTATGATTTCTAACAAGCAATAGGTCTGGAGTAATGACATTTATGTATGATAAGAATATGATTTCAAGTTTTCAGAAAATGTTTTACGAACCAACAATGTCTTCTTTTTAAGCTGTAGAGTAGTTGAACCTATTTGGTCCCTTGCATATATAAGTCTTTAAAGTCAGATGACCGTTAAGGCCAATGGGCATCTTCTTTGGTTGGGATGATAAGATTTTAGCCAGAAATAGTCTGAAGCATTATCAGGTGAAAGGGAATAATTTTTAATGAACAATGTTAAAAACAAATAAACAGTGGGTTTCAACCCCATGGTGCCAGAGGGAGAGGGTTCAACAAGGGAAATAGATATAAACCTTAAGAATTCCTGAAGTTTTGATTAGGCAATTTCAGTCAAAGCCAGGTTAGTGATACAGGCCCTATGTACCTCTTACTTGATAATGTCTTATTGAATACTGTATGAAAGTATGCAATGGAGTATGTCAGGCAAAATGTTTGACTTGGGTCTTTCCCAACAGATACTTGCCCTCAACTTGTACCACAACAGATACTGGACTCCTACTTGCACTCCAACAGATACTGCATCTCCTGTACCCATTAGTGGTTGTACTCCCTACAACAATTTCCCCCCAAAACATCCTACATAAATATATTGCCATGATGACCATGTCACTTTACATATGCTTTAGTGTAATGGTCCATAGCTTATCAGTCCTAAGATCAACTTTAACAAGAGATCCCAGAGGGATCTTGGCATCCCCATTGTTTGATCGTTATATGCTCTTGAAAGTTGGATCTTTTTGTTTCTCTGTTTTTGCTCTAAATGATAAGAACTTTGAACATTCCATTGCAGAAATAGCAATGATAATCTTTACCTGCTAAATCCAAAATGGCCACCTGGAAGCCATTTTTTTCTTCTCATCAGTCCCAAAATCAAATGAGCAGAAGGAGAGACCAAAGGAAACATACGTATCAAATTTGAGAGATATCCATTCGGTACTTCTTAAAAAATAGCAATAACAATCTTTACTAGGCAAAATCAAAGATGTTTTTTTCTGATCAGTACCAAAATCAAACAGGCACAACTGGGGATCAAGGAAACCAAACACATGAAATCTGAGAAAGATCTATGTTGTAATTCTCAAGAAATAGCGATAATTTTCAAAGTCAAAATCTAAGACTCCTTCTGTTAGTCATTTTGTTTTTCTGATCAGACCCAAAATCCAATGGGCACAACTAAGCACCAAGGGGAACATACATCTTTTCATCTGTTGGGGGCAGGGTATTAAGTTATCCTCAGGATGCTGATGTATATACTCTTCATCTGTTGGGGGCAGGGTATTTAGTTATCCTCAGGATGACAGCTCTAGGAATAGTTTGTAAATGTGAAATACATAAAGACAAGTATCCCTAGTTATTCCTAATGAGTTGCATCATAAAAGCAATCACCTTACCTTTGTTATTCTTCTGAAGTTTTCAATTAAGCGATTCCTAAAACTAAGAATATATCTCAGTAACCAAAAACAATGTGTATGGACAGATGTGGATTAGTCAATGGTGTTAACTTTTCCAGTAACTGATGTCCTAAGTCTAGGGATATGACATAAGTCTGCTTCTAGGGACATGATTTAGATTTCAACATAGAATACAGAACTGTGGTAGGCAGTACCATGTCGATCTACAGATTTCTGTCATGTTTTTTCCAAATTTTTTTGCAACCATGAACTTGACTCAGTATTGCAATGTTATTGTATGTACAGTATTGCTGTGAATGATGTTTTTCTGAGATCATCTATTGACATGCCACTAATGTACTGTTTAACAATGAATTACAAGCACATCCTCAACACATATGGGACTTGTTATCTTGATACCAGATCTTCAACATAGAAATGACAACTACACACTGTAAGATTTTTCTTAGAAAATTTCATTCACTCATTTCTTCCAGTAATAAATACATCCACATTTGACAGTAGTAACTATTCATTTGTGATAACTGTATTTCAATATAACAAATGCTAAAATCAATCAACAAAAAAATAAAACAAGCACAATATGCATCACTTAATACTGGGTATGTTTCTATCTACTACAACCACATTTCTCAATATTTACTGATCAACGTACACCATGACTCTACATCTACTTTTGAGAAGTAGAGTGCAGTGTCTATTTAGAATTTGCACCACCAATGTTTTCTGTGTAAAATATTTCAATTGAAGATCAGATTATTTTTTAGTAAGTTTCCACTCCTACCAGACAAATGTGGGTTTTTTTTTGTGTATATCAATAATAGATCTAACATTTAAAAACAGACAACCTGTACCGAGCTACAGTTATGATAATACCTATTTCATATTTAATTAAAATATAATAATGCATGGCAATTAAAATTAATCTTACTGTCTGAATGGAAATTTAACAACAAATCTGCACCAAAGTCAATTAAATTTACTTTAATTTGATTTAACAATTGTTAATTGTTAATGATTTTGATTTCACCACTGAAGCAGTTACTACCTGACATACCAAGTGGATAGACAAACATTCAAACTTGATAAAAAAATGTAAAGTCCCAACTTCATAACTGATGTTTTAGTTAGAAGTCCAAACAACATGTACACAATGTAAGCTGTGCCTTGTCGTCAACAACCAGCTGTCGCTGTTGTAAACCTGGCTTCAAAAGTTACTCCTATTCTCTTTTTTTGTTTACTACATTAAAGAGGGCCCTGTATACCTCAAACAATCCTCCTAAAATGTAACAGATGAACCACAATACATATGAATTTGGTAGGACATTGGTTCTTGGAAAATTTCTCTAAATTGAATTTTTTTGGTGTGGTTTTATATAAGGCTTAGCACATAAACTAGTCCTGTCACACTCAGCATTCTTTCACCTTCTTCACCATAAACTACATTTATACAACATACACCACCACTTACAAGCTTCATTAATACAACTGCATTCATGTCACCTGGTTGAAAGAAACAGATGGTGTTCATCCATTCTTCAACAGCATATGCACCTGAATGTGAGCAATTTAAAGGCAGAGCTCAAACACATATTTTAATCTTTTCTATTATTTATGTCAGAAAAAACTAACATGCACATAGAATATTAAATGTTTCTGAAACATCTGTACACTGATCTTGTAAACAGAATTTTTATAAACCTACAGTATGTCCAGTATTTTCTTTCTGACAGGTATGACTGGACCCCTAAATCTAATTATTTCAGAGCTTGCCCTTTATCCTAATTTGGAGTCAAACAAGTGACGCAAAAACAGCAAAAAAATTGCTTTCGAGAATAATGTCTTCATTTAAACTCATTAGGTGATGCTGAATTCCAAATCAGAATAAATGCTGCTTGTTTGATAATGGACTACATAACCAGAGATTACAACACCCCTTGTCCAACATTTCTTTAAACCAGCTGCAAACACTTTATGGAAATAGCCCTAATTATGGCAAGCCCGGAATATGAATATTATATACCTGAATTTTTTTGCGTTTTTGTACATGAACAAGGAGGGCGAATTTTTATATAATCCTCAAGAGGCGAAATGATCATTATGTGAATTCATGTATATGGTACAAGGACAAAAATAACTTGGGCAAAAATATCCCTGTATACAGTATTATGATATTATGAGTATTAGTGAACTACATATATATCTACTGCTTTCAAATGTTTAAAGTAAATTCTGATAGTAAAAATGACCAGTTAGGTGACAGATAAATTAATTACATAACTACTGTACCATTTTAAAATAAGAATTACCTGAATTTAAGGCAAATCACATTTATTATCATATATCACATACCTAGGAACAATTACATATTATATACTGAAATATCCTGACTTAATAAAAAATTCTGACAAGATTTGTATAAAGACTACACAAAATAACAGCAATTTCATAATGAATACAGTATATCTGACACATGCAATGAAGACCATGAATTCATATTTACCGGTTTCAAATGAGAATACAGTACAATACATAAGCATCCAATGGCAAGGAATTTCTAAGGAACAAAATCACGTGTCCACATCACAGGGATGATCATGAACTTAAGTGACCATTTTAGTTTGACAATAATTGCTCAACTTGTCCGATCACAGACAGATACCCTGCTGAACCAGGCTTTTCCTGACATTTTCAGATAATATGATTAATGTGTAGACATGGAAATAAAGGTACCTACTATCACCTACATATGGTAGATTAGCTTAATCACAGGTATGATGATTTTATGTAAACATTGGTGATGATAGGAGATAATGTCAATATGGTACCATCACAATGTTATACAGGTAAATGAAGTACCTGTTGGGTTTGTCCTGACAGGTAGTGACACTTCATTTTCTTTCTTTGCCCTTATAAGTTTGTTCCTCAAATAAGAGGAAAATGTGCTGTGGGTTTTACACACTGACTAATTTATAACAAAGTCTTCTGTCCTAGTTTTCACCACACTTCAGGAGGAGCTTGATACAGCCAGTTTCTTTAGATGTTCCATAAATACTTGTAAGCTGACGTCGTCTGTCAGTACTGCTGCTCCACTTCCATCCTGTGGAACAATAGGTAAGTATATATAAGTATTCAGTTATTGTTCATACATTGTATAATATAGAGTATAAAAAAAATTCTCAAAAGCCCAACACCAGCGTATTATATGTAATATCTAAATGACATCAACAATGAGAAAATTTCAAGGAGAAAGAGAATATATTTGATAGTATACGAGGTATGTATTTTAGTTGGAATTTACTATTAAACTACATGTAGAGTACAGAAGTTATTTAAGTATATATTTAAGCCAACACTTTATATTGAAACTCAAGTTTTCACTCTGATAACCTCTAATTAGCTTTGTTTTTATCCTTCACCTGTTTATCTATGACTGCCATAAAGACTTAGATATAATTTGCTATATTTACATAGCCAGTACATTTCTTTAGGACTCTTCAGTTGGTAGCAATGACTGACATTCACACAAACATGCACAAGCTATCTCTAAATACTCCATGCACCCCCCCATCTACATTTAGGCTTCTGTACATGCCAGCTTCTATCTTTCAGTGACACTTTGTCCTTAATTCTTAGTTTTCAGTTTGAACCCTAACAATCAAAACCAATCACCAGTCAATACCAAGTCAACACTAATCGTGTTATCTTCAAATATTCTGTGAACTATAAAAAGATGGATTTCTTTTGAAAATTGAACAAATTCATCCTTTCTTTCAACAATTTAAGTCACTTTGACAATCATGGTAATGCACAAAGGCATTTTTACAAAAAGACCATCATGCATCCTCCCCATAAAACCTTCCCCACCACCAATGATAAACCTGACACAAACCTCGGAAGTTGGCCCACCAGTGCTAATGATCTGTATGACAAGGAAGTCTGGTTAGTAGTGTTATACATTAGTACTATACTAAGTCTATCTACACATAAATTATAGCTTACTATATTTTAATATATTTATCTCGCAATAAGCCCATGTCTGGTAATAAGCCCACCCATAGCTTTTGCCATTCAATAGAATTCACAACAAATGCTTTTCATTTCCATCTGGTCATACCACAGGATAAGAACAGTAAAATGACATGACCTTTTGAACAGAAACAAATGTTCATTGTAAAATGTAAGTCATGGTTAAGTTGATGACATATAGTATACAGAAGATGCTAAAATAGATCCATGCAGAAAATATTGAACAATTCTCAAACAAAGTTAAAAAGAGAAATACTGGTAAAAGGCATTCCATAGAGACAGTAAAGTACATATACAAGTAGAAATCCTGTACCAATGGAAACCATTGCTGGCTAACCCTATTTCCTGTACAGCTGCTGTATACTTGGGCTTGTTGATACTACACAGCCCCTTTGACCTCTACACAGTACCCATGACCCCATTATCTGACCACATACATGAACTTTGACCCCAAACTCTTACATAGAGATTAACTACACAGTGTGTAACGAAATAATTTAGTCTGACACTAAGTATACTCATGCACCATCACCCTATCACAATAACAAACATTACTGAGAAGAAAATACAAACCGATGAAGCCACCTTTAAAATGATCAATAAATTATTTAATATACAGTCTTCATGGCTTCCACAAATACAGTAAACAGTGATATGTAACAAAGTTTCACCTCTATCTACTTCTGAAACACTTGCATGCCATTACAAGTGTTAATATTATGCCAAGTAAACAATAATTTTCAAAATGAGTGCATATATTCAAGTAAATGAAATTGTGATGTTTGCATATTTCAAATCAAACATAATGCAAACATGCTATTAATGAATGTGTTAGAAAATAACTTGTGACAATATATGCAAATGTGTTAACAGAATGATGCACAATAAAACTACTATTAAAATAAACAAAACAAATCAAAACCACTGCAGACTTTGTTATAAGGTACTTGCTTCTATTATACAGTAATTGTGCATTATTATTATAGTTAGATATGAAATATATTGCTGACATCATGAAATAGAAATTGTTTCTTACCTGTCCCCATCCAAAAGCATTATTGTGTGTCTGTGACGGATTCACACGAGACAGCAGGAAACGAGACTGTGAAACAGAAGTAAAGATTACTATTAATATCTTAACACACAAATTTTGATCACAAATCTCTATATACAGAAAGCTGCCATAGGTGCAGACCTCCAACCAATTACTTACATATCATTGATTAGACATATATTACCTATCATGTAAGTTGTATCAACATTTGTAACATAAAAACAAGGCTTCAACGTGACACATTTAGTTTTGACAGGTATGTTATCCTGGGAAAACCTGTTTTGATATTTTTTCAAATTTTATTGGATGACAATAAACCAATCATGAATGTCATTAAACTGTATTTCCCTGCATCAGTTTCTGGTTTATACCTGAGAGCCCTCATGTTTAGTGTCAATATATCTTGGCATTGGGAACCGAGTCTGCAGAATTTCCTGGGCATCATCTACTGGAGCTTGTAGTAGCTGCTTAAAGTTTTCGTATTCTGGTTGATCCTGGTACTTCTGTTCTCTCCACAGAGCTATAGTCTACAAGGGAACAGACAATTAGGAACATGTGTGTATTAACAGCAAACATTATTAATGACTGGTAATTTTCTAATGGTAAATCAGTTTTTTTTCTTATCAATTTTACTAAAAACACATCCTTGGCCAGTAAGTGTGTCTTTATAATTAAACTTTCTAAGTAGCTTCCTTAGATCCCATATGGGTCGTTAAACCTATTTCTATCTACCAGTACTTTCACTAATCATCTTGGTGACTACAGAGCTCATATCTGAACCATTGTTGTCCATCTCTCTAAGACGAAATTAAATCAGTGTAAGAATTTAAAGAATGTGACTGATTTTAAACATATTTGGTATCCTTGATTAATCTACTAGCCATAGATAGTGTTCTTACCTCCCCATGATAGATGACTATGTGGAAGAATGTGTCCATCAGTAGTATTCTGTCTGTCTGTATACTGCTTGTATCAAGTAGTACTGGCTGAAAGTGTACATCGTCAATATAATATCTACACTACATATACATATCAACTGTTAAGCATCTGAAGATTGAAAATAAAAGTGCTTATGCTTAACGCTCATGTTCATAATCCAATTTTCTTTTTTTAATTGTATTGTATATACACAAAATTGTAAAGTTATAAATCATTACATTTAAACATGCCAGCACTTTACAAGAAGTTTTTTCAGCTTTATTTAGGTTGAATATAAATTTAGGAAAGACACTTGGAATTTCCCAGAACACTGAGTTGTTAGTAATTATTATTTAATATAGCTAATTCATTTAGCATTATTATATCAATTTTGATGTTTAAAAGTCATTTTCAATGTCCTACAGTAAAACATTATATAGAAGAGATCTCATTGAACACAAACCTCAGGCGTTCCATTGAAGGAGTAAGCATATAAAATGGGCTGAATCATGATCAGAGACTGTGTCAGATCTTCTGTATTCAACATGTGTCTGAAACCAATTAAAACAAAAAAATCAATATCCAGAATAAAAAGTCTCAGGACGTTTGAATTTGTTTTGATTTATAGAGTATTACTGATCAAATACAGCAATTAAGGGAGTTTTACCAAACTTCAAAAGATTTCAAAATGTTGGTGACTTCAGAACATCTAAAGTAACAAATACATAAACAACTTACCTATAATACGATGTTTCATCTGGACTGTTGTTGAATACTTGTAAAAACTGTGATCTTCGTAAATGGAACATAAATTGTGGATACAAGGAAAAGTTTTCAGAGAACCGGAAGGAATTGGGGTCGTCTTTATGGTAATCCCCAAACTTTTGACACTGAAGAAATAGACAGAAACATTTGTTATGTAGGGAAAATGAAAACACATACCAATCCTAATACGGCTGGCTGGATGTATTGATGTTTTAAACTCTCTCATATTCTTTCTTGGTAAGTTACCCTGCCTTCAAATATGTACCATATATAGGACCTCAAGACATGACTCATTTTACAGGCCAAAGCAGTACCTCCATATGGAAGAGTATTATTGATAACAGACATTACATAATGGAGTGCAATTATTATTATCCCTACAATCATATCATCATGTTTTGGATATACAAATGAAATATCAAATACAATAAACAGTATACAAGTTATTCTGTTAGCACCAAAATGTTGATAAATTATGCAGACAGTCTAAAAATATATCCTGTAGAATTAACAGTAATGTTGATAATGAGACAAAATCTCCCTATAAAACATGATCCAAGTTGTTCTTTAACAAGAGTTATTGAACTAATCCTAATCAATGTTAGATAATACTGTAGATCCTTACCAGTCTGATAAGCATTCTGTCTAGCCATCTCAGGACGTCTGGTCCATCGTCGGTTTCGGCCCGGAACACAGCTATCCTGGCCATCAGTACTGCTGCTGCCTCCTGGTCAAATCCGGCTGATATGTGCTGAATGTTTGTACTGGCATCAGCCCAGCTGTGGCCAAGTCAGAGAAGTGTTAATAGTGTATGTATATCATCATAGTCATACATGTTGTAAAATATTTAGTATTTGAGTATGAGTTTGGTTTCAATAAACTCATAAAAGACTACATAGCTATACATGTAAGAACAAAAATTAGTTTAAAAACATTTTTTCTGTATGTTGAGTCTATACTTACTTCCTAGCCAGAGTGGTTACTCTGACCCTGCGTTGACCACTGGAGTGTTGGTACTGTGTGATAAATTGTATATAGCCTCGTCCACCCTGTGGTATAGGGGCATTATGCTGTAAAACAATGAACACACTTCAATTAGTCAAATAAAAATTAAAAAAGAAATTCCTTTCCACATCTCTCCTTTATATCAATTTCATTTTGTTTGGTTATGGAAATGTTACAGATCAGAAACAGATCCAGATAACCAAGGCAAAAGTATTTTTAGTTTTTATTTATATCACTTTCAATTATCTGACCATCTGAACCTTCTCTATAGATATGACAATATTACCTGGTTAACCACTTCAAAGAAGAAGGCTAGAGTAGAGCTAGGGTAAAGGCCACACAACTTCCACTGACAGGTGCCACCCAGACCCAGTTCTGTATCTGATACTGCTGGACCTTTCACACCTAGAGACACACAAGGACCAATTGCACCTGATACCTTGAGCTCCCTTGAGGTCTACAGAGAGGAGAGAAAAAACATAAAACTTGAACAAGAGATAAATCTATATTACATTAGCAGATCAAATAAAACCTCAACGATCAAGGACCTAATAATCTGAAAAATATTTTTTCTTCTTCCTACAATATCATGTGTTGGTAATTTATTGTGGTAGAGTGTTAATAAGATTTGTTAAGATAAATAGGTTTGGTGTACACCAGTATGTAAGCATAACCAGAGGACACCATACAGTTTCTCAGCCATCTAATTTAACAATAAGAACAGTAAATATTTACGAGCACATATATGTAAGGCATAGCAATACTTACCGCAGTTACTCACAATGAACTATCAAAAATATCACAAGATACTGTTTCATTAAAATATAAAAATTTCAAAATTGGTTTCATTCAATTTCTTTTCATTATATTCAAAAGCCTGTTATTTGTTGTTACCTTGACTTCCACTGATGCACCAAATGCCATTTTGAACTCTCCTTGTCCATCTTTTGCAAACACTCGTTGGAAGGTTTGTTTAAATAAGGATGTGTTGAAGGAGTCTCCCATCACCATATGACCACTTCAAAAAGCAAAGAAAGGAAGTCTAAATTAGTTACACTATATTTCAACACATAATTTTTAATATCAATCATAAACAGGTAGTTTGTATTTAATAACAAGTTTAATGGCAATAATTTAGTGACTTTATTAGTAACCTTCATATTCACAAGCCTTAAAAAGAGATTTTATATGAATATATGTAACTCCTAACTACAGTGGTTCTACAAAGCTTGTATTAACCAAGGACTGATTGTAATTGTCATCTCTAAAAATGTTCATTTCCCAATTATTTCATGTTACATCAACAACTAATAATGAACACATCCACAGTTTGTATCAGAAGCTATTCTCAAGGATCCAAAGAGTGCCCTACCATGTGTATCTGGGACAGAACTTGATCTCATACAACCCAGTCTGGTCCAAAGCGCATGAGAAAACATCCACCACGTGGCCATTATTGGCTGCTCTGTTTGCTAGTGCCTCATAGTGCTAAAAAAATACAAAATGAACAGATTTTAGTCCTACAAACAAGTACAAGTATTACAACTTTTCTTATGCATACATATTAATTTAAAATTGTATTTTTGAATCTCTGTCTGATAGATAAAGTGCTGTTCTTTATTTATACTCAGTAACTCCTACCTTCATTGCCTTCTTCATGTACTTGCAGTTGTCCTTCTCAATAACATGGTGAGACCTTATAGGGAACTTCAGCTCATCCCCAACCACCATTCCTGGCCCCTGTGTACAGGGTCCTCCCACAAACAGCATGATCCTTGCTCCCGTATTTGGGAAAGTACACTAAAACATAATAGGTGGATGTTTAAACTTAATTTCCATACTGTATCATGCAATTATCAAATATAATTCTTGAACTCATTCCAACACACAGATAAAATACCATGAGTAAGGTCTAGAAAACATGGTCTACCTACCTCTAGTAAGCCAACAGCTATTGAGAGGGCAACTCCTGTTGATCGGAGGGGTCGCTTTCCTTGTGCTACTGGCCAGGGGTCTCGCTGTAATTCTCCCAGCAGATCTGTCAAACTCATGTCACATTTGTGTACTGGCTGAAGAAATCTGGGAGAAAAAATAAAGACAAAATAACAGATAGATTAACATGTTCATCTAATGATATACTTATCTATATATTTGACCTCATGCAGATGACAGATATTTTAAAGGCCAAGGTGAAATTTTATGAATATAATGCAAAAGCATATATACAGATCTAGATATTTTTTGTTCAAGCAATTTAGCTTACAACAAATCTGTCAAAGAAAAGAAAATTCTGTATCCTAATTACCTGTTCGAGGGTAGTTGTTGCTGTTGCTGTGGATTGTGAGGTCCCTTTTGCTGCTGTGGCGCATGTCCTTTACCTATACCCAACATGTCCTGTCAACAAACGTTTAAAATATGAATTATTGAAGAAAAGCTAGTAAGATGTGACAGATGATTCAGCTGTTCCAGGTAACATTGTATCTTGTTGCTGAAATATGCATGTTAACGTGCATTATTTGTATTAATTTGTAAAATAACACTCTCTTGTAAAACAAATTTCCCCTTCTGAGATGTTGTGTACAGATCAATTAAAACAACTTTCTTTCTATCAAAATGTGCTGTCATGATTTGTGATATCTTTTCACATGGATCACTTCACCAAGTCTATTATCTTTTCACATGGATCACTTCACCAAGTCTATTTGTGATATCTTTTCACATGGATCACTTCACTAAGTCTATTTGTGATATCTTTTCACATGGATCACTTCACTAAGTCTATTTGTGATATCTTTTCACATGGATCACTTCAAGTCTTAAATGTTGCATATCAACATCTATAAGATGATGAAAAATGCAGACTAGAATGTAGTTTACCTGTATTTGTTTTGCAGAAAGGTCTTTTGTTCCTCTGAACACATAACTTTTAGAACACCCTTCACAGCCCAGCTCATGAACCTGAACCATCTTTCCATATGTGATTAAACCAATCAATGCATTTGGGGGTAACAAACTAAGTGACATTTGGAGAGATTCCTAGAAAATGAGAAAAAAAGATTGTCAATAGTGGTAATATCTTCAACAGGACTGTACTTTCATCAGATGATCACTTGTTACAAATATTACAATTCACATTGATTAAAACATTACACAAGAAAATTATCTAAAAACACAATAAAGAATCTGACATAGAATATAACACAATGCTATGATCTGTCAATATAACAGAATAATACCTTGACTGCCTGAAGGTCTTCTTCATCCATACATGTGTCCAGCACGATCAAATAAACTGGAGGGTGACATGTCGCTCTCTGCAATATAACAATGGTACAATATTATATACCAAGGTATATTCCTATTAGAAAGCTGTGAATTTTTGTGGTTGTGCTTTTATTGAAAATAAAAGTGGTAAAATATATCCATGGAAATGTGACAAAGAATGTAAAAGAGTAATTTTTTATAAGTGGCGAGATCTTTCTGATAATAAGAATTTTGAAATTCTAAATTCAATACAGGTGGTATGATCAGTGTTACTTACTGTGATAGTGTATTCTATAGTTGAGAACTGAGGGATGATTTCAGCTGGTTGATGTTGTTCAGAGATTGCTGCATACTGGGGTGGAAACTGTACAAACAAATTCATGAAATTTGATTACAAATATGGTATACATAGTAATCAATCCTTTAATGCATAAGGTACATGTAATTATTAATACAATGCAGGGGCAATGATGTGTGAAAATTATGAAATTGTTATTATACGAAGATCAAATGATTACCTTCTGTGTAGGATGTAAATACACCAACACAGAGCATGTTACTTGTAGATAATGTTACATAGAAATCTATAAAAATTACAGGCAAATTCAATGCAGTAATTCTCCCTTTGAAATATTTATTTATTTACTTACAGGATTCCTCTGGTAACAGAAGTTACAAGCCCATATTTTTGCTCTATAATCCACTTGACTGTCAAAATTGAAAAAAAAATCATTATATTATCATTACAACAATATAAACATGAATCAGCAGTTTATCTGCTGTAGTGTAAGGTCTGTAAAAACTATTGCTATGTACATGTATTTCCAAACAGTCTTTGTAAGATGTTCTATGATTGCATCCTATGATGCTTAACTTTCTGTTGTTACAGTATATGAACCAAGTGATAATGTTTAACCTACTCATTATTCCAGATGAACTGATGGTTGTTAACTTATTTCTACATAGAAAAAACAATATTTCCTTTTTTTCTTGATGAATAAGTCACTTAAATAAAGAGCTTTAACAACACAAGTCCCAATACAAGTAATATCTATTTCCACTTGCTCACCAGAATGGATTCAGGACTGCCCTACAGGTGGGTCTTGTACAGAGCACTGGATCATACAAAACAGGAGGAAGCTCTGCTCGTTCCTTGATGGGTGTGTAGAGACACCCCAGAGGAGCCACCATTCTTGTGGCCTCCAGTCTGCTAGATGGCCAAACATTCCAGCTAAAGCGCACTCCATCCCTGTCCTCATTCTGTTGTATGAACTCCTGATATGTCGCCATTTTGGCGCTGAAAAGTTAACAAGTGCTATCATCAGTACATAAATTCATACAAATCTGCCTGTCGTCTTCATTAATTAATGACGTTTTGCACACAAGTCATTTTGCACCCAATTGTTTAACCTAATAACACTTTTGCCTTCTGGATGTCGTGCATTGATTGTCAATTGTTTTGGCACAAAAATTCAACTTTTCTATAACCTTGTTACAGACCAAATATGTCTTGGTCTGTGTTTCAGATCATGTGACCCACTTAAAAAAGCAATCCATCTTCCCTTAATTGTCTTTAATATTTATGAATGTACCTTGTCTTAAATTTTCTAAATTTTTTGTGTGAACCATACATGAACAACTGACAAAAAGATTGCAACTAGCATTTTGGGCCTTCTTGCCATCTCCAAAAGTTCAAATTCAAAAGGCTAACATTTTGATCTACCAGAGGTCCCCATGTTACAAGCCTATCAGCTGAATGTAAGTGGGACTGAGAATGGCTAATGTGCAAGTGAGCTCTTTCTTGTCAACATATACACTCTAACAGCACAATCTTAATGACACATTATGGAAATACACTAAAACACAGACTTCCCCTGAACAAATTCAAGCACCAGCTGCAGGCTGACTGACAGACTTGTAAACTTGTAATTTGTGACAGGCAATTCAGATTTATCCTTACGATTAATACAGGCATGGATTATTATTCATTGTTCAAGTTGTTGAATCAGATTGAGGGACAAATGTTTGTTATTTATACTACTTTTTTTGTATGTTAGGTCAAAATGTCATTTTCAGTAAGTGATAATGGTCAAACCATCGAAAGTAGGTGCAAGAACTTGTGGTGCAAATTAATTGTGATGATCATGACTTAAACTTGCTGTAGAAGTCGAGAGTAGATGTCACCTTACTACCAATATATGAATTCCATTTAGTCCAACCATAGTGTGTCTGGCTATAATCAGAATTATTCCAATGTTCTATAGAATTTCATATAAGTCTGGAACCAATGAAAGTCAGACCTCTGGCACTTGATTGGCTAGATTGGTATTTTAACAGGAATTGTGGATAAAATCATCATTTTCACCCCAGATTGTTATAAGAAAAGAATAACTCTGAATAGTTCAGCTAAAGACAAAAGGGTTGCTCATTCAAAGCCCAGTCTAACCATGCTTTTTACATTTGGTTCCATGGCCAACACTAATGTTTCAAGTAGGTGAACGCTTGACAAGCAAAGGTAGCAGTACACAGTTTCTCTGTGTGGCCATGGGTGATTTTTTTTGTTCATTAGATTACCCCATAATAAAAGCTTTAACTAAATACTATTTCGGCAGTCTCATAAACCAGCTTTACTGGAAGTGAAATTTTCATAGTGTTTACATTTGGTCATGTTATGAAGGATTTCCTAGTTGGAATTTGCTGAAATGTAAGTATTTTATTACCATGACAGTGTTGTTGATGTTTAAATAGGTGTTTAGAAATAAATTTCTTCTAGAAAGTTGTATTGTTAGGTTGGAATTAGCAGTATTTTTGCATTTTTAGCATTTTTCCAGTAGGTAACCATGGCAATCACATGTCAGAAATCCGAGAAAAAAATTTGATTTACACATGTTATCTCTCTACTATTAATGTAATTGTTATGTAGTTTATAAATATATATACAAGTAATGATATATTTTTCATAACCAATCTGCTATACCTCAAACATGACCAATAATTTCAGAAAAAATGCAAATTAACTGTTTCCTGCTACCTAAGGGGATGTTTGATCTCGGAACGTAATATGTTGTGGTTAAGATTTGCAATGGAGAGAATTGTAGAGATGGAGTTTAAAGTACACGCTGACGGATCGCTAGCTTCAAAACCCTGAGGGCTGATTATTTTTTATTACTCCTTTCTATATTTCTATATCAACCACTGGGGTATGTTACATATGATACGATATAGATATATATAACATAGGTAGAACATATACATACATATATGTATAGCTGCCCTTTCTGCTATTATAATTATTTAGCAGTTCAAACTGTGAAAAATCTCAATTGTGCAGTACAGTATAACTCACTGTTAAAAATGCACATTATCACTGCAATTCATCAAAATTACCATATCAGACGAAAATATTGTGTTAAAATTGTTTAAACACATGTAATCTGTTAAATGGTACAATACATAATAATTAATACCCCCCCCCCCGACAATCATAATTTGTATATGGATTACGTATTGTGTTCGTTAAAAGTTGATACTCACGTCAAATAAGTGTCACCTCTCATTGCAGTTTTACGTATAGATATAGAACAATCAAACATGATCAAGTGAACAACCAACTTAAATTTAACAGTAAGAAAGTCAATGAATCACTTCAGTTTCAGTGTTTGACAACTGATCACATGTCCTGTGGCGACCGGTAAGCTAAGGATTCTCTGTGTTTTCAGATGAATTATGGTGAATATGAACTTTCAGATCACGTCTCTATATAAGAGCAATACTATGTAGTGAAACACAAATATAATTAACAATATACTTACTTCCAGCGATGTATATTTGACGTGGATATAGACGGTGCTGTTTTGACAAACGGAGTAAATGCCACGTAAGTTTCCCACAGTGCACTGCGATTGACGTCATATTTTATTGGGAATTCCCTTCCGGTTCAAATTAATGACCCGTTCCACGTGTGTTTTGTTTATGCTAACATTATGACAGAGGTTTTTATTGCTGTGCATGCAGGTGAGAATAAGTGCAATATAATTGATATGTCAGTTCTTATGTTCACATACTTCCTATGAATTTAGACAATGGCAAAGCAAAGAACGTTACTATGATTTCCTTTGGAATCAGAGACAAAAAGAACGTGATAGGCATTAACCACACATAAAATATACTGATGTTACTGATTACTACAATAACACTATCTTATTTTACTGCACATAGTTGTAACGTTATCTTATCGTGCTGTATATAACGCCATCTTATTGTACTGCAAGAATTAAATTATAACACTATCTTACTTCACATATATTACACATAACACTGTCTTATTGTACTGTAATATTTAAGTTATAACATAATTTTATCGTCATGTAATAAGTTTTATATAATATATCAAATTACTGTGATAATCTATGTGCTTTGGAACATGTACATAAAATAGGTGTTATAGCAGGGATCTGTATTATACGTCCCTGGTTATATGTTTTAATACCATACTTTAAGTGAATATTATTATTACAATTAATACATGTAATTCTTATCACATGTATTAATTGTAATAATAATATTCACTAAAATTCTTATCACATTTGATCAAACACACACAATTTTATGATATATACATTTATAGGTGCAGGCTATCATTCCAGGGACCGGGAACCAGAATACAAGAAAGCCTGTGCCGAAGCATGCTCTGTGGTAGTCAATTTCCTACGCATATTTCCATTGTTTTTCTTATGGAACATTTTAACTGAACTCAAAACAATCATTTGAACTTATGTACTATTATAAATACTGCCACATCAAACCACATTACCATTACTTATACATAGGTAACTGTAATACATGTACTAATAATATTACTTTGATATTACTCTTATTTCAGTTGCACAGATCAGTGTTTGCTTTAAAGAAAATTTTGTCCTATGAAATTATTGCTCCAATTATTATCATATTATCATGATATTTATTAAAATAGATTTACTGATATGCCATGGCTGATAAAGCTGTTTAAATTCAACTTCTTCATTATCAAGATTGATCTTGACTAGCCCATTTAAGTGATTATGCTTATATATATATATATAATGACCGATATGATGTAGTTAAAAAGAGCATTATATGCATATACTACAACTTTTTTTTATTTCATTGTAACTGAAGGCATATGGAGAATTGGCAAATGGTGCTTCATCCCTGCAAGCAGTTACTGCTGCAATTATCTCCCTTGAGGTTTGTAAGAATTTTTTTTCTTTCTATGCATATCCAGTTGAAGTCCTACATTTTCCTTTACTTTTCGTAAAGTTGTAGCACAAGATTAAATTAGTAATTTAGATGATACTGATAAGTGAGAAACAACATCCACAGAGAAGCTCTAATTATGTACTGTTCACAATAAGTTGAATGCATTTTCTAACAATGTCATTTATTCAAATGCAACAAATTGTGATTAAGTTGTTCATCAGTCAATGAAACTGAATCATGTATATATAAATAGTTAACTTTTTCAGAACTGTCCTTTGACTAATGCAGGCACTGGGTCGAGCCTGACATTAGAGGGGGAGGTGGAATGTGATGCCAGCGTGATGGAGGGAAAGTCACTGCTGTATGGAGGGGCTGGTTGTGTTACAGGTAATAACTGAAAGAAAGGAAAAGCAGACAATGCTATTCAGATTTTACTGCCCCACCCACTTTTTCTCTAAAATCTATGCATGGGTAACTGGTACATAAAAAATGTGTGTAGATATACCAATAAAGTAGATATTTGTATGTTATCACATTAATATTTGTCATATCAGGTGTGAAAAATCCCATTCTGGTGGCAAGATCTTTGCTTGATGAACAAAAGAAAGGATGTCTCTCTCTTGGGAGGTTACCGCCAAGGTAAAAGGTTAAATTTTTGTCTGTTCTCATTGTATTAATCATCAATCCTTAAGCTACAACTGTAGTTTCAAATTTGATGGAGGGTGGAGACTTTTAACAGTATGGAGGTCCAGTTATGTAATGTAACTGTAAGATCATGTGACTTACCAGGTAATGTTGACTGGCCATTTATAGGTTAATTGATTAGAACCCCCATTTTGGTTTTTGATCTGTTGACTCTGAATAACAAATTTTAGCAGAATATGTTTGAAAACACAAAATGTGATAATGCAACTCAAGTAAACAATAAGGGGAAATTCCTTTTAACTAATTAAGTAGAGTATTATTGTCAAGTAGTCCCAGGTTAAATACCAAGTTTTGGCATTAAATAAGACTTCTATTACCATGGTAGCATATTAGTGAACCAAAAGTATCATTGACAGCTGCTTTGTATAGACTAGATAAAATTTTTCTAAGCTTAGCTAGAATGCTAGTCTAGTAGTTCAGATTTAGGAGATGTTTTCCCAGTCAGAGGATTGATGATGATTATCAACATGATTTTCTGTTGTGTTGTTTGACAGTATGTTAGTTGGTCAGGGAGCATGTAAATGGGCAAAGGACAATGGTGTGGAACTGGCTAATGAGAAGCAGTTAAAAACAGGTAGAGTAACGATGGTGTATTATAGGTTTGAGTAGAAGACATACTATCAAGTGCAGAGCTTTGGATTTGGGCATTATTTATTATCAATCATATTTAAGTAATGTAACACTTAGTACATTTTGAATGTGTACAACATAACAATTAATGATATGGATAGAATATATATTTTAATTAGATGCAAATTTAAATTGGAGCTGATTTGATGTGACATTTGAGATGCACATGGTCCTTCCTTTAACATGTTATCTTAAGTATTCAAGATACTGTCTGCAGATTCCTCATTGAAAACTTATGAAACCCACAAAAGAAAACTAGATCAACATGAAGAAAGAATGAAGAGGAAACGAACAAAATGGCAGACTGGAACTTCACCCAAGGTAAGAAATGGAATCTGCAATGAACATTCCACTATTAAGTAGACTTTTCTTTGTAAATGTATCAAGATTTCAATTATATAAGTTAAATTCCTAATATAAAATGTAAAATGTGATGTGTAAGTACAGTGAAATTTTCTGCAACTGAAACCCAGAAGTACTTCTTTCTCTTACAACACATTTAGAATGATATCTGTTCAAATTAGACAAATGCTTGCTTTAATTTCAATTAACTTATAATGTAGGTATAAATCATTGAAGGTCAAGGTTATATGAGTTCTGAAATCTGCTGTGTTTATACCTCATGAGTAAAGAAGAATGATGTCACTGGTAAGATATAAAGTGTTTGATCCTTAATTTTAAATGATACATGCACTGCTTTACTTGCTCATGCATATATTGCAATTGAACATAAATATGGAATTCAAGAAAAGACAATTTGTAAACTTTGTAAATAAATTATTTCAGATCAATAATGAAGAAGATATAACTTGCACAAGTCAAGATGTTCAGGATACTGTAGGTGCTGTTGCCATGGATTCTGAAGGAAATGTGTCTGCTGCTGTGTCAAGTGGGGGTATTTCACTGAAACACTCAGGTAGACTGGGCCCTGTAAGTCCTAAATCTGTTCACAGTATCTCACTGAAACACTCAGGTAGACTGGGCCCTGTCAGTCCTTACTCTGACCTTACTGAAAAAAAACAAGCAGGTAGACAGATAATTCATATGTACCTGTGATTGGACACATATTCAGCATGTACCTGTAGCTGTTCATTCTTATGTACCTATAGTTGTTCACATGCAGATAATTCATATGTACCTGTGGTTGTTCACATATAGATAATTCATATGAACCCATAGTTGTTCACATATAGATGATTCGTTGTTCCAGTTGTTGTTCACATATAGATGATTCAGATGTACCTGTAGTTGTTCACATGTAGATGATTCATATGAACCTGTGCTTGTTCACACGAAGATGATTCACATGAACCTGTGCTTGTTCACATGTAGATGATGTTCACTTGTAGATGATTTATATGAACCTGTGGTTGTTCACATGTTCACATGTAGATGATTCATATGAATCTGTGGTTGTTCACTTATAAAGCATTTACCTGTAGTTGTTCATTCATATGAACCTATAGTTGTTCACATGTAGATGATTCATATGTACATGTAGTTGTTCACATGTAGATGATTCATATGTACCTGTAGTTGTTCACATGTAGATGATTCATATGTACCTGTAGTTGTTCACATGTAGATGATTCATATGTACCTGTAGTTGTTCACATGTAGATGATTCATATGTACCTGTAGTTGTTCACATGTAGATGATTCATATGTACCTGTAGTTGTTCACATGTAGATGATTCATATGTTCCTGTAGTTGTTCAACATAATGATGAAAATGGGAATTGATCAAATTGAAGCAATGTACTAGTAGTTGATTTCCAATAGTTACAAATATTGGTTATCAAAGCATTGAACAATTATTGTCATGTAAGTATTTCATTTTATCTCTGTTTTTATAATTGCAGGCAGCCCTGTACGGTGCAGGATGCTGGGCTCACAACTGGAAGTCTGACAAAAAGGCAGGTGTAGCCATTGCAACATCAGGTAACTCTAAGACAGAAATATACATAATATGAACAAACAAATGAATTAAAAAAAAAAATAACAAAACAGAAAAATTTGAAATGGAATGCAAAATTCACAACCTGTTTTTGTTTCATATCCTTAACACATGCTTATACTTAAATAAAGCTTGTTACACAAAATAGTTTCAGGAAGCATCATAATTTCTATCAATGCTTGAGATATATCTGATTGTGATAACTGATATTTAAGTAGTTATGGTTTTTTACACCACTAAATGTTTTTCAATACATGACAACAGGAAGTGGTGAGCACCTAATGCGGACTCTGTTTGCCCAGAAGTGTGCTGAATGTGTACAGAACCAGGACAGTGGAAGTTTAGGAGTCAGCATGGCCTTCAGGGATCACTTCCTAGGTTAGTGCAAAAATATTTACTGTTCTGTGGTGTTGTAAACGTTTTGTTGTGTGGAAACCATTCTGTAGTGTTGTAACTCTTCTGTTTAATGGTAAATGCTCTGTAGTATAGTAAATGGTCTGTGGTGTAAGTATTCACTGGTGTAGTCCTACAAAGTTTGCAAAAATAAATGACCTTGACCTATATTCAAGGTCACAGGGGCCAAATTTGTTAAAACCTTTAAATAACTTCTTGTCATGAACTAAAAGGCCTAGAAGCATGATATTTGGCTGATAGATATATATACCGGTATATATAAAACAGGTGAGCACTGCAGGACCATTTGGCCTCTTGTCTTGTATGGCAACTATTATGTAGTCTGGTAACTGTTATGATGTTTGTAGTAAGTTATCTGTTCTGATGTAAGGTATCTGTTTTTCAGTTTGGTAATTGTTCTTTAGTATGGTAACTATTCTGTAATATGGGAATTGTGAGTTAGTGTTGTAACACCTTTTATTTTGTTTTGTAGAGTCTGAGTATCTGTCAGGAATCACACAAAAGCAAGGCGGTGTACTTGCTCTGAGACTGGACAAGGATGTAGAATCTGCTACCATGTGTAGGTATTCACTATTCTAGGAAATATCCTTGGAATGAAAAGAAATGCCCTTCATGATACTGGATTAGGATATATCACTCCTGAAACTGTCAAAAAAATTATTATTTTCAAGATTTATTTATTTGACAAAAATATTTGTCAAGTAACAATTTTTTTTTATTCAATAAAAAGTTGTACAAAATTAGTTAATTCTCTGTACCAAAATGTGTGCTTAATGTCAATATCTTTTACTTCCAGTGGAAGTGATTTGGGGCCATACAACTGAGAGTATGTGTATCGGATATTGGGGAGGCAATACACATAAACCAAAGGTAGGATATGACAAGATGTGTTTTCAATACTATGACTGTGATACAAACATAACAGATTTAGGATTACATCTGTTTTTGATACAAGGAAAGGGATATATGAGTATATTACACAAACCAGGGTTGGGATATGATGGTATGCCTTTTGGACTTTTGGATACTCTTTGGAGTCTTAGGAGCCCAAAACAAAGTTGACATCTTTTATCTCTACTTTATCGGTGCTTCTTAAAGTGGTTCACTTAAAAGTAATTGAAAAATAAGGAAATAAAAATGGAGACTGCAAAAAAGACAAAAAAAAAAAAAAAAAAAAGAAAGAAAACTATGTAAGCATTCATACAGTATCAGTGTGGGTTAGTTTTTGAAATACCAAATTCTCTCCAGTCAATTTTAAGATTCTTCATCAACAAGTCGTAACAACCTGTATAGAGGTAAAGTTCGCTGTTGATCTCATTCAGTGAGATTTTGTTAATTTTGTTAGTAGATGCAAGTGTTATAAGTGTTTAATAAGAGGTACTATAAACATGTGTTGTAAGGCTGTAGAAATCAAATGATATAAATGATGTATTACCCTACATTAAATATATAATTCATCATGATAGTCATTATAATTTCAGTTAATCAGTCTTTAAAATGAAGCAGTTTAATATCAAGTAAAATACTTTATACCAAGGTTAGGTATGCCAAAGTGATGTAGATGTTTAAAATTTTTAATATTCTTTTTAAGGTGTTGGTATCCAGACTTCCAGAGAACAGTGAGGCAGGACAATCGTTCAAAATGGAAGGAAAACTATTTTCTGTTACATGATCATACAAGTTCCTCAACAGTCTACTTATATGTTAATAAATGATTGTCAAGAAAACTTAGGTTTTGAATTATCTATATTTTGACAGCCCAGATTACATAAACGAGGGATATATACTTTGTCACTTATGTGAGATTAATTTCTTTGATTCCCTTCACAAAGAAAAATCTAAATGACAAAATTTCCAAGCTAAGGTTCATATAAAAATGATGTGATATACTTCAGCAACTTCCTATCATCTACTTGACCATGCTAACTAATGTGACTGTATCTGTCTGAATAATTTCTGTAAATTGTATCCTGATACAAGCAAAGTAGAATGTGTCTCATCAGATGTAGGTCACTGCAACCAATACTTAAAAATCATGTAACAAAAATGAAAAACTCTTTTAAGGAGAGATTAAACCTGATCATATCTATAGAATGTATTGCCTCTTTGGTCTAAAGTCAAATAGATAAGCTACCTCTCAGTAATCCTTCTTATGCTGAAAGGTGATTGTGGATAAAAACAGATGGCAGAATTTTCTTACTCTTTATTTTCTGTAAATAACATTTTTTCCCCGAACTAGTGGTTTAATTTTAACTAGAGACGTATATAACACATATATATATATGTGTTATATACGTCTCTGTTTTAACCAATGATTTGTCATGATGTGTTAAACCAATGGGGATAAATATTAAATTGAACAATGATTTTCTCTTGGAAGTTGATTCTGAGTGGGTGAAGCAGGGTATGAAAAGGTTAAAAAGATAATGAAAATGATTCCTTGGATTGACCATGAGAGATGGCACTGGTTGATGAATTATAGTAAACCTACACCTGAAGTATGGAGTTCAAGTGACCATTAGCATAGGAGATAGAACCTGGACAAACTTTTTCTTTGATGTCGGTCTAATGTCAAAATGTAGATCAGAGTGACCTACTCTTTATACACATCCCTTTACCAAGGTGAACCCATACCCCTTATATATTAAATTGACACAATAATACATATATATGGACCGTGGGCCGAGAATTTGTACCAAATTCCAGTGATCTAGATTATCTCTTTTTTGTTCTTGTTTTTTAAACTCTTTTCACTGCATTTAGATTAAACACATTTCATCGTAGTTATTATGTAATAAGTATCTCGATTTGTAAAGCCTTCAAGCTTGCGCTGGGGAGCACTTTGAATTTTCGCGCGCTTCGATTTAAATATAGCATACGTCACGCATCACTCGGCATCTGCTCAGAACTGCAAGTCATTCGCAGTGTAAACAAAAGACAGCGAATGAGCCTGGCGAACTTACAGGATTCTTGGTGGTGTGCATTGACTTCCAAATAATCGAAATGGCTTCAACACGTCCCAGAACACGATCACAAACAAATGGTACAAACATGGGGACTAACTTTTCACGATTAGAAGCAACGCCGGTGGCTTCTAAGGAAAACGGAATTCCTCTGATGATTGCATTTAAAAGCAGCGTTTCGGCGTTGTGTGGATTAGTGTTTGGGATTGCAGTTGAAAAATCAAGAGGTAACGTTAAATCAGATATTGCCCATCTTATGCATATTGTAAACTGAGAAGGTATTTATGTTAAAGTTTGTCCCCGAGTCCGACATTGTGCGTTCGTGACTTTGAGCGTTTTAATGTTACGGAGTTATTCCCCTTCGCTCAGTCACAGTAACAGTGCTAGTTTTGAGCCAAAGAAAAGGAGGTCATTTAACTTAGGCTCTAAGCTATTTCCTTTATTTGAGATGTGGAATAAGTGAAATATCCCTTATTTGAGATTACAAAAACTGACACTGGTGAAATAAAAGTCATGCTAATAAAATGCTAATAAAAAAAAAATCATTTTGCTAAAAAATATCAGGTATCTCAAACTGATTGAATTGAACAGAATGTATATTTGTAATGGTGGCTTTCAGTAATAATAATATATAACTATTGTAATGTAAATCCAAAGACATTAAGGATTTAAAGATCAATAGGACAGTCCAACTGGTGCCAACAGTGTGAACTGGAAAAAAATTAATGGTTAATTGTTCCTAGAATTGCCGTGGATGCCTGAGGTATACAGAGTTCTTACTAAATGAATGTAATATAACAATAAGGAGGTGAGCACAACACGACCAGTTCGGATCCAATACACGATTTATTTGTGCCAAAAGTTGCTTACATGTTTCAGGTCTAAGTGACCCGTCATCAGAGCAACAGTAACAAATTGTGACGTCATGAATATGGACATAACATAGATCATTGACGTCATTAAACAACATAAACTGGTGACGTTATAAACAATAGGTATAAAGACACAAAAGTAAGCAAAAACAATAGTATTGCAGGTATGACAATACCTTGTAAACAAGGGTGTAGTTCTGTAAATAAACTGATATAAGTAAAAATAATTGAGCTATTACTAAATGAGCGATAATAAACAATCCAGTACTAAAACAAATGCTGTCTAGTAACAGTTTTGTAGAATAACAGAATAACTGAATGATCTACACTGGAGATAGGTTGTGATGATGTGGGACTAGTCCAAGATATTGTATGAATAAGGCCCACAATGATGTAATCCAAAAGTTCCGATCATAGACAGTCAGACACCTTTGAGTATGGAAGACAGCTGTGTTTACTTCTGAAACCTGTTCTCTCGGGGCAGATGTTGAACATTTTGTTAACATGATGATTTCTGTTGAAGTTTTGGGCTAATCTGTACTGTACAATGGTTGATCTTGGAATACTGTTGATATCTCTTATACAGTGTTACACAAGAAATAGATATTCAAATACAGTTTATTCAATGAGAAATTTTCCATGTCCTATTTTGGATGAAAAAAACATTTTTCTCAAGGTTGATTTTCGGAAACTTTTTTCCTATGAGAATGTAAATGAAAGACTTTCCTTTATGAAAGATTGAAAATGATTTCTGTTGCAATTGGTTTGAGGTAAAACTAAGAATTTTTTTTATCTATAAATGGTCCTTATACACTGTAATGTAGTTGACAAATTATGGTTTTGTAATTATCTGATGCTTTTGTATCTGTTACAGTATTTGAGCCTGCTGTTGTCACAAGCCAGATGCTATTCCGCAAGTTTATAATGATGAAAGTGTTTTTAACATCCCTTACTGTGGGTAATTATGACTTCTCTGTAATATTTTGGGGAAAAATCTGTAATAAACTTTTTAAAGAATATTTTCATTTTGAAATAAATAATGGAATGTTAAGAATTTTTGTCTTTATTGATGATATATACAATTTATTGTAAAATATCCATGGCTGTTAATATGCATCAATTTTGGTGAAAAACACATCAGGATATACTCTCAATCTGAATAATGCAATATTCTTTATTAGGAATGTTTTTTCTGTCGGTGCTTTCCATCCTGCCATTCACAAGAAAGAAGTATCTTTTGTCAAGAGCAGCTTTTGTTGGAAGTATCAGCAAAAAGGGTTATTTTGGAGTTTCTGTTGGAGCTTTCATTCTTGGCTCAGGGATGGCTGTTGTTGGAACGGTAAAATAAAGCTATTTACCATTATCTTACCAATATGAAAACAAAATTCTCTGGTTTTAGGCATTTTAGGTCTGTGGAACGATAGACTAATCAGAAAATACAAAAAGACCCACAGGCAGCCATCTTGGATTTTTTTAAATGCTTATAAAATACACTGAAATTGTGTTTGAGATATAACATTATAAATATGATTGTAAATAAGCAACTTTATTGATTAAACATATGAAGTCTTACTCTGGATATGGCTAATGTGAAAGGCAGCTATTCTCTCTGAAACAAAATGCTCAGGTATGTAGTTTATAATTTGTACTTGTAGTGTCCTGGACTTGTTGGGATACAGATAGGAGCTGGTGTAAGTAACGCAGGTGAGGGATCTCATTTGATGATGTATAAATGTTGGATGCCAAAATTCTCAAAGTAAATCAATACATGTACTACTACTACTGATTGGAAACAAATTGCCACATATTTGTCTCTTCTTAAGTTTTGCACTGTGCATATTTTTATGCTTCTTTTCCTAGAATATATCAATCTTAAAAACATTACTTGACATGTTAGTTGAAATACAAATTATTGATCAGACACATACTTGTTAGTGGTCAGTTTTGAGATATTACTACATGATCATAGATGTTTGATTTACAGTGTTTACATTAGCTGGAGCTCTAGCAGGGACATTACTTTACGGTCTGGTGGAGCCTTATGTGACCAGCCTCACAAAACCTACCACGCCAATAAAGTACCACTTGTAAGTACATGTACTAGTACTATGGTATACCAAGGAGATGATACAGTTTAAGATAACACATTAGCAATGTTGCTTATTTTTTAGTTCAGGACATGCATGTGCTTTTGTTTCGCCCGTATCAGAAAGTCGCAAAGACAATTATTTCCCAAAAAACTGTGGTGCTGTCAGTATTTCACATACAGTTTTGTATTTAGATCTATAGCATACAAAGGTCAATTTAGCTAGATCACCTAGTGGACATCTCAACACATCCCTCATTTACAAAATGTCTTCCAGATTTTATAGCACAACAACTCTAAACACAACTATAAACAAAATTTAGGGTGTTAAGAAGCTGAAATACAGAATTTTGCATTTAGCTCATGCAGTTTCTTATAAATAACACATGCTATTCCAATCAGACCTGTAATATACCGTGTAGTTACACTGTAGTACTGACATCTAATCAACCAGATAGATTACATGGATTTTATTTTCTTGATGTATTTTTGGGAAGAACTTTAAATTTTGAGAAATGACTGCAATGTGAGATTAAGTGTAAAGCTGTACTGAAACAAATTCTATAAAGTATCAGACAAGGTTTTCTCTTCTTACTGTGGAAGGGTGATAATTTTGGGAATAAATGTCATATTTGAGTGAATTTTGAGGATTAAAGAATTTACAAAATTTTCATTGCATACATGCATTACAATGCATCAGTATCTGAACATATGAATATCTATGGTTCTTACATTATAATGTTATTTATTATAACCCACTTGGAAATATCTTTTGGGAAAAAAAACCTAAATTTTAGAACAATTTTGCATCAAGATTACATTACTTACTGAGACAGAAGTGAGACTTTATGTGTATTTATTGTGTTAGCTTATTAATAATTGTTGAAATTTAATGATAACATAATATATCAATATGAGATATATGTTTATTTAGTTACAGCAGGAAATGATTAAATTTACCTAAATGCACACTATACATATTAAATAAATGGATACCTTTTTAATTTTATAAATTGTTTACTATTTAAACATCAGTCGACAAAACAATTTGCAAAACAATAATTGCAAAACTTTTTCTGTAAATTGTACTTCATTTTCAGAATCTAACAACAGTCTGTTATCCTTTGAAAATTTTTGTTTTGTAGTCTGTACCAGTTGATGGGTTCCCCTCCCTTTATAGTTTCTTTTCCTGTGTTTTCTATGCTGGGAATTGTTGTTTTCTCCCTTGAGATGATGTACCCATGGCAATATGAAATCGCAGTGAGTATTATACACCAATAAATAAGATATGTAGAGGATATTTAATGGTTTCCTTTTAAATATATATATTTCACAAATATGACACAACATCTTTAATTTTTAAGCGTGTGCAGCACCATCCTCGTTACTCCTGGAGTTACAATCACTTTTGCTCTCTACAACCCTGGAGAGTGTCATGGCAAACTGAAGGCACAAATGAAGTAATTTGGTTGGTTCTAGGAGTAAAAATTGACCAATCACAGGCAGATATGCCCATTTTGAAGATTACAAAGGAGTGACACCCAACTTCAGAGCCATTACAGTATACTGATATGCGACCTCAATATTTGTTTGATGTACATCAAAGGATCAGACTAGTCTTTTCCGCAAGGTGTCGCACATGTAAAATTCAATTTTGTCATGATATGTACCAGGGCTGCAGAGATTGAAAGTGATTGTAACAAGGATGGTGAAGTACAAGTGAAAAATACAGATCAAAGGATATATGCTGTCATAGATCAAAGTCTATGCTGTCATATTAAGAAATATATAGGATATTTAACAAGAAACCACTAGATTTTATTTTCATTACATTTTTAAAGGAAAAGCAAATAAAAAACAGCCAATCCAAACATAAAAGATGGGGTGTTTAAAAAAGCATGGGAAATATCAGAGTGCTCTTTGACATCATATAGTTTGAAGTTACGCTCAACAACAAAACAACACCATTTGAAATAGGATGCTTTATGTTGTATTCTACCTTTTTATACTGACATTTGGTAAGAATCACTTACAAAACTGTTTTATATACCAATTTAGAGAAATCCTTAAATGCACACATTAAGTACTTGATGGAAATCAACTGATTCCACCAACACTTCATTTGCATCCAAACAGGAAAATTAGGGAATTTCAATGCAGCGACTAGAAAGCACAGCTCTGGTTGGTGAAAAGTACAAAGATGATATTAATGAATGGTATAGCAAATGCTTATTTGAACTAATGAGAATGGACTAACTGATAACACATTTGAAGGGAATGATATGGATCTGATATACTACAAGTAATTTGGTAATATTAATGTAATGATTCAGGATTAAAACTGGAACATACACCGTAACTTCAAGACACACTATTCTATTTTTAATAGGTTCAAGCATCAGATATTGTTGGCAAGCCTATGCTAGCTAATCCCTGTTGGCACCCTTACATATGTGGAACTCTGATTGGATGCCTACAGGTCCCTTTGGTATTGATTGTGGGCGAAACTATAGGTTAGTCAATACTTTAGATTAGTATCTTCCTGAAAAAAGTATTGGGAGATGCTGGCGGACCAATATATCTAAGTATTAGTCCATAACATTACCATATTTATCTGAGAAAGAATCTTGACTTGCTATTCATAGTCTTGAATGTTGAGAACAAATTGATCTGAATCAACAATAAATTATTTAACATGAAGAATAAAGGATTCTCATAAGACATAATGTACTTGTTCAGACTCAACTACACCCCGTGGCTTTTGTCTGTGCTTAAAGCTTATTAACATACCAGTCAAAAGTAATAAGAGCTTCCAGGAAGTTTTACAAGACACATTATTCTTGTTTTTCCAAAGCAAATTTTATAACAGAATCATAAAAACTTAATAGCAAATTAGTTTCTTAATGACAAAAATAAGAATAGTGGGGTTTTGTTTACTATGCTATGTATTCAAAGGTTGTATGTCAAAGTTTTCAATACGGTACGGTATATTGTACATTTGTATTGGTGCAGGAGGAAGTAGATGCTACTGTACTTTGATGTCACAAGGCATTGTCAACAACTCCATGAAGAAACTATCACCCTACCTTTCTAAATTCAAAAACGGCTTTGCTAACTGGTGGCAGGTTGGTACAATACAAAACTTGTTTGAAAATTGTTAAAAACCTTATTTAGTGATGCCTTTAAAGATATTTGATGAATTGAAAATCAGTGTAGTACCTATATCTTCATTATCCATTTATTTACCTAGAGAGTAACTTAGGGTCTCAGATGCTTAAATCTTTGTGTAATTGAAGAAGTCATGAATTAAAGACAGGAATATATAGTTAATGCTTTACTACAACTGACCAACTTATCTCAAAAGAGAATGTCCACCTTGTTACAGAAGCAGTTATGTCGACATAAGGTGGCTTACTTGTGATGTCTTTTATCTTTCCCAGGTAATATTTATTGTAGCATCTGCCTTAGGGTCCTTTTTGTCCGCTACAGCTTCAGGCCAATATGGTAACGTGGATGGTGTTTCTCCATGGGTTGCATCACTAGGGGGACTCATGATTACATTTGGGGCCAGGATGGCTGGGGGCTGTACGAGGTCAGTATAAGCTGTTAAGGGAATTCTGGTTAATATCCATGACATACCTTGGTATATTTAGTTCATAGTTATTGCCTTTGTTGGACAGGTACGTTATATGTGCAAAATTTATTGTTCTGTCATCCTTGCTATCAGTTTTCAACCTTGATCAGATGGTAAGAGGTTTTATAGTGTATAGGCCTGTCCTCTCTGAATGGCAATCAGCAGAGTGTATTTTGCCAGTCTTTTTTTTTTTTTTTTTCAAATCTGTTACAGGACATGAAGTCACATTGTGTGGTATTGGCCCTGTGGCGATGAAAGACTGTCAGAGCTGTGACTAATTAAATCAATTTTAGATATGTTGACCCCTATACCTCATTCATAACTTAATGATCACACATATCTATATATGCTAAAAATTTTGACCACTTTCACAGAAATATAAATATGATTTCAATAAATTGCTGTCAAATGTGATCAAATAATGAAATTGAACCATTTCCACATTCACAGATGAAATAGATCTGAGTATTGCTGTTATTTTCCAGTGGTCATGGATTGTCTGGAGTGGGCCTTCTCAATATGACATCGATGGCAGCAGTAATATGCATCTTCTGTGGTGGCATGGTGACAGCCAACCTGCTTCAGCTGATGTCCTAAAGAAAAACATCCATACTCTTTTTCTGGCAGCTTAAGTTTTATTTGCAAAAAGTTTTATACAGATTGGATATTCATATAAAAAATCATCTTTACATATATTCCATGACTTCTGACTTTGGCAAGATATTGAAAAATACTTCAGTTTGTAGACCAGTACAAATAATTCATTCATGTTGATAATGTTACTCAATATTCAATACCATGTATAATACGATACACTATGTTTGGTACATATCCATAATATGATACTGTATGTTCTGTCTATATTGATAATATGATACTGTATGTTCTGTCCATATTGATAATATAATACTTTAAATTCGATACATATGGATAATACATTTATGTTGCTATCAATTCAGGATAAGTGAATAGTAAGTTTTTAATTACTTACTTGGGATTGTATCCTATTTTGAATCATTCCTGCGGAGTGGAAAACATTAGACAACTGTAAAATCAAATATTTCTGTGGGGTAGTACTCTTTCATGGATTCTTGATTTTGTGGGTCAATAATCTACATGTTCTTATTTTTGGACAGGTTGTAGACATATGAATTTGTAAATAAATAGTACTCACTAAATCAATGAAAATACCCCCCCCCCCCACATGTTCTTATTTTTGGACAGGTTGTAGACATATGAATTTGTAAATAAATAGTACTCACTAAATCAATGAAAATACCCCCCCCCCCCCCCCCCCCCCCACCCACGAAAATGAATGATTTTACAATATTAATGCTATTTTTTTCCCAAAACTTTCACGTTAAGAAGTTTCATCGATTTAGTGACGCGGTAATTTAGAAAGTGAAAGTTCAAGTACTCATAAAGCAACCAAATTTAGCACAAATGTATATACACTATTAGAGCTATTAACACAGATTTGTGCTCAAGTATCAACTCTCACTTACTTCGGTACGGTTTGATACATGATTAATATTTGATGGGACAGGAGACTAACATATAATTTCTGACTGAAGATTGAGAGGATGGACTTGTTACAGGACAATGAAATTGCATGTTATATGGATAGCTTATTGTCAGACATGCACTTGTTGTGCGAGAGAAATAGTGTTATTATATCTGCATGTGCTTTGATGCTATTGATCCTGTCACTGACAGGTATTCTTCTAGTACATTTATGAATGGAACACCACGGAGATTCTGTGTGGTTTAGTAAGCTGGATTTGATGACATTGCAACATTTGTTTATTTGAAACTTCAGTGTGTTAGCGTTCTTCAGATTGCTCAACAGATGTTATACATTTAAATGTTATTAGTTCTGTATTTGGTAATTTTTAAGACCATTTCTATATCAGTTATATTCTCAAATGTTATTTAATACCTGGTAATTATCATAATGAGTAGCATGAGGTTTGTATGACCTATTTATTCAGTATTTATTGTGAATCTTTTTTGTGATGGATTTGTGTACTAATTCTTGTTATGTATTAAATCATTGTTACAGTTATGATATTCTCATTTTTAAGTGCAATCACATTTCTTGTTACATATTATCATATTTCATAATTGCTAATAAGATTTGGTCCTATCTTTAATGTAAACCTTTTCATGACCTAACTATTATATCAGATATCAGTATCATAAAACCATAACATTTTTTGTGAACACTGTATGTACACCTATATACAGTACTTGTACACCTATCAGAATAATGGTCTTGACATTTTTGGTACTGTCAATAATCCATTGATCTGAGAAACATAGCATAAAAAAGTTCAATACAGAATGTTACATGAGACATCTATAACAATAATCTGATCAGAATTACTGGCTCTGATCTGTGGTCATTATTCTGTGTAGTTCTGGACATAGAAATGTTTGTCCATGAATAAGACTGATACTATCACTTTTCTATCCACCCAGCTGCCTTCTTGGCTCCTAGTCAGGTGTTTTGTGGTTTACAGTCTATGAAACATTGGTTGCCAGAACAACAGGTACATTTTTAGCCAATCTTTTAAATAGTAACAACTTTCTTCAACATAATTATAATGATTATGTATTTATTAAGCAGAAAACACAAAAATACAATTCTCACTCCAAAATTGACTTTGTAAGAACTTTGAAAATAAAAATTTCATTAAGCACCCACACACTACTACCTATATTCACCTCTAAGTTGTGTCTGTGCTCACTGAAAAGCTGATGTTTTGAATATCATAATATATGTCGCTGGCCTTAAAGTTTCTGAAATCTTAAGGCCTTCAATGTAGGTACCAATGATTGCCCCCAATCACATTATAACCCATAAATATATCTACATACATGAATATACATACCAGAATTTTGTTGCTCAAAGTTGATACTTTTAAAACAGTTATCTTAGTAACATCACTATTGGTAAAGAAAGCTTATACTATTTTGAATAGTTGATCTGAAAAAAAAACATACAAACAAACCAAAAAAAAAAACGGCTCTGAAAGAGAAAGTGCTGAAATTGCAAAAACAATTCATTCTATCGTAAAAGAAACATTAATTCAGGTATTTGATTTGATACAATTATTCTTACATTTTGTATGTATTGTAATTAGTACAAGCAACATGTCATGGCCATTCTATTTAACTTTTTTTAAAGTTAATCAGATATGAACTGATGTTGATTTAATGAAGATATATCATGATGGATATTTGTAGTAGAATTACGGACCTCAAACCTACCTAGCTAAGGGCAAGTTACCTTCTGCCATGTGGCAACATTTGTCCATCTGGTGTCAATGTTTTCCTCGAAAGATATTTTGCCTCCAGAGGCCCTTAAATCAAAGGCAATGGGCCAATTCTATTCTGGGACAAAGGGCAATAAAGTTTGTACAAATGAAAAACATCCCAGGACCATAATATTTTACCACTAACATATCTGGATGAAGATGTGGTCTTGCAAGTTTTTTTCAAATTGATGACGTTTTCAAACTTTCAGCTCTCAAATCAAATAATGTGTTTTTTAAGCTGCAGAAAAGGTGATTGGTACAGACCCATTGAGCCTTTTGTTTGCGTTGATTCAGGAACTAAATAATAATAATGTGATATAATGCCTAGAATTCTATTTGTCATTGTTAATAAATATTTTATTCTGAAGAAAACTATATGTCCTTTATGATTGTTCATGCCATTAGTTTATTGGAGAGAATGAAAACTCCAGCCATTTATCTATCATTTGTTTTCCCACTCAATTAGATTGTTTCCTAGGGTTTCAGTCACAGTATCTTTGAATGAACCTTTAGATTAGTTTGTGTTGTTTTGTATGTTCAACAATCAACATAGGCTATCAAGCTTTTATTTACGACACCGCTGAAACAAATGTTGTTTTGGATGATGGAAGAAACAATTGACACAGAAGGCATCATCCCCTAAATCATACTAAATCTTACAGCGATCCTTTTAACTACGTGACGGGGAAAGGAGCATTCATTAGACAGTTTAAAATTGTGCCTTAATACCAAGCGAGATAACTCTTACAAAATATAATACTGACATTTCGAATATATTCGGAAGTTCTCGGATGTTTACCTGACACCTCAACTAAATTGGCGGCATCATGTTGCTAGCTGACGTCACGAGTTAGACTACTAATCTTAGTTCACGAGTAGTTCACGAATAGGTCCATTGCCCGGAGAGTAGGGATATATACAGCCTTCCAGGTAAGCAACAATCATGATACGAAATATCATCGCCTGGTAGATATAAAACTTTCTGTTGTGTGTCCTTCCTATGGGAATTCGGCATGAGCGATTAAACGTCAAGATCTCCACCTGTTTACCTCTCTATTATTGTTGAGATACACATGTGTACATAAATATACGGCATAGTTGTACTCAGAGTTGTATGTCCATGCTTTGTGATTTGTCTGCAGTGGATACAAATACATGTATACGTGTGAGGAAATAACCTGTTCAATGTTTTTTTGAAGTCTGCATGGTTTGAGACATGTAAAATAACTTCAGGAAGTTTGGTCTTGTCCCAACACCACCCTGTTCAGGCATACCGGTACTACAAATACCAAGTACCTGTACAATGTATAAGTTACTGTCAAAATGTAACATAACTTGTCTTAATGCTGAGGTTTATAGTGCATTTAAACATGAAATATTGTAACATTTAAGACATACATGGTAATTAGTGTATGAAGACTATATATTACATACAGTTTGTATAATATTGATAACTCAAGTATCAAGTGACAACTACCTTATTAAATGCCTGTGTTTGCAGAAGTAGTAACAATGACAATATTATGTATCTGATGCTGAATTGTGAAAACACTCGTGCACAGCCTGTATATTTAATAAATACCTCTCTTACCTGTTGATAGTTTCCATATGATTAAAACAACATATATTGAAGATGTGTTGATAGCTTTACAGAGACAAACAGTAGATTTTATTCACAGAAACAAGGTTTTGTGTCAAGACATTACAAATAATATTTTTAGTTTGAAATGAGAGTCAAAGAAAGTATTTGAGACCATTTTCTATAAGTTTATTCTATTTCTGTTTTATAAGACATGAGGTGGACTACCATGAATAATGGACTACCTTCTAGGATGTTGAAGAATACTCATTTAAACTTGATAAGTGGAGATAGAAAAGCACAACCTATGCCTTTAAAGTCTATTAAAGAAATTCCAACTCTCAAAATGTGAATTATCTGTAAAGACTGCCACACTAATGACAGAAGGGAAATGTTCTACAGCAGGCTGCTGTAATACTGTATCAGACAATAACATGGACCTTATATAAGGACACCTTACACTGGTCTCTACCATTCTTATATGATGGTTACTAGCAGATGCAAGGAAGTAGCCCAAACTACATGTATTAGAAGCTATAGTGCCCTAACTGCCATATGTATGGAAAATATTGTAGGGCCGTAATGTTTGGACTAGTTTAAGAATCTTGTAATTAAAGCATATACTTGTAATAGAAAGAAGTAATGAAACATACACTGATCCTAGTGGGTTTCAAACTAGTGACCCTGTGGTCTCTAGCCTGACACTCTACCACGCAACTAAAGGGAAATTCCCACTAACATAGGCTAGTAAGATGATTTTTACAATCCTTCTACACTACATCCCTTTACAAAGTCTTTGACCTCAAAGACAACAACAACCCAGCTGGTATGCTGTCTCCATGAAGGCATCTCGTTCTTCAATAGCTTCTGTCCTTAAAGTGGTCAATGGTACCAAATCTTTATTAGGAAGGGGTCACAAAAATACCTTGCACCTGGCGGGGTTCAAACTAGTCAGGTTTTGGTCTATAGTCAGACACTCCAATGTG